GAGGGTAAAGCTGAATCACCTGTGTGTAAATACAGTGTACATGTGCAAGTGCAAAGATAAACAATAATGTTCATGTCTGAACAGCTTGCCCGCAGAAACACATGTTCCTCAAACCACAGGGCAGATGTTGTGGAGGCAGAGATGGGCCTCTTTATAAGAAAACACCGAGTGGTTCAAAGAGGCCCTGCTGACCCCAGGACACAGCGACTCAATTAGGTCCCAATAATGAGACCGCACTGTGGGGGGTGTTTATATAAGCTTATTAAAACATAATCCTGCTAGCAACATACTGTAGCATGCCAGACGGGCTAGTCCGCGGACCACAGAGCTAGCTTACAGTAGGTTTTTCCTCAGTGCTCAATCTTAGTATTTAAATTAACAAACATCATAAGCGCCTTCTCCTCAGGGACTCTATTCCTTTTATAAGCATTTCTATGATATCATTTTTCTGCACTTTTGACCGTGCATAGCAGGACAGATTTCTCTTTTACCAAGAGCAGGTGCAGAAAAATGCAACAGTTGAGAGCTGAGTGTGTGAAAGTATGAAAGCATGTCTTCAGTGAGTTAAGAGATTCTCCTATTTCGATGCACACACCTGTTCTGAACTTGCTCTACTATTGCAACAAAAATAGGAATTCAGCGCTGCCTCAGTTTCTAGGTTAAATGTCTGTATGGGCTTGTGTGTGAGAGAGTGAGAGAGAAGGACTCCCCCCCTAGCAAAGCATTGCTCCGTGACCTGCAAGAGTAATGCATCACACCTCAGTGACTGTACCTGCCATTTCTGGGATTCAGCCCTCGTTCGTCCCATCTTCACTCCTGGTTTAGAGAGAGTTTTAGCAGAGATTGGATGAGAAAGCTGTGGCAGGATAATACACTTCCAACATCAATCGTGATAGGGCTGAAGGAGCAGAGCAGGACATGACGAGAGGAGGAAATAGGACATGGGTGTGACTGTGTAACCTATGTACCTCTGGCTTGTGTTTCATAAACAAGTCTTAGTATTTGGCCGTATTTTTGTTTAAATTTAACAGCTTTAGAGTGTGTTAAATAAGTCCACTTTTTTGTATTCTGAACCTTTAAAATTTGTGAGCACATGAACCCATTCCCACCATTCTGGCCTCGTATTAAACCTCATTTTCAGGTCTTGATGGGAAGTTAATGCTAATAGTCCTGTGAACTTATGAGAATATGAGAACTTCCTACTTAAAATGGCTTGTTATAGAAGAGTTACAGGAGAGAAACAGGGGTCTCAAAGAACTATTAAAGCAGATTTATGTCAAGAATAATGAACTGTATTCAATCCCTGGTTAAGTCCACGTGTGGGTGTCTTTTAATCAGGGCCCCAGACATATCGCATTGCATTACAAGGGCTTGGGCAATGGTTAATCCACAAGACAATGTACAAAGTGGACCACAGACTAAGACTCAGGTCTGCTGGGTGGGAAGGGATCGACCAGTTGTCTGTGGTCTACTTTGTACACTGTTAATATTGCTCTGTAATCCCACTACATGAGCTAAGCTCATGTCATTATACGGGCAATTATCTGAGGGGTGCGGGGGAAATCTTTCACCAACTTTAAGACATCAAAACTGATTACAGAGCTGCTCTTTCATGTGGAGTCAGAGTTCAGCTGTTACCTAAATGTTTCTTAGAAGTTATGTAAGAAAGTGGGATTACAGGTCTCAGGAGTTCAACGACCATCAAAGTTTTTACAGTTGGAAGAGGCTACAGCTGACCGGGCCACCCAGTTCACACCACTGTCTCACCCATTATTACTTTAAAAGGGAAAACTAAAACAGTTTCCATTATGTCCACAGCTTCCCCTAACACCCCTGAAACACTTCTAAAAATGTGAGGGGATTTGGTGACATGGAGAGTTGACATGCTATAAAAACACACTTCATGCATTGAGATTTTATGAACAGTTTTTTCTAATAACTTCTAGACCTTGTTTGAATCAGAAAGCTTAACTTTTGATCAATTTTACTGCCTAGGTAAAGAAGAAGAAAGATACCAGTTCCACTAAAGGGATATTCCAAATTAAAATTCATTTATGGTCAAACACACCATAACACAGAGTTAGACACCCCCTTGAGAGATGAATTTTGCCGACCTCTTGCTTCTCGAGTTATACCAACTTCAAGGAATCGATAAAGTAATGAAAATAAATGTTCTTCCTTGAGCCGTGTCACCCTGCAGCAGTCAGTAATGGATTGACCTGAGGTCTCACTACAACAAACGGCTGCTGGAAGAGAGTAGGTGAGTTGTGTTTAGTCTCTTGGCTAAAGAAATTAAGCAAAGTTAAAAAGATGTTTGGTGGCTAGTACTATGGCTGGGACCCTATATCTAATGTTGATGAAGTTAGGTGCTGTTCTGGGCATTATTTGTTGCTATAGAGTGGCGTTTTGGTTGAGGTTTGTGTATGGCTCCTCAGACCGCTGTGTATTGCTATTGTGCGGTTGTTACCAAAGTTGGTATAACTAGAGGGGCAAGCGGTCAGCAACATTCATCTCTCTAGGGGGTGTCTAACTAATTTTGTGTCTAACTGACCTTTGACCTAAATGAATTTTACGTCGGAATATCCCTTTAAGTGTTAGAATGAGCCAGCAGCTAATTAGCTTAGCCTAGCTTAAAAATTAGGGCTAGGGTAGCTCTACTATTACTACTATCAAAGTTTACTATCTGCTCACAGAGTCTCTCACTACTCAATAAAGAGTTTGAAAAATCATGTGACCTTTGGGGTTTTATTGGGTTAGTTTACAGGAAAAAAAATACATTGACATTAAAAAAAACTCTTTTCGGTGGGATATGTCCTGCAAGATTTCATACGTGGGACCTCAGTCTTTCTTCAAGCCTGACTTTGGCTCTGTTCCCATCAGTAGCTTTCCACTTTCAAATAAGGACAGAATCCAAAGCTGCAGCTCCACTGAGCAGCTCTTTTGAACTACACCCAGTATCTTCCACAGTGGAGGCTGTAGATCAACAAGCAAAGGTCATTAAATGTTGGCTTTGCGTCTGAGTCCTAATGCATAGATTACCACTGAATGATAATATTTTGTCAGTTCCACATGGGCTCCGAGGTGTTTGGTGATGTTGGCCCAGTGACGTGCTTTGCGTTTACATATGGGGAGAAATGAAAACCCACATGTATTTGCGTAACACCACGCTCTCCTGTTTCAGGGTTTTCTGAGAATTTATCCCCTTTTCTACCTCAGGGGCAGTTTTGTTTTTAACGAGATATATAGGCGTCACCACTGATATGTTTCCTATTTCTTTCATAACAGAAATGATAACCTGTGCTTAAAGCAAAAAGGCAGAGTAAAAAAAACAGCTAAACCTCTGCACTTAATGTTTCTCTAGACAGCTGCCCAGCTGGGACATAACAATGAAGTTTACTGCTAAGCTCTCGGTGTAAAGTGAATCATAATCAGACCGCTTGGCTTCACTCCTACCTCAGTCTCAGTCAGTTTGAGGCCAGACGAAATACTCATCTGCAGTCTGTCAGGCGACACAAGCTCTCTTTTAGCTGCCTAGCCTATCATTAGAGCTTCCAAAAAAGTACAAGATACCAAGCTAGCTGTCATTGTCTCCCCATTGTTGTGTGCTGTGGTGTAAACGTGAGGCTATGAATAGGAGGAAAAGCATATTCATGACGATTATAATCATCTGATCCAGCTTAGTTCAAAGACTCAGAGTCACTTTAGACCTCAGAGATGAAATCTTTGATGTTACATTTGTATCTATAAAGTCAATCCTAGAGCTTGGCTGTGACAGAAATAGTGTTTTAAACTTATAATACTATGAATTCCACAACAGAGGGACTATGTTGTTTATCATGTATAAATTTGGAAAACTCCAATTATTTTGCAGTTGATTTTTTTTGCATGTCTTAAATGCTGGTTTCTGCTATATTTCATTACACAAGTAAAAAAAATGAGTGAGCAAACAACATGCTAGAGAATACCAAATATTTTAGGTAGTCTTGGCCATTCTTGACTATTCTCAAGTTGTAGTTAAAGCTTCTGTAAGGAACTTTGACTTGTGTAAATTTTGGCACCACTTGTTGATGAAGCAGTTTCAAAGTAGTCTCATAATGCTGACTTTTGACCTTCAAATGGGCCATTTATTGTGGATATATAACATGGAAGTTTCATAACCGGGCTGTTTCTTCAGCTGCTTGACTAGTTTCAGGCATTAAAAATTATGATTTTAAAGTCATCAGTCTTGTAGCTGATGGTCTTGTATGCATTTAGATCTCATAAAAAGTCTGTTAAAAAAAACACCCCCTAACTAAACTATAATCATCATGTGATTTTTAAAGGTACTGATAACTCTTTTAAATTTTATTTATGAGGCTGAAAATGTTTCTATTCAAAACAGGTTGATGTTTTATGTGAATTGGGTACAGCTTTCCTAATAGCGCATTAATTCAGAGATCGTTGAAATTTTGAAATATATGTGTATAAAAACTCCAACCAGCAATCTCCAGTGTTTAAAACTAAAAGCTGTACAAAAGTGGAAGAATCCTCATTCAGCCTCTTGTTAAAAGTTTCTCTCTACAGCGAAATGAACCCATTTACAGCCTGGTTAAAAAAAAACAACAAGACAGTGCTGGTCTTCTGATTGTCAAAAACCGTAAAAGGGACTTTTGTCTGAGTAATCCATTTTGCCTAAACTAAGGCAAATAGTTATGTGTAATTAGACAGAGTTAGGGGCTTGGTTGATTTGATTGACAGGTTGGTGTGTTGTAGCTGTTCGCCCTGAGGCTTAAGGCCCGCCTCAACACCACCTCTTTGCCTGTTTCTACATAAAAAAAAAGTCAAGTTGGTGTCAGGATCTCTGGGCTTCATGTGGGTGACGTCACCGAAGCTTGGTTATTATTTTTCTTTTCGGTCTTTGAAAACACGTGAGTCGAACACACTCTTATCATCCTATAAATATTGGTACAGTGGCACAGTCAAGATAGCATATCTCCATGAATGAGTCAGCAGCAGAGAAAGCAGGTTAATTATTTCACATTTTATTTCATTCTGCTCCACAAACCGCTCTCAGACACCAACTGGAACACACACACTCACGCACTGTTAAGTACCATTTAGACAATGACTGAGTCACACAGATTTAACCTGATGACATTACAAACATCATAATTGATTACTATGTAACATACATAATGACAAACATATTTCATATATCCGCTCTGTATCGCTGTTGATCAGTTATTGGCCCAGGTGGAGCAGATAAACAGACAGAGCTGAACGACAGGCTTCTGAAAAATAAGAAGCAAACATAGAATCAGTCTCTTTGGTGGTTTCGCCTCATTTACTAGATCATTTCAGAAGAAGGGGAAGCTTTGATGTACTGATAGAAAAATATGCGTTTAAGGCCCTGATTCTGATGTCAAAGAAAGACCCCGTCATGTGGTACGCTGAGCCACTTTGGTTTCAGCGACATCTCAAACACTAGGGATGCATTTTCCTCGTCTATATCTAATTCACGCCATCGGTCCAAAGGCCATCATATGACAAGATTTAAGTGATGTGTTCAGTCTCTGTGTTATAAGTGCAATGTACAGAGGCACCACCCAATTTATTGCTGCAAGCTGTAACACTTCTGAAATCTATTAAACCGGCTGTGAGGTGAAGCTTTCAGTCAAAGTGAGCGACTAGAACTTCTGAACTTTTCACGTTTTGTTGCGTTAATCTCTTACAGTAGGTGTACGCTGGAGGAAAACTGACAGACCTCTAAGCATGAGGTCGTCTAACAGCGTGGCAGCTGGATCAACAAATCAAAACGTGGCAGAAAATAAGCTTTCAGTAAACACACTCCTGAAGGGCCGGACTGCAAACGTGCACAACAAGTTCAAACCACAAGAACTCGAGAAGAATTCGTACTCATTTAGATTTGATTGTAGTCCAAGAGAGCGAGTTTGAACAAATGTGATCACTTACGCATCAGCCTGGAGGTGTCAATGAATGAAAAAACAAGGTGTGTGACCAGCTTTGATTTTCAGTAGAATAACTGTTTCATTCTTGATTCAGTCGAAATCTTCATAACTTCATGTTCTAATTTAATTGGAATTGAAGTTATCTCTTGGGAAATGTCGGGGGCTGAATTACAGAGTAAAACACAAAAATATCTTGGTTACAGACGGACAGAAGGGTTCACTTTTACATATAACATCCCCCCTCCCTTTGATATCTGCTCACATTTCCTTTGGACAAATCCAGTATAATCTGCAGTCCACGTGCCATAAAACTTTATTAGCTCCATTATTTTTGGTTGAATGCTGGTCACAGTCACATTGAAGAGCTCTGACTGTCACTCCAAGGCTGTAGCAGAAAACTCTTACAGCTTCGTGCTTTCTGTCTCTTAGGCTTCAGCGAAGGGATCGTCCCAGCTTACACACGCTGCTGCAGGTTGCTTCACTGAGTTGAAGTCACTCTGGCAAACTCATCCTGGGTCATCCTTGAGAACATCCACATAGTTCTTACATCCGACTCAGTCCCCACCAATAAGTCACAGGATATTTGTTCCTTTCACCCTTACTGGACACATACGTATTTTTTCCACCACGACTTGGAGAGCATCTTCATCTTATCAGCCGTGCTGCGCACCTTCCTCTCCCTCCTCGCCCTCCTGTCAGAGTGGCGCAACCCCACGGCGATGGCAGCATCAAACACCTCTTTCAGGTTCTTCTGTGTTAGCGCCGAGCACTCGATGTAAGTCACCGCTCCGATCTTTTCCGACAGCGCTCTGGCGTCTTCTTCCAGCACTGGCCTCTCTCTTCGCCTCGCCAGCTCGATCAGCACTTTCACATCCTGCCGCAAGTCGCACTGCGTGCCCACGAGGAGGATGGGCGTGAGGGGGCATCGGCGGCGGATCTCGGGGACCCACTTCTCCCAGACGTTCTGAAAGGAGGCGGGGCTGACCACGCTGAAGCAGAGCAGCAGGGCGTCTGTGCGGCTGTAGCAGAAGTGGCGGAGTTTGTCGAACTCGTCCTGACGGTGACAGAAAGGGACTGTTAGCATTAAAGTTTGAAAACATTAAGTAAACATCGTTGATTTAGCTCTTAAGCTTTATTTTGTTTGATTTTGAACGACTTTGTTTCAGTCTGAACTAATATGTGCTCAGTCAAGAGGTATAAGATCAGAGGAAACAGTCTTTAGGGATTTCCCATTGTGGTCATGCAGAATCCACAGGCTCTGCCCACTCATTTATATAATCTACAGTAATCCCCTAAATTAACACTTTGGAGCCACACATCTCTGACTAACAAGGGGCCTCCCACACCTTTAAGCACTGAGATTAAGGTTTACAGAAACATTACACAAACCTCCCTTTTTTTTTTCCGTCAGACCCCAACACATCTCCTAATCCCTCCTTATTTTCCACGTCACGAACATATTTACAGAAATTGTGGATTTAATGCCCTACAAATGCAGAGGACACCTCTCAACCTGTTCCCACACAGGCTCTGGCTGTACTTTCTGATCTGATGACGTGAGTCCATCTGCAGATTAAACACATATCAACATCTCAGGGAGAGGAGCAACTCTGTTTATCAGTTCTGGCGGCAGCTGTTATCTTTTTTTCTCTTAAGCGTCTCTTTCTCTCTCCTCTCTCTGCCTCCCCCTCGCTCTCTCTTTTTTGGCACACCCTGACCTCTTCCTGGCTCAGACTCCCCTCTTATGAAATTGCTTAAGTACAGTAGGTGTTTGCCGACTTTTATCTGCCCGTGTTTGCCCTAGCTTGTCTACTACGTGTATGTGTGTGCCTTTGAGCGTGCAGTTTTGACACTGTGTGCAGCGGCCTTTCAGCGCGCAGTTTTGCAACACGCTGTGAGCTTTTAAAACATATTAGGCGCTCGTTTGAATGCTTTAGTTCCACTTTGCAGCCAAGCTGTCTTTGATTCTGTGTAGAACTGGCAGTGCCCTTGCAGCACCTGTGAACGTCAAATATTATACTCCCTTCCAGGCGGGGCTGTCGAATTGGATAAGAAAAAAGAAACCACCATGCTCCAGGGAAAATAAAAACGCTTTCACAGCAAGTGCGATCAAAGATTGCTCTCACAGTATCAACAAAAAGTGAGTCAATAACTTTAGCCTGGCCTACTCTCTGTACTAATGAGTCTTTAAAAGCAGAGAGACATAGTTTTCATACTTCTTTGCTGCATCATTGCCAGTCTAAGCTGTCACTGTACGATCATGTGCTTCCTGAAATCACAGAAAGGCCATATGAGTGACCACATGTAGCAGCAGCCTGCTACTATGCAGTTGTTTGCTACAATAATTCAGCACATGATTGGTTCAGCAACTCCCCTTTTCATTGGCTATTCGTACAGTCTACCAAAACATGGCAGAACGTCAACTATAGAAAACGATATTGACGATGTTTTATATTGACATTGGGGGAAACTAATTTTCGATACTGTTATTGTTTTATCACCCAGCCCTAGATTTAACCCAGAGTTGTAGCTTGTGAGGCTGTCTTAGTTGTACAGAAGTGCTTTAGCATAAATGCTAATGTCAGCATGCTAACAATGATTCAGCTAAAATGCAAATGGAGAATGTGCCCATTTGTGGTGCACCAAGATGAGTTTGGACAAAGGGATCATGAATGTGGATTTTCTTTAGACTAAGAATAAAAGCCCACAGTTTAATGAGAAAAAGTTTAAGTCAAAATGGTTTGTTGATGCTAGCATAGCTAACAGGGGTTTGGAGGCATGCCGATCACACATTGTGATGCAGCTAGCAGGTGAAACAGCGACATAGTATGAGTTAGCCGGTGAAGAGAACTCACCTGTCCTGCAGTGTCACAGAGCTGTAGTCTCACTGGGTTTCCATCCACCTGAACCACAGCTGTAGACACAGAAACAGACAGAGAAAATAAGCCACAGCTGCTGAGACGACTGTAAATGACTGTGTTCACTATAAAGGGCCCTCCCACCTGACACTTCAGACACACACATTTTACTACACACATTATTCTCTGAGATAAACAAAAGTCTGCCAGTTGAAAACACAAAGACCCCCTGGTCCGCTCTCCAAGCACACAGGCGGCCTGCTCCATCTCGCCCACCCACCCTGACTCTGTCACAGTTGGGACCATAACACTTAACAGTCTCTGTGAGCTTTGTTCTCTCTCTCTGTTTCGACCGAGGCCGCTGAAAGGTTGTTACAGGGGGGGTAAAACAGAGCAGATTTTGTTTCTGCTGTGACTCTCTTCCAATAGGCCTCATTTCAGGATCGGAAAAGTGGATGAGTCATCTTACAGGGAGTTTCATTATGGGGCCATTGATTCTTTTCAGAAGAGTGAGCACAATGTGAAGCAGCAGGCACATGGAAACATTTACAATTCGCCTGGAGTGTGTGGTCGGTCGTGCCACCTGATCAAAGAGTTCGCTGGAACTTTTCAAGTAGACGGACAGGCCATCATGGCACCATGTTTTTACAAAAGCAAAGGAGAAAGAGCGGGAAGAAAGGAAAATTAGAGAGAGGAGGAGAAAGAGAGAGAGAGCTGCCATTGTGTAATCATTTCCTAATCCCTGACATATGATACTTCTTTGATTTTCCAGACCAAAACTCGCCCTTATCGTCCCCTCTCCTCTGCCTTTCTGCCACCACCTGTGGCGTTGCGTAACAGCCCAGAAGTCAGCTTTCAAGAGGACGCTCTGATTCCAGGCACATAGAAATGACATCACCATTTAGGGCCCCCCTAACTGCACAATCAGTCTCTGTCAGGCCCCGGCTGAAAGACAATCTCAGCCTCTGAGCCACTGCAACAGATGTGCCCATTCCAGTATAGAGGAGAGGGCTCCAGGGGTCAAGGCTGACAACAATAGGCAGAGTTGTGCAATCTAAAACCCCTGAACCAGAGACGCTCTCTGTTCTGTACGGGAGGGTTGGGCCAGTGCCTGACTGAGGGTGGCGTGTGTTCCCAGTGAGTGTTTTATTGGATTTCTTGGGGCCAAGTTGTTAGTTTTACAGCTCATCAGTATAATGATAGAAAATCGTTGAGGTTGACAATTAAAATGAATAAACTTATGCAAGAGTTTACAGGAAACAACGTCAAGTGTCCAATTCGGTTAAAGATGTTCATGAGTAGTTTGTTTTTTTTCATTTTGCAGAGCTGTCAGTTAATTTTCTTTTATTGAAAAAACGAATCTGAGCTCAGAGTTGTGATCTACAAGTCACAGCTGATTTGTTTCTATCTGTTCAAAACCTGTCTCCCCTTTGAGTGATTTTGTTCTCTGTTTTTTTGTTTCAAGTAAACAAAGCTTGCTGGGACAAGTGAGACAGTTTGGAAAGTGGCTCTGAGCCAAATGGAAACCTGCTGGCTACATCAGGGAGGATACCTCATGTGCAGTGACTGAATGAGGACAGATAAAATACAACTCAAACACATTTATCATAACAATGGGATCACAGAAATTATACTGAATGGTTTATCAGTGGAAGTTGAGTAAACCTGCCCAATTCCTACAGTGGGACCAAACGTCAGTCATTCACAAGATATCTAGTATACATGAGAACACCCATTCTTGGAGAATGGTGCACAATGATGCATGGATATTTCCCTCTTTTAAGAATAATGAATAAAAACAAACTTCATATGTGCTCTTTTTTGTTTTAGTTTACCTGAAAAGTCATCAAATGCAGTGGGGACGTATTTGGTCGGGTATCCATTCGTCGTATAGCTGACCACAAGGCTGGTTTTGCCCACCGCTCCGTCTCCGAGTAGGATGCACTTCAGCAGCCGCTCCTGCGCCTGCCCTGGCCGGATTGGCTTGGGGTTGTGTGGGGGCACAGGAGGAGCCATAGTCCGGCTGTAATCCATGGTGTCAGGAGGTGACATTCAATCAGCTAACACCTCACCGCGCTCTCCTCTCCAAGCAGATACAGGAGCCACCATGAGATCAGGGTTTTGCCTTTAAGAGAGTTTCTCCAAATCCTTAATGCAGTCGGGAGTGTGTCTCGTGCGTAAAGGTTGTCCCACTGCGCCGCGCGCTGCCAGATTCACTGTGGCCGTTCACCATCTGAACTCCAAACTGAGACTCTGCAGTTTACAATGTGAGGGCGGGTCTGAGGCGCTATATCTTCAGATTAATTTAACTAACCCCGCCCACCTCCACTCCCTGCAGAGGGGGGCGGAGCAGACAGGTTAAAATGAGGAATTATATGAAGGAAATTAGTAATTCTTCAGATTGGAAAAAGGGCTCGTGTTGAACTCGAGGGGTTCATTAATTGTAAAAAAAATATTTTTACTTTTTTTGTTTGTGTGTTAAAATTAAACACCCCAATTATACCACCTGAGTAGTTTCCTAGGCCTTGTTCATGCAGACAAGTCTAGACTTGTTCTCACCGCCGATAAGAGGACAACCTTGATTTCCATTTTGAGCACGACACATATTAAGTTCTGAAATTACAAACCCTCTGAACCCAGACCCCCTGACCCACTTCAGTTCGGAGCCATGGGCACATGAGTCCACTACCACGGATATGCTGCCACGTAATAAACACCTCAACACAAGATTTGGTAAAAAAAAAAAAAAAAAAAGCAAGAAATAGTAAAACTAAAATGAGGCTCTACATGTGTGGGTTTACTTTTCAAACTGACCAGCTGAAGAGGTGATTTTGTGGGACCCTGGGAAAAAATGTCATTGGTTGATCTTTGTCGACCCCTTGTGGCCGGATGAAGGAAAAATCTAGCCTGTCAGCTTTGAGATATGTAGGTCCTATCTTTATTTTGCTGTCTCTGTTATCCATTCTGCTGGAGTCCCTTTTTACGGTGGCCCAGAACCACCAGTGCTACAAATAAAAAAAGATGCAAAACAAAAAAGAAGTCACAACAGAAGTTACTGATGAAAAAAAAAAAAAAAAAAAAAGAAAGAAACTGAAGCCCACTGCAGATATAAAAGAAACAATGCAGATAAAAAAGCCACAACGGAAGTTAACGACCCAAAAAAAAAGTGGCAATGGAAAGAAAAGTTACTTTCTGCGAAATTAAAAGGTTGCAAATAAAAAGAGGCACAACGAAAGTGAGCTGCCGGGGACCGATAATGATTATGCACCAGTGTTTTACGATTTAGGCACAGAAGACAACGGATGAGAAGACGAGTGAAGAAGTAAGTGGAAAGGTTATTGTTTAATTTTGCTTTTTGTGCTTTTCAATGTGTCATTTGGTTAGGCCATGTAGCGCCTGAGTCAATATAAACTTGAACTGAAGCTAGTACTACACCGGCATCCTACAGATCAACTTCACATCGACTCAGGCGCTACATGGCCTAACCAAAAGACACACTGAAAAGTTTACGCAACAAAATCAAACAAAAACCTTTCCACTTACCTCTTTGCTCGTCTTCTCGCCGTCGTCCTCTGTGGCTAGATTGTAAAACACCAGTGCATCATCATTATTGGTCCCCGGCAGCTCTCTTCCATTTAAAAATTTTTTTTTGCATCACCATTTTTTTTGTGTGTCATTAACTTCCGCTTACCTGTACCATTTCTTTTTTTATTTGCAGCGGGCTTTAGTTTCTTTCTTCTCTTTTTTTTTTGCTTTGTTTACTTCCTTTGTAGTTTCTTTTTTTATTTGAAGCAGTGGCAGTTCTCGGTGTAATAAAACAGTTTCTGGAGACCGATCTGGAGCAGTACGAAGCAGCAGGCCATCATGTTTGGATTTCATGGATCGTGTCTAATAATAAAACAGCAGTATGACGGCACAATACACCAAAATAAGCCATAAGAGCAGACACAGGAGAGTGAAGGTGACAGCAGCAACTACTTCAGGTAAAAGTGGAGCTACAGAGTGTCCTGAATAGTTTTATTGTTCCTAAAATCGAACTACTTACAATTCTGTATAAGATACCTTGTCATGACACACATGTTTCTATCACACAGTTATCATACACATACAAAACACCATTCTCAGGAAGGCAATGGGAGGAGGAGTAAGCTGTTGTCAGCAGCCTTGAGTACTGTGAATCAAATCATGCACTTGAACCTGCAGAAAGAAAGGCACCTGCTGTATTTCACTCCCACAATCCTTCACAAGGCTGGACATTTTTCACAATGAGAGCTCAGAGAGAGGATATCTGTGGGGAACATCCTATAAGGTGATTTCATTTGATTATGATACATCTATTGAGGCCGTAGCAGAAGAATACATCACCTAATCTCTGAATTATACGTTTGACTCTCCACTTTACATCGATGAGTGAAGGAAAGCTGCCCCTGGTGGTGTAGGTGACAAAGTGACATCCATAAAACATGACAGACAAAACTGAAGACATAAGCGATCGTGATTGAACGTGAACGTTGGTGTGAGTGAGAAAAAAACAAAGAAAATTATGGAAAATAAAGGAGAAATGTGATTTTAATTGCTTGTAGGTTCATTTTTCATTTCATTTTGCAAGCTGTTTGTCAGAAATCACGCACTCACACACACATACACACACAGAGACACACTCCCACTTGCATCTGCATACATAAACTATCATGAGAAATTAATATGCATTCAGAAAAAACAACATGTGGTGACACATGCAACAGTATTTACCAGTTTTATGCTGCCATGAATAATGATTACCCCTGTTTTTGTCACCTTAACAACCACTCCCCTTGTCTGGGTGAGTAGCTGTTGGTGTGGAAACTTTCTATTTCTGGTCATGATACCTCATTTGGACTACAGCTTTCCATTATCTAAGACACTTCTTGAGTCATTTTTATACATTAAAAACAGTGAATACTTCCAACAATCCAACAAGCTGCATTTTTGCATCTCTGACATCAGCAGCTAGAGTCCCATTCAGGATTTATACACCTTGAAATCACCTTGATTCATTTTAACCCAAACCCCAACCTCTTACCCCATAACTTAGATACAGTTAGAGTATAAAGTACCATGCTTTATCTTCATCATTGTCCATTTGTGTATCCTCCCTTCCCTTCCTCAGTCTCTGGAGCCCCGCTCTGTGGAGCGCTGAGCACAGACGGCTGGGTAAGACATCTGAGTGACAGCCTGTAACTCTGGGAGCTTGTCTTCAAGTTCTTGTCCATCAGTGTTTACTGGGCTTTTGGTTTGGCGCCGCCAGGAGTTGGATCAGGAGGAGGGCCGCCACCTTGGGCAAGTCTCTGAAAGCTGTGGAGGAGAAACAGGAAAGCTGTTGCTAATATAAATCTACCCTCAAACACACATTCCCAGTAAATCTTTAAAGATTAAACCAGTGTGCCTTTCTTCATATTTCATTAAAGGTTCCATGAGTAACTTTTCTTTGTTTTGGCACCCCTTGTGGACTAACAGTCTTTTTTTATATTGGCAGTAACATGTTTAAATAGTGTCCTCTGACAAAAAGTCTCAATACTTCTGGCTTTGATGCCTAAATATGACATTTATTTGTGAACGATTAATGTGGAAGATGTAAAAACTGAGATTTTTCTTCAGCGGCTCCACAGACACCTACCCCCTTTGCAGCAGTTTTAGGTACTAATAAATACAGCAAAAATATGGTAAATCTTGTCCCTGTAGGTCTTATTTGCTTTTGTATATCCTAATAAGGCATCAGTATGACTTTCAGTCTATTTACAAAAAAAACTCCTCACAGGAGCTTTAAGTTGATATTTTTTTATTTTTTACCATTCATACAAATTTTGGAGCTTTTCAGTCAAACATGAGGACAATGGCTTATATGACAGTTATTATATGTTGTGGTTTTGCTTGAAAAGAAATAGTAGTGATAATAAAATGTATAATTTGATGGTTGATTTTAATATCAGAGCTGTTTTCCATAAAATCTATCCTTAATGATGAATCTGGTTCAGTCCTGTCAGACAGAAGCATCTCACTAAAGAGCAGTGACTCTTTCCTGTAGATTGAAGTTATTTTCTATTGCATAGTTCATCTTCTGAACATGTGCTTATTTATTACCCTCATTTAATTGTAAATGTAATGCAGTATTGTTCCTCTCACTTAATTAAAGTGAGTGCACTTCTGTATTCACTGCCTCTGCTGTGAAAAAACTGTGATGACACTGTGCCAGTAGATGGCGCCACACTCACGTGTCCTTGACGTTGTCAATTTGGGCCTGGATCTTTGCAATGAAGCTGTCCACCTGCTCCTGTGGAAAGTCAAAATATATGATGAGTTTGTTAATTTTGGCACAAAGGACCAGATTCAGGTATTCATCAGGACAGTTGTTACCTGGCGTTGTCTGTAGAAAAGTGGCAGAGAGAAGATAGCGATCACACCTGCAGGGGAGAGGAAGGAAAGAGAGTTAACATGGCCTCCAATCAGTCTGTGAACACATACTATCATTTTAGCTGTGATCGCTGTTTCTTACCAATGATGAGCAGAGTAAGGCCATTGCACAGGTCTCCCAAGAACGTCACAAGGTAGATCAGAACCAGGAACTGAAACAAAAGGAACAGAAGTAGAAAGTTTGAGTTACTTCCATCAGCAGCGCACACAGGAAACCCCTCAGCATGCTTCCTATGTTTGTCATTTTAGTGTCTCAGAGAGCTGTAAATCAAGCCGCAGTCCTGCATAACGCTGTACAGTGGATATGTATTACGCCACTCCAGTCTAATGTTCTCCTCGGTGAAGAAAAAAGCCGAGCTCCAAGTTTGAGACTCCAAATATGGATTTCAGTGTTTCCTCTTATATCCCACAGTGTCACAGCTCCTGGTCGGGGATCCGGTGTTGCCCTGATATGGGACACCCCTGTCTCGGATGGAAAGAGCCTCCAGCTGATCCTGGGTGTCTCCGCGTACCCCCTCCTGTGTGCCATGTCACATACCGGCCAGGTCAGGGTTGAGACTGGGTGGTGCTGGGATTTAGGGGGCTCAGTTATCTCCCACTGACTCACCGTTTACTGTAAATGTGTTAAGACTGTCTGCTTACAAAGTGCTGCTCTTCATGACCTAATTGTCATTGTTGTAATTAACTAGCTTTACCCTAAAACCCTCAAAGTTTATGATTATTATAATATAAACTATTAACACAGAATTCTTGAGGTAGAAACGCCATCAAATATTTTCATGCATCTACATACTAAATGGATTTTACTACCACTTATAATATAAGTAATTGCCATATTTGGAATTAATCATACAGTAAAAGGGCCAATCCTTGTAACCAGACAGGTTCTGACTTTAAGTTTTAATATGCTTTCATTGATAAGTATGTTGTTTCTTCTCTGTTTAAGGTATCAGCTGTGATTTGTGCTAAAACTTTCCTCCTGCATTACCTTTATAACATCTAAAATATCCTTTCATACTCTCAACACAACTTCAAGAACTCCAGTTAGGAGCTTTTGTCATTTTTTGGCCCCTTGTGTGAAAAGTGGTCCCTCTTAGTTTTTTGCCAATTCTGTCTCTAACATGTGCAAGTAGTGATATCTGATGAAAAAATAGGCATCCTGCTGTCTTTTAAAAATCAAAATCTCATTATTGTGAGTCTTTGTGGTGAGTGGGATCACATCATTGGACATCTACCCAGTAACAGCAGTAGCTGTAGCGGTTACAGGCATACACCAATTCTCCTACTAAAATTATCAATCTTGTTATTAAGGGTCTTTTATCTCATTTTAGGTCATAAAGACATGATGACAGTGTTTGATAATCAGTTAAAAACTCCTCACTGGAGCTTTAAATATAATCTCACGACTAGTCAATAAGGCAGGACAAGAGAAGGGCTCATGTTCACAGGAACTTTGCACCAGAGCTGTGGTCGGTCCGCCTTTGCTCCACCTCTGCAGCAGGCCTGATAGATTTCAACAAAGTCGATGTGTGTGCTTCCACTGGCTATCTGCTGCGATGCGCATCTGCTCCATCCCAACTCTGGCACTCTGGAGCCTTTTGCAGCAGATACCCAAGACTTCTATTTTTGTTGGATGCTGTGGCAAAAGGGCATCAATCAGCACAGGGGGCAGATTGAGCGGGACAGGAAGTCAAACACTGATGCAGCATTATAAATAATAAAATACTCTGTGTTGACACCAGATCATATGACATGTAACTACATCAACAAAACCTTCTAATGAGTGGAGCCAGGCCTGGAGAAGACAGGTCAGGGGTTTCCAGAGACTATGAGGTGAAGCTGACCAGTAATAAACACTTGCCAACCATATATGTATTTGACATGTTATGAATATGAATTTGAAAGTTGCTTTTGTCACTTTACCTACATACTTTGCATTGTGACAGCATCTAAGTGACAGATGTGTTGAGGCTTGATGAATTTGGACATAGTGGTTTGGCTTTGCTCGCAAAAGTCCCACACCCAGAGGCCAAAAGAAGAAATAAATAAATAAAATCATCATTTAGGATCAGTAAGAGAGACCCATCACTTTCCACATGATCACAACAAAATCTGTCATCAGGACTGACAGTCATCTTCAGTGAAACTGCCTTAATTTAGGAGCCATCTTTAGTTTTCAGCATAATGAGACGGATGGTTGGCATGGCGACATCATCTCCAGGAATGAGGAGAGAAAGATGACGGGGAAAAAAAAACCCAAATAACTGGAGACGGACTGATTCTCGGGTTAATTAGGAGGAGAAGGTCTGGACAGAGTGAAGCACATCTTTAAGAAGAGGTCATTAAGATGGTGAATGTGAGATTGAACAGCCGGCAAACACACACACTCACACACACGCACACACACACACACACACACACACACACACACACACACTCACACACACACACACACCACAAGGGCAAATTTAATTATAGCTCACCTTGAGGGAGTCAAAGAGGTTTCCAACAAAAAAAAGTCTGTTCAGCGTGTCCACCGCAGACATAATCATAACGATGGCTTTCTGCATGTAGCGGTCGGCATCCTCTCCACTGAAACTGATGTCCAGGTCCAAGTATGACCTGAGAAGACATCCATCCTTTAGTTTTGAGAATGGTAACATTTGAAAACAGTACCTCATGTTCCTTGGTAGCAATCTTTAACATATAAATCTCTTTTCAGGCACCATGGATCAAAAGTTAAGAGATAGTTAAGGTGGAAAAAAGAAATAGAAATGAAAAAAGGAGTAAAGCTAAAGCGTCCTACTTAAAGGGGTGTTCTCCGTCGCCCCAGTTGAGGATGAAGAGGATTTGGTAGTAGATTCTCACTGAGATGGTGAAGCATACGATAGCCAGGGAGACTGTAGAGATCACGGTGATGATGCTGAGCTGGAACAGGGACAGCAGACCCACCACCAACCCTGTGAGCACCATGCCTGTCCGCTCGGTGTCCTTCCAGTAGATCACGTCCATCACTGGAGTAAAAGAAAGGAAAATCGGATATTTTGAAAAACATATACAGGTGAAGTTTATACATTTTCACATACAGCTGACAGCATTGTGATTTACTGGTTTACTGTGTCCTTCCCCCTCAGCTGCTGCAACATCACCCAGCCTCCAGCTTTGTGGACAATCAAAGGCTCTATCATTTTAGGGGGCAGTTTTAGGAAGAAGGAAGATGTATTACTCTAGATTAGGGGAATAAAAAGAGGAATAGTGGCCTGAGAAATGTGGGATATGAGGCAGAGAGAGGGGTTTCCAGCCTCCAGCATGAGAGGACACACAGCAGCAGCAGCAGCAGCAGAGAGGACACGTCACGCTCCAGCACGGGCTAAATTTAGCTCTCAGATGAAAGAGGGAGGCAGCGGTCGAACAGAATTTAAATGCAGCATTTCACAGCACCTGCTGGTACACGTCAGGCCGTCAGCAGGGCCTTCTCCACACCCTGTTGGTGTCCCTTACTGTTTCCCGGCAACAGCTGCGATGGAGACTGACGCGTCCAAAATTCATGTTCGCGAGAGTAGAGAAAACCTCGATATATGTGGTAAAATATCTTTGAATAAGACCTTCATGAATAAGTACATGATACAGAACTAAACCAACACCTCCTCGTTAAAGCAGAGCTCTGTGTGCTTGATATTCAATGACATGCTAAGACCAAGCGTCGCAACAAAAAGGAGGCGTCTTTGAATAGAGTGTACAGACAGCAGATGGATTATTTATAAGCATCACTGCACACAATTAATACCCATGATGCTCCTGGAACGCACTTATCCACCATGTTGGCTGTCATTCTGGGACAGTGTGGCTAACAATGGATTTATGGAGTAGCTACTATATTTGACAACACAGGCCTTAGACCACAATGCAGATCTACCCATATCCTGCACACATTGATTATCCTCATTCAGAGTTTCCTTGTAGTTCTGCAGGAGGCGAGTAAGAATCGAGACATCTGACCCTGCAGTAATCCTAAGAGAGTCCAGGATGCAGAGCCAATCCTAGAAGTCCTTATTCGAATACAAGATTCTCATTTTTGGGCAGTTTATCCCGACTTGCCTAAATTTAGACGTGGATTAGAGACTGATACAGTAAGCCCTAATTTATCAGCTGTTAGCACAGCCTTGACAGGGGAAAAAAGTTAGCACTGTTCTTTTAAGGTTTCTAAACTAATGTAACCTACAAGCACATTTATAGCGACATATATTTTATCCTATTTTTGTTTTGTTGAATCGGTACAAGTGTGAGATGATGCAGGGTTATGTTTCTTGGTTTGGCCCAGTGACCTTCATGGGTCTCCACTGGTAGCTTCGCTAAGAACCATTTTTAGACTACTCTTTACGAGTGTTGAGACCTATGACTGAAAATATCAAAACATTTGTGTTAGTGAGGTGATGTTTTCATAACGCATTGATTTTCAGCATTTTAAGGTCACATGTTTAGTATAATTAGGGGAAAGCGGGCACGCTTGCAGCTGTTAGCGAGAAGGCTAAGGTCCTGCGAGACACCCACCACTTTGCCTTTTGTGATATTTCTTGTCTTTATGTTATGCTCGGATAAGTGGCTGCTTGCTTTAGTTTCATACTTAAAGCCACTGTTAGGAACTTTAGGTTTGTATTGATAATGGCGCCCCCTATGGACCAAATGATACTTCTTATCTATTGTCCCGTTCACCGGTAATTTGTGTTTTTAGACAAAAACCTTAACCTGAAGTTTTTAATCACTTGCTGTGAGTATTTAAAACATCTGAAACTCACCTCTTTAATGCATTTTAATCACTTAAGATAACATCAGTGACATTATCAGACTTGTTGATTGTGTTATTTCATAGAAAAGGTATCAGTTACTGTAAAAACTCCTAACATTGCCTTTAACACTCAGCAAGAAGCTAACTAATAACTTTTCACTCCAAAACTTTTGTATTATAGCATTTAGGTGGCCTTAAAAGGGAACTTAATACCTTCAAAATCTTATTCTCTTACTTTAATCATCCAGAATTGACCTAAACTAGATCTGTGCAATAAAACTGTAATTAGATTAAGCAATGAATCAACCAGAAAGACCATAAAGCTCATGGCTCATTCACTCATAATGAAGTCAACCCAGCCTGACATCCTCTCAATATAACGTCCTCAACATGTAGGTCCGGGAAAACTTCCAGGGGCAAAGTCTGAAATATCGTCGGCTCTTCAGGAAGCAGTAAAATGAAAGAGAGCCCAGCTGCCACAGTTATTACACACTACAAAAGCTATCTATGATTAACCCACCACAGCAGGACGGTTTACACTCATTTGAATGACTCAGAGAAATTTACATCAAAGCCTCTGATACAAAGCTCACCCCGCTCCATCTAAACAGCTCAGGAGATAAAAGCCTGACTCTTCTCTGAAGCTACAGGAGACTGTGTTTGAGAGATGATCAGAGAGAGGCGAGAAATCCACTCGATTGCTATCTTCAATCCCCGGATCATCCAGCTTTCTCAACAGAAGTAGCTCAGTTCAACAGTTTAACAGCATCTTCCTCCTCTTCATTCTCAAATCTAGAGCTCTCCTCTGCCCTCTTTCTTGTCATTGAACTCAAACACGCAACAGCAAGAAGTCAGCCAACAACTTTTAGCAAAAACCAAGACATCGTCCGCATGGGAAGATTTTTTCTGGAAGTCAAATGTCTCACCTTTACTGGCCATTTTGGTTGCAGCTCCCAGTGTTTCCCCTCACACACAGCCTCTGTCCCTCACACTCTGCCCCGCCGCGCTCCACTTGCCCCTCTGAGCTGTTTTTGGACACCCCCCTGCTCGCTCAGCAGTCCAAAGGCCTGACAGCCCAAAATAATCTTTTCGCAGCACCGCCCACTACTCTACAAGACTCTGGGAGAGATTCGCACAGAGTGAGATGATGACAGAAAAGACGATTTACAAAAGTCACTGAATTCTGTCATCTTCATCAAAACAGATACTCGTGCTCAAGATGAATCATTAATTTGTTGTATTTCACACCGAATTCAAAATGGAGCTTTGCTTCTATTCACGCCCTGTCTAACACCTGAAACAGGAGAGGGTTTATTTTCTGTTATGTCACCACTTGAGACAGTGCAACCAGTACTTGTAATATATAGACGAGTGGCTTGATTCCAAATTATTTCTAGTTAAGGTGCTAAAAATAAAGCTGACAAAAACTTTAAAGGAGGATTCCGTATGCTTGGCAATAATTACCACACGGATGATCAGTTTATGACGTAGTTTTTTGGTAATGAGCTCAGAAAGAAATATTCGGTTTAAAGCTCTTGTGCTGAACTTTGAGTTTGTGTCGATTTTGGTGCCCCCTGTGGACAAAGTCTCTCTCTACTGGTTTGTCCTGTACATGTTTAAGCAGAAACTCTCATTAGACTTTGTTTTAGCAGTACAATAAATAACTGTGACTATTTGGTATGAAAAATGTAAATAAAGACTTTTAAACTTCCAATTTCTTACACAGATAATAGACTTTAAAATAACCCTGTTGATTGTGGTCTTGTTTGCTGTTGCTGGACTAAAGTAGCGTATTTCCTATTTCAGTCTGTTTAATAAACAGCCAAAACTTCTTAAAGGAGCTTTAATCGTCTACCAAATCGACTATTTAAACTGTGCTTATGGACTCACAGACATTGACATAAAGATACTTTCAGTGGGATAAAGCACAAATCCCCTATGTTAATCAACAAAGGGTTTGGTGCAATTTTAGCAAGTTTAATCTTGGCTTCAGGAATGTCACTTTTGTATCGCCATGCTAGACTCTCTTATTAGTTGTGCCAATAAAGCAATGAGGTTAAGTTGCAGCCCCTCAAAGTTAGTAATAAAACCACGTGAAACATGACGCCCCAATGGAAGCATGTGGGCTATTTATTCAGGACACCCTAAACTCTGTCATCAGCCTGACCACACATTCATCAGTGTGAGGGTTTACTGCCCCCCATGTCCACTAAAATAAGACTGAGCTCTCCTCTGACTGAAGGTCCACTTAAAATACCAGCAGGCCAGAAGACTGGACGGTATCTCTTTGTCTCTCTGTCTTCATTTAAATACTCAAAACACACACACACATACACACGCAGACACACACACACATCTGTCTTTGTGCTTGTGGCAAAGAGTGATTCATCCTGACATCAGCAGTGATGGCATGCAAGTCCAAAAAGTCAATGCCAAAAATGCTTTCCTCACAATTAGCACAATCATCCCTTAAACTGTGAGGCAGGGTTACCATGGAGACACGATGAATAGCCAGGGGGTCCTTGGGGTCTGCCTATCTTTGTCTGCCTGTGTTTGAAGGTCCATGCTGACAGTGAAATCTGATATTTTCCTTATTCAAAGAATCGATGAAGCAGCAGAGAAGAAGAAGCGTCTCACTCAGCAATAAGACAAAGACACAAAGGAGAGGAGCTGGCAGACGGAGGTCGGAGGAGTGACGGCGTTTACAGATACAGGAGTGATACAGAAGTGATACAGGAGTGAGTGCTGTACCTGCTATGTGAGTGCATACTGTCGGCTCCTCTGATAGGCTAAGTGCTGAAAACCAGTGATCGCTGACCAGCTGTTCCTGAGAGTTTAGACCGGTGGCAGCTTGCGATGAAGACGCCGGGCCTCGGGGTCGTACAGATGTGAGCAGCTTGACTGATATGGTTTCCCTGGAGACGGGAGACTCTGGCTCTGGGGTTGGGGATGCTGCTTCTGCTGCTGCTGGGAAACAAGAGATGATGTCACTGTGATGATGATGATGTTACTGACTGGATGCACACCCTCAGCCTTAAGTCTGGTTACTAACAGAAGATTCTAGATCTTGTTATTATAAAGTTTGTGAGCTGAGTTATCAGGGCAAGAACATATGTGTTGTAGTTCCAGTTTTAGGTCAAACATTTTTTCATTATAGTGGCTGAGAACCGCGACTGCTGCAAATAAAAAACAATGCAAAAAAAGAAGCCAAAATAGAAGTTACTGATGCAAAAAAAAAAAGAAACCGAAGCCCACTGCAAATAAAAAAAGAAATGGTGCAGATAATAAAAAATAGCCACAATGTAAGTTAGCAAAAAAAAAAAAAAAAAAGTTACTCACTGTGAAAATAAAAGGATGCAAATAAAAAAAAGCCACAATGGAAGTGGCATCGGTAACTTCCATTGTGGCTTCTTTTTTAATTGCAGCAGTTCTTGGCCACCGTATTTCATTACTCAAATTCAAAAAAAAAAAAAAAAAAATCACCAAGAAAAGCACTCTGAGAAATACTTTCAAAGTTGATACTAAGCCTTCATGATGTTACTCTAATTATTTGTGGCTAATTATAATATAAAATGTATACAAACAGAAACTATAAGGCTAAGTAAAATAGAGCCATAAAGGACTTCTGGATGTCTTCCCAGCTGTCTGCAATCATCAAAAGGGCAAATAATTGGCCAAAAAACTGTCATGTCTGATTCATACATCTGTGGGAGCCCTAAATTAAACAGTCAAGTACCTATGAAATCAGTTTTTAGTGATAAAGGTGTGTGATAGTTGCAGGTTGTCATGAATTGATTATGTTTTTGTTAACTAATAGCTACACATATTTTTGGGGATTTCCTCCCTCAGTCTCTCAGTGGCTCTTTGTCCTGTGAAGTCGTTACAACATCACAACACAATTTATATTAAAATCTATCAGGCAGCTGTTTTAGTTTTGATGCTCAGGATGGGAAAAAATATATCAGTCTGTCTCTGTTATGAATAACTGGATCATATGTCTGTCAAAGGTAGTGTGTAGAGTTTAGCTTTAGATTAGATTTAAAAGTCATTTTTGTTGTTTTTAACTCAGAATGATCCTTTATATAGACATTGGTGTGGGTCCCCTTTCCACAGAAGCTGCTGTTTTGCACCGCTGTGTTTCTACAAGAGCACAGAAAGAACAAACTGTCAATGTATGTGTTTTTGCATAGCTAAATGCACAGGTTGGGAGATGATGACGAGGAGAGCAGTTGTTGTGCACATACTGAGAGGAGTTTTTCAAGATTATAACTCGACAAACAGGCGATCTATTTATGATGCACGTCAGGAGCTCCATATTCTTGAACAGGAATGGTGAGGTAGGAAGCACATAATCTATAATCTGACTGTTCTAATTTCACACAAACCTTTAATTTTCTTCACATTTTGAGGTCATAAAAAGCCTCTAAGGGCTTTTCCTAAAAAAGTAGGTCCCCTGACATGTTGCCATCGTTTACATTCAGTCTTGTGTGCTCATAAATATTGCTCCCAGGCTAAGCCACATCAAGTCAGCCTAAAGGTATGGACGCTGTTGTGATTTTAATATAGGAGTAGTTTTTGGCATTTCATGGTTTCACACTAATGCTGGTAGAATGACCAGTAGCAAAGAAGGAATATCCATGAAAAGACGAATGAATTTTAATGTTTTGAATAAGGAAAATGTAGATCCTGCAGTCTTATAAACTGTGAAATTAAATAATCCAAAACCGTTAAAGCAAATGGTCCATTTTTCATCTTTGATCAAATCACCAATTTGTAAGATATCTGACAAGTTATCAATGTTTTACCATGTTGGCAGCCAGAACAAATGGCAGCCCATTGAGAGGTGCATCCCTGCAGTTAATTAAAAACGGGTTCATGTTGATGTTCAAGGAAAATAGAGTATGTAAATCATCCACTACACTTCACAGCCCACTTGATATTAAGTGTCACTTGAACAAATCGCCTCCTCAGTCATGATACTCTGGTAAACAACACAGGGAAAAACAATCTCTGCTTTTCCTCTCTTACCCTGCGTTGTCTGCGAAGGACCCTGATCCTGGGAAGACAGAGACAGAGATGGAGCAGTTCGGCTCTGACTGCTCTCTGTTTCTTCTCTCTGGATCTCTGCATCTCTCTCCTGAGTGTCCTGGTCCAGATTCTGGGTCGTGGGCTGGATTGTTATAGTCTCAGTTTGTCTTTGCAGCTCCCTCCTCGCGGCTGCCCGCTCCTGCTCTCTCCTCTCCTCTTCCTCTTCTCGATTGAGGAAGGCTTGAGGGTCCCAGTCCACGTCTGGTGAGTCCAAGAGAGTTTCCAGGGTGTCTGTGCGGATCAGAGGAGTGCGGCTTCCTCTGGATCCTGCCCTGCGTCTGTCACGGAGATGTCTAGAGGCCCCCACCGCTTCGGCCTCTGCGATGGCGATATAAGAGAAAGTCAGCTCAAAGGAGTGCTGCCGCGGTGTCCCCCAGATGGAAGGAGACGAGGCCAATCCATCCTCATCATCTGGATCTCCACTTACTCCCTCATCATCGTCAGACCATTCCCTCGCTGTTTGCAGCTCGCACAGCTCCGACTCCTCATTTCCACCTGAATGGAGACAAAAAAGCATCATTGTCATCCCCAAAACTCTCAATTACAAAAAGACTGCTTATTACTGTGTGCGTACAAGGTCTGTGTCAAACAAAGAGAGTTTTTTAGCTTGTAATAAATAGATATGTCAGATGAAAGCAGCCAGGTGTGTCTCTTGATGTCTGATAAAAAGGTGTGTGACTTCCAAAGTGAGTGAAACCCTCTTTGATGAGGGAATAAACACGGCGCCTCGCAAAATCTTCTCCTGTGTTTAAACATAGATCCTGGGTGTGAGGGTTTTACAGCTCAGGGAGGCTCTCAGATGTATTCTTGTAATATTGAGTTCAAGAGAAAGGTTTCAGACAGCAGGGATGACTTGTTTTCAAAAGTACTTTCTGACAGGATTTCTCAGTGTTTGGACAGTCAGAGAGAAACCTAATAAACAGTTTATTAGATTTGCTCCTTTCTTTCAAAGCTGTTGCACAAAGTGCGCCTCCCCTGCTTAAACTGTGGCTGTTGACTGTTCTTGACTTAACATTATAATGCAAATCTGTCCAGTTCTCTCATTTATAATTTCCCGATTGTTTTGGATAATACTTTGATATAATTTGTAGCTATAAAAATGATCAGGCAACACATCTCCATCTCACTTTGTTTGAAACATCACGAGGCAAATATTTGACTGCATATCAATGGTTTAACCTTGATAAAATTTAGAAAGTGCCTATGTAAATAAAATGCACAAAAGGACCCTTTTCTATATCAAAACTGGTACTTTGGCTGTTTTTCTTGGTTTTCAATGAGCTTTAATATCTTGTAGTTGTAGTTTAAATATGAGACATTTACTATTTACAGTCATGATTTTACATTTTCTTTATGCACACTGCTTTTTTGTGTGAAACTGAAATAAATCAGACATGCTTCATTACCATCGGTGCATGGGGGCGTAGAGTCTGGAGTGGAAGCCACAGAGCCATATTCCTCTGGAAGGGAACAAGATATGACATGAATCTATGAGTTAACATAGAATAGACAAAAAGATAATTGGCTATATAATCATTTTCATCTGTCATCTCACATTAAAGACCCAGCAGGAAGTTTTAAACAAGTTATTTGGAATTAGCACTGATGCCCCTTTATGACCAACAAAAGCAAACCAGTACGTACAATCAGCCGTGCTTTATCTGTAGGAATTTGATTTCACTTTCCAGCATTGATGGCTTAGCTGGTCAATAAACGTGCTGCTCTATACTACTATGATATACCTGTATTTGTAGTATATCAATATCAGATCAGAGAGACATAATCCAGTTGCATACTGCTGGTCAATGACTAGAGACTTCCCGTCAGAGATGACCTGGCAGCAGTAAAGGCCTTCACTACATTAGATAGCCAATAAATTCCCCCAGGCAGTGCAAACAGTGCAGCATATTCTCGACTCTGCACATAAATAAACACATGCAACTTTCCAGGAAAACACCTCGGAATAAACGCAGTTGGTATACGGTGAACTTTGTGGCTCATTTTGAGATACGACACAGAAACAAAACACCACACAAGCTCTATTTGGAGAGATAACTTGCACTCTTCTCAAAGCAAAGCCGTTCTGCACACATCTGCCAATCAATAGGAGGTAAAAACGACAGAATACGTCTTCCCTTTCTGCACTGCATCCATCCACTCAGCCATGTGTTTATGAAAGGCAGGAGCAGGAGGGAGGAATGGAGAGCAGGCAGAAAGAGGAGAGGAGAGGAGAGGGGCCTGAGCTAACATGTACGATGCTTACAGCAGTTAGCGAGCAAAGATGCTGAGCTGGAATATGTTCAAGTCAGATAAATAAATACAGGTGCTGAGGGCAGAACAAAAGCAGACTCACGGCAGTGGGAGAATCCTAAAACCTGGCCCATGCTCCATCAAGGCATCGCTGGGCCCATCCAGTCTGGAAGCCCCCCCCCACCTCCCCGCTTCCTTCTCTGCTGCCGGCTCTCACGTCCTGTAGATATGCACTCTCTCTCTCTTCCTCTCCTCTTCCTCCTCCTCCTTCTGTTTCTTGGTCCTCTGTTGAGTAGCTTCCTCTCTCTCTCTCTCTCTCTCCAGCCTCCTGCTCCGTCACTCAGCAGCCCCGCCCTGCCTGCCTCACTCCACCATCCTCCCTCCCGCCTCGCATCATCTCCTCCTCCGGCATGGTTATGGCTGCAGGGGTTGTAATACAGCACAGCGACAGAGGCATGAGAGAGCGTGTCTCTGCGTCTGTCTGCGTCTGTCTGTGCCTGCTGTTGGCCTCCATTCACAGCTCCCGTGTCTCTCTTCCTCCCTCGTCATGTGATTTTATCTGAGGATCCAATAGGGGGAGGCAGGAGGAGAGGGAGTAACAAGTGATAAATAATGAATACGCTGAACATATATAAACGTAAAGTGGGCAGGAGATGCCCAGAGCTCAATTTGAGTAAAAATGAACAGGAACTTATCAATCTGAGTTTAACAAAAAATGTTCACAGGCCAATGGATGAGACAAATGTTATCAAGCTTCCCTGACACTAAAAGGTAAACAGTAGATTACAATTATCTGAAACTCTCTTTTCACTTTCTGTGCTGCTTCTTCACTGTGTGCACGCCCATCTTGACCCGATCAGTTAAGGTAAACAAATACACACTTCGGCTGGAACACTGCCCTCAGAGAGCAACTTCGATTGATAACAGGTTTATCTCTGTTTATAGCTGGATAAGTATCACAACCTCAGGAGTTCCTACATGCGAATCAGGTCAGGAGCTCCGAAATACCAAACTGTTAATGAGATCAAGATGCGCAGCTGTCAAGAAAGGCATCGTGGAATCAGCAGGTCAGAGACCAAAATAGGGAAGAAGTACAACCTCCGCCCTGTTTTACCTCTACCCCGTTTTGGCACAGTGAGGTTAGTTGGCATTGAATACTACTCTGGGAGATAGTCCTTGAACTTTTATGTATGCATACTTTTCAATCCAAAACAATTATTAGGTTGTATCGGTGAATGGTCTCATAAATCTCAGTCACATAAAACTAACTTTCTCAAAAAATTAATGAAGCTTTTAAACCCTTGCCAAGATTTTTTATCCTGATTAAGCAAATTTCCAGAAAAAAAAGAAAAACATCAAAGTTATAATAATAATATTGCATCAGAATTCATACAGCGCTTTATCAGAGACCCTCAAAGTGCTTTGCACTGGATACATCATTAATTCGCTCCCACAGTCACACCTTGGTGGTGGTAAACTAACCTAGTAGTCACAGCTGTCCTGGGACAGACTGACGGAAGTGTGGCTGCCAGTTTGCACCTGTGGCCTCTCTGAACCACTCATACGCCAATGGAGGACACACACTGGGAGCAAGGTGGGTTAAGTGTCTTGCCCAAAGACACAACAGACAGACTCAGGATAGGGGGGGAATCGAACCACCAACCTTCCAGTTATTGGACGACTGTGCTTGATTTAGAGAGTCAAAGGAGTCAAATGGAGTTAAATGAAAGCATGTATACTGAAACAACAGAGGCTCTAAACTCGATCCCTGGGGGATTCCATATTTCATGGAAGCAGGTGATGATAATGAAACTGAGAAGGTTTTGTCTCTATGTTAAGAGCATGACCATGTATGATGGGGTCAGCTAAGTTGGCCATGTGTTTTAAGGAAACTTGAGGAATAACTGTGTAAAGTGAAATGCTGACCTGCTGACCAGATTGGTATTTCTGGATCTCTTTAAGTGGGCAGAAATCTAGGAGAAGACAACTACTGTCTTAAAAAACAAGGAATTGTCACTTGAAGAAATGCCAGCAGTTGCTACCCTCAAGGGTTTATGATACTTTATAAGGCATGATTGTCTAATGTTAAGGGGAGAAAATGCAGGAATGACCTGTGAGAACACCTCTGATCAGGTGCTTGGGAAAAAAAAAACAAGAAAAAAATTAAAATTAACAAAATTCTGTGCAACTATCCCATAACGTGACGTTTTTTCATATCCGTTTCCTGCTTCAGACATGCCGAGTGACCATCCTTCTCTGCTGTGTAATATGTCTTGCCCATAATCCTACATGTGTGCAGACGTAGGTCATGTGGGCCGCTTTGTAGGCCAGGTGATTATCAAGCAGTGTTACACAGACAGGGGGAGGGAAGAAAACAAGGCAAGGGATAAATCAACAGAAATAGACAGACCAATAGAAGCGCAGGGCTATTACTGGACGGGTAAAGACGAGAAGAAAAAAGAAATAGATGCACAAACAGATAGACACGGAGAGGAAGACACTCTTTGGTCCTTTTGTTGAATAAAAAAGACGGAGCAAGAATTTCAGGAATTTACCTGCAGAGTGAGAGACACAAAAATGGCTTTGGTTGTTTTTAACAGAAAACCTACTCTGTTTTTTATTTGAAAGGATTAAAATTATTCAAAGTTACATTTTTGTTTACCTTTCCGGGGAGCCAAAACATACCTGTTGCGCTGGACCTGCTGCGGAAAACGCAGGGCGGGAGGAGGGGCACCCGGGGGAGACGAGCTGCTGCCAGGCCAAGGAGGAAGCTCCAGAAAAGACTCCGCGTGGTGATGAGGACAGCCAGGCGTGCCAGCAATGTGGAGGTGCCGTCCTTCCTCCGTCATCTGGTCAAAGAGACAGAGAGGGTGGTCACCTTCTTCTTTAAAGGAGGAACCAGGGAAACGGATATTGAGGAGGAGGAGGACAGCTTCGATGAGGACAACTCTTTCCCCAGCCCGTACCTGGATCGCCCCATCTTGGAGAAGCATGTGTCGGAGGGGGGATCTAAGTCAGGTTTGAACTACGCTTTGGCCAGCATGCAGGGCTGGAGGGCTCAGATGGAGGATGCCCACACCTGCATGCCGCAGCTGAAAGGAGAGCTGTCAGAGTGGGGGTACTTTGCAGTTTTTGATGGACATGCAGGCACCACAGTGGCACAGTACTGCTCCAAAAACCTGCTGGATCACATCCTGGCTACAGGTACGAGAGAAAACATCAACAACTAATGAGACCAATTTCATTCGTTGAGAAAATTAAGTTCCTAGTACTGAAAACATGTTTTAGGATGTTTAGCTTAAACACGTGTACTGGAAGTATTTTAAGACAACAGAATCAGCAAAATCCATCTGGTGTAACATGATCTATAGTGAAAGTGAAATCGTTTTACAAAGTTATTTGGCAAAAAATAACATATGTTTTTTCTTATGGAAAGTAGAGGGTTTTTTTTGGATGTTTCAAGTGAATGTGGCTGATCTCAAACCTGATAAGATAGTTCTGACAGTTTGAGTACGATACTATCTGCATTTTCTTTTATTGTACAGCCAAAGTGTTATCAAAATAGCTGATCTATTTGAGATGGATTTCTGTTAGACTCCATTTTACATTCAGCCTGGGTCAATGTATTTTATCCACTGCATCAGAGCATGGGAAAACAAACAAACAAACAAACAAACAAACAAATGTTTTCCCCTTATTTCCAACAGGTGTGGTCAAAGCCAGTACAGACCCGGAGCAGGTAAAGGAAGGGATCCGTGAGGGCTTTCTGGACATTGACCGCCATATGCACAAACTGGCTCGCCAAGACAACTGGGACCGCAGTGGCTCAACTGCAGCAGCTGTCATGATATCTCCAAATTACATTTACTGTATCAACTGTGGAGACTCCCGTACCCTGCTCTGCCATAATGGTCAGGTGGTCTTCTACACGGAGGACCATAAGCCGTTCAACCCCAGAGAAAAGGAGCGTATCCAGAATGCTGGGGGCTCTGTGACCCTGCAGAGAGTCAACGGCTCACTTGCTGTTTCCAGGGCACTGGGGGACTTTGACTTCAAGGAGGTGGACTGGAGGCCTCAGACAGAGCAGCTGGTGTCACCAGAGCCGGAGGTGTACGAGCTACAGAGGACGCCTGAAGATGAATTCCTGATTTTAGCATGTGATGGTGTGTGGGACGCCATCGGGAATGAGGAACTGTGTGCTTTCGTGCGCAGTCGTCTGCAGGTGTGTGATGACCTGAGAGAGATCTGCACTCAGGTCATCGACCTCTGTCTCTATAAGGTGAGGAGTCCAAAATAGAATAGAAACAAAGAAGAATCATTGGAATAACTCACTGGCTGATAATTATCACTCAGCAATTGTCTACACTTATGGTGCAGGGTTAGTTCAGGTCAGACAGGGTCGAGCAGATGGATTTATGAATGGGAAGCTTTACGTTAAGCACAGTCTGTGGTGGGCCTTTGTACAGTGAGGGCAGGGTCTCTGCTCCAAGGAATGACACTGATGTTATTACGTAAGTAGATTTCTCCTGCAGGTCATCTTAATGCTTGTTAGTAACTGCCTGTTTGGATGGTGACGAGCTTGCCCTATAAATAGCTGCAGGGATATAGGATAGCAGGGGAGAAATGCTACACAAGGCTCGGATTAACACTGAAAGGGAGTCCGTTGACGGCAGCCCACTGTTACCACTCCATACAGACCAGCTCAGCCGCTTTATCCCGGCCGAGGTGTGCTGCTATTTATTTCACCTAAAAAGGCTTACAGTGAAAAGACTGCCTGTACCAGTACGCACTTAGCCTCTCTGATGTCATGACCAACAGGCTGCTGGAAAACTTAGTGACTTTAAAATACAGCCGGGGTTTTTTTTTAACTAATGGAGTTTATGAACAAGTAATAATATTAAACCTAATAGTGCAGACTGGGGACAAAGCTGTAGCATTATGGATAGAGAACATTGGATAGGCTTAAATGTACAGACCTCAGCCTTTCCTTAGTTTCCCTGTCAACACACTTTTGAGAAGGATGGAATATTAGGATCATGTACTGGAGTAAAAATACTTATACATCAATGTGTTTTAGCTTCTTCGCAAGTATTGCATTAAAAAGATATTTAAAATATTTTGACTCTAGTTTTCAGGGACAAACAATCACATTTAGGCATGCTAAGGTTTTATTTTTATCACTGACTTAAAATTTAAACTGCTATATGCCACAAATGCTTCAGGTGAATTAAAAAAAAGTGACATTTTATGCATGGTGGAATAAACTACATACAAGGGGGTTAGTTTGCAAAAAAATCAAACTACAAAATAAATACTAGGATGTGAAATTTACCCTCTATGGGAACAGCTATGAAGTGCTTTTAAATGAAAATACTCCACTGCAGCTTTTGCACCTCTCTCACCATTCTGCACGCTGTCTCCCCCTGCAGGGCAGCTTGGATAACATCAGCATCATCATTGTCTGCTTCCCAGGCGCCCCCCAGGTGTCACAGGAGGCACTGCAGCAGGAGGCAAAACTGGAGCAACTGATTGACGTAAAAGTGGAAGGTGATTGAAGACTTTCCTCTCTATCTGACGCACAGTTTAATACGTTTTAGCCCCCTGATCTATAACTGTGTCCTCCTTTACAGAAATTGTACAGATGATGAGGTCCAGAGATGAGGATCCTGATCTTCTGTATGTCATTAAATTCTTGGCTGCTGAGGAGCTGCCTGGGCTGCCACCAGGGGGAGGCATCACCAGCAAGTCAGTCAGAGTGGTTTCCCCTCTCCTAAGGGACACTTATGAATATTTCAGGGACTTTGAATAATCCTCTAAATCCCCCCAAAATAATCCTTTCAACATAACACCACTGTTCCTCTCTTTTCAGGCGGGACTGTATCATCTCCGCTTATCAGAAACACATCATGGCCCTCAAATCTCAGGAGCCCATGGTAAGACACATGAAATCACTCACAGATTATCGTAGAAATCAAACTAGTAAACTGATCCTCAGAGTGGCATAAAAGTAAAAAAACGACATCTTTAATGTTCGTACTCATTTTAGTTTTGTTGTTGTGGCATTTCAGGACATCGAAGGATCATCAGAGGAGTCAAATTAATGCCATCACTATAGCAACAGAAGAATCATCATCATCATCTTCTTGGAGAGCAGCTTTAACAAGACGCCTGGTATTTTAGACAAGCACTTAACTTCTTGTTCTTTGTATCATGTTTCCTCTTGAAGCTTTTCAGTTAATTAAAGTGAAGTTGAAATCCAGTCCCACTGTGTTGAATTTTTGCACGTCGGTATTTTAATTTTTAATGTTTTTTGCAGGTAATGCTCAATCATATCTTGGGTTACTTTGACTAAGACTGGAAGCTTGTATGAGGCAGCTCTTTCTCTAGGATCCAACCCTCCTTGTTCTAAATTAAGATGGATTTGATATATGTTTTTCACACGTGGCCTTGGTTCAAATCAGAGCCTCTCGTGAGGAACTGCAGTATGCGGTGTCTCCCAGTAAATAATTAGTTCGCACGGGGCTGTCGGGCTGCAAAGGTGACATGGACAGTAGTTACTTGTTATAGCATGAACATAAAGGTATGCTGTATGGAGAGGGAGGGGGAGAGAAGATGAATGAAGAATGCAGGAGAGAGCTGAAGGAAGGGGGGTGAGGAAGAGAAAGGCCATACTTAGAAAAGAGGATGAGATGTTCCCAGGAATTAGCACACATACCTCATTAAACATGGTACTCCACAGGACTTTAGAGTGGATGTGTCATGTGTGATGTCAGCGAGTTATTTTAAAATCCCTCTTTTTTTAGGAAACAGATAAACCCATCCTTATTTAGCTCACTGATAGTAAAGCTTATTCTATTATTATACATTTATGTTAGAGCAGTTGTTTCTATTACAGCTTAAAACACCAACAAAACTCTTGATACATTTCTAAAGTTACAGTTTCATTACTCTCTTATGACAGATTTTGTTAAAATACTTGTACTTGGGAAGTGTTGTGGTTTGCAGTCAGAGTGGTGTTATGCACAGGCATGTCAATCATCCCTCATTAGTGTCCACTAATTGATAGATGAGTGTACAGCTCATAATCCCCTCTTAGATGTTCTTTCCCCAGAAATACTTATTTCTTGCGTCTAAGTTTGTAAAAGTGTAAACATAAGTCCACATAGATGGGAGTCTTTAGCTCGTCAGCACTTGTGTACGTTCACGATCACTACGGTCTCTCCTTTAGCATGCTCACCTGCCTCCTCCTGCTCCACTCCCTGCCCTCCTCTCTCCACCTGAGGCTGCATGATAATCGCACAAAGAGTTAGCGTTGATGAAAGAAAGATACGGCCTCTGACAGCAATGATTTTTTTTATTACAATATTTTAATTATTTTTTTAGATTTTATTAACTTAATTTTAATATTTACATTTCTAAACTGTACAATTTGTCAATGTTTACTGGGGCTAGGACAACATGCTTTTCTCACGATTCGATTCTTCTATGATTTTTTGGATGCCGATTCGGTTTAAATTGCGATTCTATGATATTATCGATTTTCTTGATTTTTAGTCTGCATTTTTAACACCAGTGAAACAGTTGAATGATTATGATTGTCTACTGACTATTCCAGGAACCATATTTCCCCAAAAAATACTCATCAGATGTAAGTCAGTTTTTAAGATTAATTCTTAGATTTGAAAATAAATATCGATATTTGACTTAAAAATTGTAAAACAAAAAATTGTGATACTTTTGTGAATCAATTTTCTCTCCCACCCCCAACGTTTACAGTAGTTTAGGGCTTCAACTTTTTGGTTACTTGTCAATCTCTTGAATGAGTTCTCAGTTAGATACTTTTTTTAATCTATTTTCAATTTCAACAGATCTTAGGTGACACTCATTAAAAAGGCTGATAAGGTGACAAATTGTCTCACAACAAAAACGATCCTCCATGTGGCCTCACAAAAGTTTCAATATGTCTAAAACTAACAGGTCCAAATCAAACTGACTCCCCTATAGGAGTCTTTAGCTGGCTCTCTGCAGCTGTCATGAGTTCTTCAGAATGTGTCGTGAGGGTGGGGCGAGGCTCGGCACCTCTGTATTAATTGAGTGTGCAGAGCTTTTGTTGGACATAGTGCCCTTCTCACCTCCTCACTCCTGGCAAGTCAGATCTCTCAAATATTCAAGTTAGGTCTACACGGACTTGGCTGGGAACACTTGGATCACAACGAAGGGGTGGAAAAGGAAGAAAAAGGCCTGAGAGAAAGACAAGAAATTTCACAGAGAAAATGTAAGTACTGACCGAGCTTAGGTGGTCTCTTGAGTCTACTCTGGGTGCTCTGATTACTGACATAAGACATACTGCTGAAGTAAGATGCTGTTTACAGTGTAATGGCTACCTAAGGGCCCATTAGGCAGAAACTGCTGACAGGTTAAGCATGTATCTGAAAAACATCAACTTTAAAAGGGGAACCTATGGAAAAAACAATGCTTTTTTCTAAGGGTTGACAAGCATAGCTATTTCAGAGAAGGGATTTAGGTTCAGCCTTAGAGATAAATAAAAAGGTCAGATATGAAAAAGAAAAAAAACCTAAATCATGTGGGATTGACTGAAGACCATAAAATGCACCTGAAAGGTAAAGTGCAGTGTTATTATCATTTAAATGCTTTTGTAGGTCATAGAGAAGTGTCACTGTTCATTTCATTCTGCTCCTTCATTGATCAAAAACTTCTCAAAGTAGCTTTAACTTTAAGCAATTTTAAAACCTTGCTACTTTTGAAATACATATTAAATGAAATCATTTTGTTTCATCTTAATCTGAAGATTCAAAAATATAAAATGTTTTCATGTTTTTAAAACTAAATTTGTTGTTTGTGTAACAGCACAGAAAGGTCTCTTTTTGTGATTAACTCTGGGCGGCTAAGCCTTGAGAAATAAAGTTTTACAGAAATAAACTGTAATGGGCCTTTTTTCAAAATGATAAATTTGATTAAAAAAATTTACATTTGAAATAAAACAGAAACGTGAGTGACGTGCTAAAGATATGCTTTATCACGTCTAGAGGCAATCTGATATAGAAAAATGTATTTTATTTTATTTTTCATTCTATTTTTATTTATTAGTTCCAAAGATCAGACCATGATATCAAAAATAGAAAAATAATGCTTTTAAAGATCAAATACACGAGGAGAATGTTGAAATCACATTTTAAAAGTCAAAATACAAAATATGTCTTAAAATTTAAAATTGAGTTGAGGCCTTGAGTTTGACACCTAGAGTATAAATATTTTAACTAATAATTTTACTAAAGCAAATCTTTATTTAAAAAAATTTGATTCAATAAAAAGTGATAATGAATCATGTGATTTTTTTTAAAGATTTCCAAAAAAGAAGAAAAAAGTGAGAGTTGAAACTGTCACGTGACCAGTTGCTACCTGAGAGCTAATTAATTAGCTGTCGCACCTGTGGGCTAACAGGTAGATTCAGGTAGCTTTGTTAACTCTAGAAGTGGGCCATAGAGGTGCTGCACACCATGTTTCTGAGCATTATAGTGTAGAAAAAGTTAAATCCTTCATTGTTATTATCTGTAGTCCTCTTCTTTTCCACATGGAGCAAACACATTCAGTCACCGCAGAGGAGACAGTAAACACGGTACGCTAACCGACCAAACGAACACACCTGGATGAAATTTCTAACAAGCAAAAGTTGGATACCTTGGAAGTTTAAATTCTAGTGTGTACATGTTAGACAAACTAAAAATAACTTAACTCTATCTCATTTATTGTCTCCTACCTGTAGCCAGGAAGGATGCCGCTAAATGCGGGAGACACGGGGTACGGCAGCGTAGCAGGCCCAGGGCTGACGGGCAGTGTGGGGGCCTCAGAGTCAGCCCCGCTGCTGATCCCGGTGGGGGACGGAGAGCCGATCCAGCGGTGGGAGCCAATGTCCAAGGAGGAGCTGGAGGTGGCCGCCGGGGGTCCGGGTTGGAGGAGGGTCCGCTGTTACCTGGTGCTGCTGTTCTGGTTGGCGTGGGTGGCCATGCTCGCCACCTCCATCGCCATCATAGTGATGAGTCCTCGGCCGGTGGCTACAGAGCTCAAGTGGTGGCAGAAGTCTCTGTTTTATCAACTACAACCAGACCTGTTTACGGACAAGAGGAGCGAGGGGTCAGAGGGCATCAACGGTGAGGAAATAACCCTGTCTTAAAATAACCACACAGGGGGTGTTCTGATTTGGGACAGCAGTCTGATTCATGTGGGTACAGGCACATGGAGGTATGGAGGGGAATTAATTCAATTTTATTTGTATGGCACTTTTTCAGACTGAAATTAAACAACAATAAAACCCAACCCTTCCACCCACACACACAGACACACACCCACTCACACTCATCCACGCATACAGACCCTTTCCAAAAAATCAGAATATCATGGAAAAGTTTATTGATTCCCATAATTCCATTCAAAAAGTTAAAGTTTCATCGATGATAGATTCAGGACCCACAAAAATTAAACAATTTAAAGTATTTATTTGTTTATTTTTACATAATGTGGGGCTTCCTGCTCATAAAACTCATTCAGAACAGTAGAATACTGTGAAGAAATCCCCATTTACTTATAAGTTTTTGCAACAAAAAAAGGAAGAAATTAGGATCACATCAAATCAATCAAAATATGGTGCTTTCAAAAATGACAAGCTTCAATACTTGGTTGGAAATCCCTTTGCCCTAATCACTGCCTTGATGCACTGTGGCATTGCCTGGGTGTTATGGAAGCCCAGATTTTCTTGATGCTTGCTGTCAGCTCTTTACAGAACAGAATTTAGTTCAAAGTAAATATGAATTTATTTTCCAATGAGAGTAGACACCTCTGGCTCACACTCCTGCATGGTCGGTGGCGGTAATCGCTGGCAACCTCTAACCGTTGGTTGCCATCTGCCGTAAAACAAAAAGTATTTTGATTTGGTTCCAAAATACTCAAGGACTTCCAGGACGCAGGGCCCTCCTGATTAGGCTTCAAGATTCCAAGATTCTGCTCTGGAGAGAAATGTTCTGGTTCTTTGGTTTTAGTTGCAAAATGAAATAGATTGACACATTAAAGTTCCTTGAAATTCGCAGGAACCATGAGTGGTCCTTTTTTATTTATTTGAAAAGTCTGGTTGACATCCACTTTCTTCCCGTAAAAACCTGAGTAATCACATTTGTATTCGGACTGCATGGGAACAATTACTTTGACCACCTTTGATAACCAAAATCACAATCTTTGATTGTAGTTTCAATACATATCCACTGCCAAATTTTGCATACTTGGCGTAGGTTGAACCTCACTTTCGTCAAGCCTCGTAAATATTGGATGTATCACGACATCTGTTTGCGGCTCAAGAAAAACACAACTTCAACTGATTTCAGATGGGACAGGTATATTACGCAGTGGAGCAAAGTTCAAGAATGGTTATGAGTATCTCCTTCGTGCTAAATGCATTTAAGGCCGTTTTGAGAGTTTATGTGTTAACCGTAAACAAACCAAACTAAATTTTGTGTGGAGAGGAGAGGTTTGAGAGGATAAATATCAGTAAGAAAGGTTATCATTTCTTATGTTTCTCTTTTCAGCTGTAAGTGAGCAGATTCCCTACCTACAGTCCTTGGGTATAGGGGCTCTGATTCTGGAGGGTCTATTTGATAAGGGGCCATCTCATCCAAACCTCACAGCATCTGATGGAAAAGTTGGAACTTTGCCTCAGATTCAGCGCCTAGTAGCAGAAAGCAACAAGGCAGGTGAGTAGAGTTGTTGTTTGTCCAACTGGTTGCAAAGTTTTACCCCTTTTAATGACATTGTTCCTGGTCTTTCAGGTCTTAAAGTGGTGTTAGACTTCTGTAAAGTGGACCACAGTGGAAATCAAGATGAAGCAGGAAATGCTGACAAGCTGTCTAACCTCTCAGCGACCACAGATGTAAGAATATACTGTCCGGCTATTAAAGTTGTTCACAGTTACCCAGGATAACTAAAACCTGACCTTTTCTACAGCACGAACTGCGGTTCTGGTTGCAGCAGGGTGTTGCAGGCTTTGCGATCTGTGACACAGATGCAGCTTATTCAGAAAAGGTAAACAAATACTTTACAGTCTGCAAATGAGCAGTGTTTCCGTAAACTCATGAAACGTTTGTTTCAGACCCTGATGGAGTGGAGAGGAGTCTTCAAAGAATTCAGCAGTGAGGGGGAGGAACGGTATCTACACATGCAGACGTGGATTTTCTAATTACCGTGAAATGAGGCTCTAAGGTTGATTGAAAGTGCCCGTCTGTGTTTTTATACAGGATTGTGGTGGTTAAACAGACCAGTGGCGCTCTGCCCCCTCTGAACAACGCTACATTGGTGGATGTGGTCGTGAGGTCAATTCTGCCTCCTTCAAATCACCGCCTGTCTGCTCAGGAAGTTGCAGATGCGATTGAGAAACACCTGCAAACAAAAGAAGAGGATATATGGCCCAGCTGGACTGTAAGACTTGTGCATAAAGAAAAATACAGTAAAAAATACTGAATCTACTTTAAGGTTTCATCCATGTGCTTTCATAATTTCTTTGACTCGTTTTATTTGGGCTGTAACGTCTGTTTACAGGTTGGAGGTAATGCGTCTCCTGATTTGAAGAAATTACTCCTGGTGCTGATGATGACACTGCCTGGATCTCCTGCTGTACAGTATGATGAAGACCTTGACAACAGACAGGTGAGAGTCTGCTTCAGACATGTGTTAATACATTTTAGGTGTTACTGTTACCTTACAAAAGTTTGCCGTTAAACAGAACCTGTCCATGAAAGTCGGCTCTTCACCTGGAGAGAATAATACATCAGTCAGTCATACGGTGAGTATAAGAACAAACTATGACTAACCCATTTCTTGTGACTTGTTGTCATACTTGAGTCTTACATGTTCCTCTGACATTTTACTCAGGACAAAGAAAAGGAGAGGCGTTTGGCTGTAGCTCTCTTCACATCTCTTAGCCACTCCAGAGCCAGAGAAGAAGCTCTTCTGTACGGCAGCTTCACTTTCCTCCCCTTCAATTCCTCCACCAACGCCTCCTCCTCTGACTACTCTCCTGCTGCTCCTCCGCCTCCACCTGTCCTCGCCTACCTGCGTTCTTGGGGTTGCGTCCACTTCCTCATCCTGCTCAATGTGGGGCCTGAGCCTCATGCCCTGGAGCCCACGTGGGCCCCGAGGCTGCCCAAAGCAGGAGTGTTTATGACCAGCACAGGAATGGACCGTTTGGGTACCACAGCTTTGGACTCAGTGACGCTGCGGCCCCATGAAGCTATCGTCATCAAACTGTTCGAGACGGGCAGCTACTCGTAGAGTTTTCCAAGGTCAGCTGTGTGGGAGTTTGTGGAGTTTTTCCTGTTACAGAAAGACAGCTGTCTGAAAGTTCTGTTTGCTCTGAAGGCATGTGCTCAGCAGTCACTGAAATAAATAAATGGTTCTGTCAAATGAATGTCTGGAGTTTGTCTCTCATGGATGAACTCATTCAGTGGTTTGTAATGTGTTAAAAATGATGTGAAAACAAACTGATAAAAAGAAAGGGGGGGGGGGGGTGTTTGAAGGCATTAAGTACATTTGTCATTTTTCTTTTCGAGAAAATATGACGTCAATCAGCTGCAGAGGTTTTGTCTGTGATCAATAGCTCAAAACACACTCATAAATTCTGTTTTGTAAGTTAATTATTACCGAGCCCTGCAGGTGATATTTTGAGTAACTATCACCTGGAGAGAGAATAAAGATTTGAAGTATTATTAATTTACTGCATGTTAACTTCCTGTTCTGTCACCGACTCTGACGAGTGGTAGCCTGAGGGGAGTTGCTGACTTTAATGTACATTCATGTGCTGCAATGAACATCAGTAACCACATGGTGGTGCTTGAGTACCATCTTTACCTTACTGCGTAGCCAACTTAATTTTGCAAGAGCATCAGGTCAATATTTGACATAATAATTAGTTTCTATAATCAAAATATACACAAATAATCACTCGGCTTTTGATTCCTCTATTGTTAATGTTGCAACTCCTTTTCATATGTAGAAGTCTACTGAAAAGTAGCACTTACAAATGTGAATATTTGGGCGCTTTAGCTTTCTGTCACTCCCAATCACACATCTGTGTTGACTTATAGATGCTCCACATAGACATTTAACAGTTTTGTGCAGCCAAAAGCTGATAATTTAGAACAGAATAGAAAGCTGGGATCAATTAATCCTGACTGAACAAAACAAAACCTTTCAGGCGGTGCCATTTTAGACTTTTTGCTGAATTTAATCCGTAACTAATGGAGGAACACACAAATTAGCAGGAATGTCGATGTTGCTCGGATCATCACAAACTTTAAAAGAAATTCCCCAAGCGGCATAATCAAAAACAAGAGTTGTGAAACATTTGGACAATTTTTAATTCCATCTGATAAACCCGATCTTTTTCTTTTTTTTTCAGTCACATATAATCTGAACCGTTTCATAAATACAGACATGTACATTTGTGTTTATATAAATAAATCCTCCCTTGTGGTACAGGCCCATGTAAGGGCTGTAACAAGACAAAAACAAATGATAAAATGAATTCAAACACCATCATCTTGTGTTGACCTTGTCCCTGCTTTTATGTCATGCACTGTAAACTGACAGGAAACATGCTCAGGTCTCATGATAGTCAAGAACTGTACAGAGAACAGTATTTTCTCCTCAGATGGGACTGTTTAAAATCACTCAATGTAAATATATTTCATTTCTGGGGGGAGAACATGCACGTACCTGTAATGGGAGACAATTTACTTGTATTAAACCACATAAATTAGTACCAATTTTTGAATGGATTTGCAACTTGAATATTTATACCCTTAGAGACAATATGTGCAAGAGGCAACCTGTCTGACATACTTTTGGCCATGCATGACTGAGACTCAAGACTGAAAAGTAAAAAGTGATTGTGCAAGAGGCAAAGAAAAAAAAAAGAATCACATCTGTTATCCATATGTCTCTGGACTTATCATTATAGCACAGTGTAAAAGCACAAATACACAACATTAAATTGCAACAACAGCAGTAAGTCACAAAAACAAAAGACAAATTCTTACAGTGCATTTTGCAGCATTTAAAAACCACAACAGACAATAACAAAACATTCACAGGGAATAATCAGGTAGCTCAGAAATCACTGAGGATTCAAAGGATTGCCACAATTAAACGATCCATGCATTACAATAGCATACTGGTCAGGACAACAAGTTGCTTTTTCGTGAACTGTACACATTTGAATATGTTGGAGTGATATCTGTTGTTCATTACATACATATATATACATATATATTCATGGTTCATAGCAGCAGCTGTCGGCGCTGCATGTGTAAGAGTGCTGCTTTGTCAGGGAAACCCCCCAGAATATCTGATGTTTAATGCAGATATGAATCCCACAAGTACTTAATTCTGGGAATAAAAGACTTTTTTAGGGTGAAAATAAGAAAAAGAAAAAGTTAAAAAATGGTCATTTTCTCACAAACCGCTATATAGCCCAACTTGGGGCTGCCCCAAGAAAGACAGCAGATAACAAACATTCAACATCGGCATCACTGTGCAGATCTGAAAAAGTCCACTTCTCTACTCAACAGGGAATGGATGGTTTTTCGGGGTCAAGATGATATATTAAACTATTAGACCACTAAACTTACCCTCCAGTTTCTTGTTTAACACAATCACAAGGTCAGAACTTTGATCCTTCCAATCTTATTTACATCATATTTACCTCTCACAGATGCATAACACACTTTTAAAGTATTAACATGTCACTTCAGTAAACAGAGAGCACAAACAGGTAATTTTGATGTTATTATAGTTTAAAGACACTACCGATGTGGACAATACAAAAGCCGAGAGTTACACTGCTGTGTCTTGAAGAAGGGGCAGAGAGAAAAATACATTCATGCATATCGTTTACCAATAAAGCTTTTCCCAAGTGCATGTATTCTGATTTTACAGTATATCATTCATAGGCTTTATATGGTGTAAAGCATTCCTTAGTGCAGAGTTACAGTGCTGTTGGATTTATGGCACAACTTTGAAATAGCGTCCATCCGTCAATGGAAGTTAAAGACCAAGTGTGATCACTTCTCCAATGTCAGTTCATTGTGAAACTGTGACGGCCTTGTACAGAAGATTTCCATTGCTTTACGTCATAGTCTTTATGTCTTGTAAAGACAAGCGGAGAAAGTTCTTATGCGAATGTTTTATGTCACAAACTTGCTCCAATGTTTTATCAGACATGACAGCCTCCAGGCCTCCACTCACAGCGGTAAACTGGGATACATGTTGGCCTGTGGAAGTGTAACATCTGGGGGGTTGCGCTGTATGTGATTGTCAAGGGGTAAAGACAGAGCGCAGTGTGCCGTCGTCTTCACCGCTCGTCTGCTGAAGCGGCAGCTGAGCAGAGAGCAAAGGTGACGAAACACAGATTTGCGGCAGATGATGAAGACCCAAGGATCCACGATGGGGTTGAAGGCGTAGAAGCGGAAAGCAGTCAGGTTCTCTTTGTCCCCACAAAATGGCTCGATGGCGTTGATGAAGCCTGCAATCTGAAGAAAGACAGCAGAATTTAGACAGAGCAAACTATTCAAACGTTACGCAACTTAAAGCAAGAGAGTTGCGTCTTCTGTTGACGGCTGTGGGTTAGTTGTGTTGCAACTACATTGTGGTGCTGCAGGGTTTTAACCTTTGTGTCCACAGCAGGTTTGGTGAGAGGGAATGACCTAGTTCACACACACACACACAGATAGATGCACAACCTAGGGGCTAGTTTGCATGTTGTTTTGGTACATTATCTTTCTGCAGCCTCGTCTAAACATCATGACTGCATTTTCCACCTACTCTGTACCAAAACTTTTCTACATACAATCTTAGTTTTTACTTTGCTGCAATGCTCCTCACAGTTGGGCATTGCACTGACTTTTGTGCATTAAAAATCTGTGTTTTTTTGTGAGCTAACAAGTGATGTACATAGTATTTAGGTTATTAGATTATTGCACAGAATAGCCTTGAAAGTTTTGGGTTATATTTTTAGGTGCTGTTTCTCTTGGAGAAGATTTTATTGGTGCGTTTTCTCTGGTATAACTTGTGCCTGCAAATCAAGACAAGCTTAGAAAGTTTGTGGACTTGCAAGCTGTGGTCAGTGCATCACTCCATTTAAATATAATTAACGACAGAGTTGATAGTTTTCAATAATATACAAAAGTACTCACTGGACTGAATAAGCAAACTAAGACATTGAGGCATGTTAAAAATGGAAAAAGTGTTCTCATTTTCCTCGTCATTTCATGTTGATTTATTGAATGAAATCATTCAAAGGGTTGTTTGTTTATGAGACTGTTCTCTGGTAACATTTTATTCCACCAGATGAAACATCATGACGAGAGGGAGGCGCCAAATCGAACCTGAATCATGCTTCTGAGATCAGAACAGGATGAGATGTAGTGCTGCTGCAGTCCAAGATGACATTGTCGGCCCTTTGGTGTTACAACCAGATGACAACACGTGAATGTGTGTTTGGTTTCAGTGTCAGTTAAGACTGCGGTTCTTTTTGTTTTGCTAGGCTTTACGAAATGTCAACATCAGTCTTTCTGTAACAGCAAAGAGACTGTCGGTGTGTGCACACGTTTAATTTTCAGAAGTACAGAGTGTCCTGAGAACAGATGTCGACAATGCTACAGGACAAAACCACAACTTTTTCTTGAGTTAACCTTTAAGGTATGACAGGCTGCAGACAGGCAACCTAGACGGCAGCAGCTGGCTGCTTATTCATCACACACAGAAAGGGAAGCAGATGGTCCAGAGAGCTTTGAAGACACCTCTTCATCTCTATCAACAATTCCTCATTTCCCCCTATCCAGCATACCATGACCTAATCAATGCCGTGTGCTGATTGAGTACTTCTGTGCATTTCTGTAAATGTTTCCCAGTTGCTAAGGCCTGGGCTGAAAACTAATGAGCTGGAGACAGTGTGAGAGCAAGTCCAGAGCCAGACCAAGCAGGACTACCAGAGGGACCAGACACAGGGCCGCCCGTGTCCTCTTGGTGCTCATTTACGGGCAGAGCTCATGAGGATGTGGTCATTCACATCCTCGTGGTGTTCAGATACGCCAGCCAGAAGGACTGAGGGAGGAATAAATAAATAAATAAAATTAAGAAGAATTTAAAAACATGATATCTTAAAAAACCCAGGAACAGAGTTGTCATTTTGGATGTGTCAGACGTGGTTACAGTCCAGACTGGAACAAAACAACACCCAGATGTTCATGACTTTCATGTTATTTGAGGTTGTGTGAAATTTCTTGAATTACTCAACCGACGTTGGAGCAATGCTGCTTGGTTCTCATTTTGTAAAGTACACAAAATGCCTCTACCAGAATCATTACTTAGATAAACAAGTTCTTCATATTTTAAGAGTTGTCCTAAACCCGTCATTTGTGAGGGATAGGCTGAGGTAAAGCCATCCTCTGTAGCTCTGGTTATTGGCCGTAACCTGGTAACGCCCCACCACTCTGAGCACAGTTGATCGATGGCATCTGCTGATGACTCTGCTCAATTTCATCAACTTTGATCTTGAAAATAAAGATAAAGTTGAAGAAGAAACATCTGTGCAACTCATCAATAAGCAGTCAAGTTACATTCATGCCTAAAATTATACTTGGAAGCAGCATTTGACTCCTAATTTCTTAAACAAACAAAAATGTTTCTGTTTGATGAATGATAAATATTATGTAATACCAACTTTGGCTGGTTGCACTTGTTGTTACTAAGCGTGTCATCCAAGGTTTGCCATGTTATTTTTTGTTTCATATCGTTTATTTTAATCTTCCACAGTCAGATCAACATAAAACAGTCTGAAGGTAGTCAGCTTTTTTTTTTTTTAAGTAAACCTTTTGTACCATAACAGTTATAAATCCATTAACTCTCTTGGCGTATGACCAAGAACATACCTTCTGCCGACAACAATTTGTTATTTGAAATTATGCTCATAGTAAAAACGAATGTTAGGCTCTCTGGCATAACACACACTAACAAACACGGTGACAAATGCCTCCTACGCTCAACATACACTTTATCTATCATGTAGTGTTGCCAGAAGCATTTCAAACAGACATGACTCATATACTGCCACCATCCTCGCTCCTCAGTCTTGCTTCTATTCCCGTATGCCACCCTGCCTCTTATGGTCCTCTCAGCAGACAGAGAGGGACACTTCATTATAAACTGTTCCCACCCCCGTTCCTCCAAGGATTGCAAACTGATTGGGTGTTAGGCTCCTCTTAAACGGGAGCGTATAGTGTCTAGTGTTAAAAGGGACATCCAGAAACAGTATACAGCAGCCAAGGAGTATGGTGATTGTTTAGGAGGACGGAGAATCATGCAGAGGCGGTAAGATGTAAATGGACCTACTGTGAGTCTGCTCATAGACACATAAAACCAGGCAAACATGTTCATATATGTACAGTTCAAACAAAGGTAAGCAAATGTACATTTATTATTAATCACTGCTCTGCAACCTGAACCTGGAACTGATCCTAACACTACAGTGTAAAAGAAAACCAGCATTTTGTCACATTTTAGAAGTTGAACAAAAAAGGGAAGGACCCAAATGTAGGGCGACAAAAAAGGATTTATTTTAAAGGAACTAAAAAGCAACAAAAACTTACTGAGAATGTCCAAAAGAAAATTTTCCAAAGGCAAAAAACACAAGTGGCAAAACCCAAGGAACCAAAAAACACAGGAGACTCACTGGGGACACTGGACACACACACACACACAGACATACAATGAACCGACAAAGAAACAGGGGAAGACAAGGACTATATACAGTATACACACACACACAGGGAAACAAGCAGGACAGGTGAGACACAGAGACACAGGTGCAGAAAAAATTACTAAGGAGGGAAAACTGAGGACGTAAAACAAGACTAAGAACACAGGGAATAAACTACTACAAAATAAAACAGGAAACACTGAAAACTGATAATGAATAAAACACTGAGAACATGAGGGGACCGGGTCAAGACACAAACTGAAAACTCACAAGACAAGACTACAGGGGAACAGGAACAATAGGACACAGACACACGAGGGATAATAACAAAGGAAATACACTCTAGGGAAACACAAAACCAGGGAAAACTAACTCAAACAGCACACATCATGACACATAAAAGCGAGGAGGAAAAACTCCTTTTGTGACTTTAAAGTTTGTTTTATTTGTATCTTCATTTTTAGTTTCTAAAACACTCTACCTGACTAAGACCAGCAGCAGGGTTTGTGTACCTGGACTCAGCTGCTGTAGATGGTTACATCCTGGCAGAGACACATGAGATGCTATTTAGAGCTGATGACTGATGTGTCTTGTAGAAACCAACCCACGTAATGGATGTCTACACTCCACGGCCCATTATTTTCCATCATGTTCGTCCTGGAGGACTCCTGCCAAACCTTTTTTAAATGATCCTGTTTCACTGCAGGATCATTACAGGCGGGCGAGAGGAGGCCGTGAGGAGATTACAGGCCCTTAAGAGACGACTGTGTGTGTACAGAAGTGAGCACACAGGAAGGAGCGCACAAATCACTAACGGAGTTCAACATTAGGGAGCTTAGATTAATCGCCGTTCATTTGAGAGTAATAAAAGAACTAATACACCAGAGTTAAAGTTAAATCAGCAATAAAAAGATTTATTTTGTTTATTTAGGGTGAGTTAAGTAAATCTGCAAACAACGTAGAGTAACTGACAGATATCAATCACCGTCTAAGGGATCATCTGGCCTTTAACACAGTCAGAAGTTCTTCTACTTCAAATCTAAAGGGCTCACTGTCACACACAAAATGTGTTTTTTTCTGTGTTCTTTTATTGAAAACAGTCAAGGAAAATTAAAATAGTAAGTGTAAGGAAAGAGGAAATACAGAGTTGGCCGTTAACTTTGTGCAGCTTAGAGTTTAGATGAAAATATTGCTCAAGTCAGGAGATGTTTGATATTGCTTTGCCTTAAGTATTACCCAACTTTTGAGATTATGGGGGTTTGAAAATGACATCCTTCAGCCTGCATTACACCTCAAAACTATTTTCCAGTTTTGCCATCTTCACCCTTTATGCAGCAAAAAGTGACAACTTTGGGACAAAAAACATGCACACTTGTTTTCACATTTATATTCTGTTTTGAGCTCTTAGTGCAAAAGTGAATCATCTGTATCTTTTGCCCCTTCTTTAATCTTTCAGACGAGATGTAATTAAATTGAACTATTCCTTTAAAATAAAAAGCTGTTTGACATGGGAGCCAACACAAACGTTGGTCACAAAGGTCATCAAAAAAAGTGTGAAACTAGTGTTACTGATAACATTTCCGCCCTGGTATTGGAGCTCACACCTAGTTTAACATCACACCATTTCAATGTTGACTCAGTCTTTCCAAAACTGCTCTATCTTTTCAAATCTGAGAAACTTTCCATCTCTCGTTTCTCGTTTATCAGCCTGAAGACCAGAAAAAGTCCAACAGAGACTCAAAAATCTTATTACACAACTTTTTACTTTGGAGTATCTGACTCTTCCCACGTGAATTCTCACAAACACCGAAGCTCATGAGATTATTACAACACTTATTTCATTTCTGACCATTTACTTGTCATTTTCAGTCATCCTTACTTCAAAGCGTAAAATCCCAGCCCAAAATGAATCTCAATTGTGTGTCCTCTCATTCAACTCCTGCAGGACCTGATGCTATTGACTCACACAGCGCAGAAATGTAAAAAACTAAGAGTGTTTCTGACTGCGGGGGAATTTTGTTGCTCCACAGGCAGCTGTTAGGAAGTTAGTGAGGAGGTGTTTTGCGTGGTGTGACAGACAGAAAAACATACAGTGGAAGGGGAACAAGTTGGCTGATTCTAAACGGCATCTGGTGCATGAAATCAACTTATTCATCAGGGAAATTTCTCCGCAGGCTTTGCTTGGTATGATCAATCTCCTGAGCATATTTTTAGAGTTATGTATGGGGCTGTTAATAAAGATATTAAAGTAAATGGGCTCATCTTCAGGAGGAAGAAAATATCTAATATTAATGAGCGGCAGCAAAGTGAAGCAATAAAGTCAGAGTGTTTTTTTTCACCAAGGGAATTCTGCTGTCTGAAAGTCCATTAGTGACTTTCCTCTTAAAGAAGTGCTCGAGGCTGCTTTTAGTCACCTGGAGTCTTAGACCTTTCACTGGAATCGAACAGAAATGTGCTAATGAGAGGAAACTATGCTAAAAGACAACAATCTCAAGTGAGAAATAACGAAAGAAGAAGGTGACAGATAGTAACGCAAGTAATGCTTCTTGTTTTATACATCACTCCAGTTCCAATTTGTGCAAAAACAGCTTTATTAAAACAGCATGCAGCCTTCATGTGTACATTATCTATCATTATCGTCCCTTTTTTTCTTATATACAGAACTGAGGTGAAACTGATTGTGAGCGTGAGCCTTCGGGGAAAGAAACGGTCTCACTTGATGGTGTGAGGGTGGAGTTTCGTTTTTTGTAACAACTGGAAACAGAAATTGCTGACAAGAAAAAAAAGTCTGTACACTAAAGAGGAAGTGAGAGAAACTGTAAGAGGTTGTAACCCACATAGAGGAATATGCGCTGGGCAGGTGAATTCAGCGTGTTGGTCGTGTCGCAAAAACCTTATCGCTTTCACAACATATTCGCCACAGCATAACTGAGATTAAGTGACAAGTCAGCAACACTTGTACCCAACGGATGCTTCTGAAGTCTCGGTGCTTCGTTGCCACTGTGAGATAGTAAAAGATAATCTGTAAAGAGATTTTACAGGCTGTTGTTATCAGTCACGTTCTTAAAAATAACAAAAAGTAGGTCATTTATGGAGTAAATACTTCAGAGCTGTTCTTGTGTTATTTCCATTTTATTTTGTCATTTTAAGTTTTTTTTGCAACACAACACATGATCTGTACTCAATGTGTAAACTTCAGTGTCTCATTTGCCAACAATTTAAAATATTAATATCCATTAACTTTATCTTTTATCTTCACTAGCCAAAAATATTTTTGATTTGAAATCTAAACTCCACTAATGCAGATAAAATCATTGTGCTGCACACCTTTAGAACATGAGAACAACTTCTTTGGATGTGAAAATATCTACGATAAGTAGCTGGGTCAGCAATACAAACACTCAAAAGGGTTGTCAAAGAATTCCTAGTTCAAGTCTATATGCACTGAAACTGCATTTCAGAGAAAACAAAAGCAAATGTAGGCTATGCAAATTGTTTGTTACAGTTGTCTGCTGTCGCTCAAATAGATCCGTAGTCATGAAAAGTTGGGGTTGGGGTTGCATCAAGAAGCAACTTCAGGAAATGTAGTGCCAAAAATCGCACAACTATGATTTTCACTTTAAATTGGATTTAAAAACCAAGAGGCCCAGTTAACACCCAAGTTAAAACACCCATTTTAAAGGGACAAATAAACATGTTTACATCAGAGCTACGAGTTTTGCATAAGACGGCTGATTTGACTGACATGTTGTTGCAGGCTGCCAGGTTGCTGAAGGCCCATCCAAACTCCACCCCTTTACCTGGTTAAAGGTCGACTAAGGTCAGAATTTAAAGAACAGTCGCCGCCGTTGTTCAGCTTCACAACTCATCTTTAGAAACCATAGGGCTATATATAATTCATGACCTCAATAAATCAACACAATTAACTTACTCTAGATATATGGTTTATCCACAACTTTGGCACTGTGACCTTCTCTGAAAAGGCTAATCTCTTGTAAATAGTTGGCATGCTTTTATTTTGATATCTTTTTGTTTAGTGTTTAGGTTGCTTTATTTCCTTTATTGTAAACATGTGCCTTTATTTTGAAGTAAATGGCTCCTCTGGTAGATTTTATGTTATGGTACTAAATGAAAATAGTGAAAAGAATATCCAGAAAGTGTACACGCTTGATTGATTCATCACCCTAAGAGGCACAAGCACCAACATTGTATTTAGATTCACAATAAATCTTGGAAAATCAGTTTTTAAAAGGTGCTAAACCATCTCTTAGAGACATGCTGCAGCTGGTCTGCTGGCAGCTGCTGCTTCTTCTTCACATCTCCATTTTATGGCAACCAGCTTAAAGGACCTTTACAACAAACTCACAGCATGACTGTTCACTTATTTTTTAGGCACTATCTAAACATTTATTGTGATTATCATTTGCTGTTAATTTGTGAACCCTGTCATATTTTCTCAGTTTTCAGTCTGCTGAGTGTTTTGATGTTATTATATATTATCTGTATCTCTATCCTCCAGTGAAAAAAACAAAAGCTTTCACTAAACTTTAAATATTAACACATTTTGGTTTAAAATAGCGTAGCCCCACATTAACACGTTATGGTGGACTTTTCAGAGGTCATGACCGACTCTTGTATTAAACCCAGTTTCTATAATACAGTTTTACAGCGCTGACCTAGAACCGGTTGCCTTTACAACCCTGCAAATAAAGCCTGTTTGATTCACACCTGTTGCTCTGAAATTAGGTGTTCATATAAAAGGTAGCTCTGTGTTTACATATCTAGAACATACAATAAAAGCACATTACAGCTAGTGATAGTGTTAAGCACAGAACAAACAGTCTGAACATCCTCGACAAGCTTGCAGTTTTATTGTTTCCAAAAATATCAGAAATCAACCACACCGCCGTTTATCTGTCATCTGAGAGTTTCTGCTGTGTTTTGAGACTTCAAGAAAATAACATCCATATTGTTTTAACAGACTACACCACATGTCTGAATCTACTGTTTGCTTCATTTACACAACCTGCTGCGTCATGTACAACTAACTGATAATTATAAAAAATCAGTGGATTCAGCAGGCAGTGTGTAGCTTTGCATTAAGTAGACTATCCATCCTTTTTATGCTGCTTATGTGAAAATCACAACATTTAATCATGAGAACAAGCTCAAATGCAGCTGAATGTTTATTTGTTTTAATCATCCTGGGAAAGTTGTAGCCTTCTTTTTTAAGAAACTAATTCTTCTACCAAGAGATTTGGTGTCCAGCATTCCTCTCTGTTAACATCCAACTGTGGGTGTTTTTTTTTTTTCCTTTTTCTGTTGAGCTGCCAAAAGTCATAAATGTGTGTGGAACAGGCTGAGAGGTGGTTAGACGTCAGCTGGAGATCGGCATCAAAGGGACATCTGAGTTAAAACAACAGTGAACGCCTGGATTGTAGCACGTATTAATGCAAAGACTCTCTTCACAGCCCAGTTAACATGCAAATACTACGGATAGCCCTCTGAGGTCAACTCAGTGTCAGAGCCAAATAAAAAAAGTTTCAAAGTTTTAAAATGTTCGTCAAAAATAAAACACGACTAAAGTTTCATGCCATTAAGTAAATGTGCAGGCTACTTAACATGTAGCTATTATAATATATAATTTTTTCAACGTCTAAACCAGGTCTCCTGAAGGTGCAGAATGAAATTTTTTTTACGTCTTTTAATCAATAATAAAACGGGCACTGGCGAGTTTCCAATGAACCAGTAGGGATTTATGTGTAAAATGGCGAAAAATAAATGAATAAAAGGAATTTTTTCCTGTTTGGTAGTTGAATTAATGATACCAATGAGATACACTGCGTTCATAATTTAGATTCATAAACGAAGGGGCTGGTTGATAACCTTTAGAAGAGGTTTGTCTTTGAGCCAAGAGTGGCTTTCACTGTGGTAAAATAATAATTGTTGAGTGATGTGTTTATTTTTAGGTCAGTGAGGGTGTCTCTGGGAGAAAAAGAGAGTATACTATCCTGGGGTTTTGAGGGGGCTTCTTTCCATCACATACTTTCCTGTCCACTTGTAAACATCAGTCAAGCAATCCAATGAGCTCTAAAATCTCCAAACCACATAATCTGAACTGACTGTCTGGTTACAATTATCTCCTTGGGTTTGTTTAGTCCCTGCTGACCACATACTCAAGCTCAGACGCTCTCTGATGGCAGTGCTCTAACATCCCAAAACCTTCTGGACCAATCACAGTGGAAACAAACTGTTCCCAAACTGCAGAGTAATAAAATACTTGTTAATTCAAAATTGGAACCGGAAGACTCTGACTGTGTTTTGTTGTTGAAACTTGCTGGAGGGATTGAGTGTTGAAAAAAGAAAGCGGAGTGATTCATTCTGCGCTGTCAAAAAGATCTGCTCTTGATTATTTACGAGCTGTGATAGAAAAAGTGAACACCCAACCCGGCCAAAACCGCATGACTGATTGGTTTGTGTGATTTTTAGGGCAAACGTCATGAATCATACCCAACTTCTTGAATACGAGTATTTATGAGCGCCCTCAAAAACATCCACATTTCTCTTGTACAATGACTCAGTTACGAAAGCTGAAGTTATAAATTAAAACTCCTTATTTCACTTATTTTTCTTGTCAGGAGGCGCGTTCATGTTGTGAAATCCTGACCTCGTTCATAGTTGCAGTGTTTGGTTTTATAAGTCTTTTATTGACACACAGTATATGTCAGCTGTTATTCTTTTTCACACGTCCCCCGGCAGGACAACAGATGATCACAGCGTTCTGCTTCACTTATGGTTTGTTTGATGTGCGGGTGTTGTATTTCACCGATGTGTCTCTGCCAAGTTTTATTAGGTCATATATCTCAAGAGACCGCAAGCAAGGTGGGGTATGAAACAAGAGTCTTATTGTTTTCTCTGCATTTCCCTTAAGATTAAACAATTCAGTCAACACAAGGATGGACTCAGATGGCCGCTCGAATTTGGAATATTATTATTCCAAATTCACTTTTTTTCACTTTAAATGTGATTTAAATGGATGTATTTCTTTCATAAAACGTCATATAACAGCACGGTAATGAAAGGATATCAAAATGCCAGCCTTTGCATGATTACAGACTGACCCCACAAGCTTGAGAAACTCGACACTTGGGTGTGGAGCACATTTCCCACAATACAGTGTGAGCTATGAAGGCGCTGATGGATGGGCAAGCCTAAGTGTGGACAAACTGCAGAGCAAGGAACAAAAAAAACAAACTAACTGCATTTGCATGATTTACTAACATATACTGTGTGTCTTGGTCACAGCCAAGAGTACTTTAAACTCAGGCTGTAGGTATACTGGTGTTGACTGTCTTTGTTTAACTTTTAAAGATTGATTTGGTGGAAATAAGCAAACGGTAATACTGTGGGTTCACTGTGAGGTCCTTGAAGCTGGTTGTCAAACGTCATAAAATGAAGCAGCAAACTTCCTCTGAACTGGCTTGAAGTTTCTAAAAGATATTTGGCACTTTCAGCTCTTAGATACACAGATTTTTTTGGGAATTCAAATCCATCTTGGGGTTGCACCTCTTTGGGTTACATATCAATTTAACGCTTCTACTTTTTCGGAAGAAGCTCATACTTCAAAATAAAAGCACAGTATAACGGTGGAAGAAATAAGACAACCTGAATGCAAGACAGCACAAATATCAAAATAAAAGCATGAACAAAGTTGTTATATGGGGCCAAGTCTTCTCCAAAGAAGTTTCAGTTACACTTACCGTGATGTGGATAAATCCTAAATTTGATGTATCATGTATCATGTAACGTGTCAGTTTCCTCACAAGCTACATGCTATAGACTTGGCAGATTTATGAACATGATATATATCATGCTGCTCCACCCAGCGCTCATCAGGGTGGTACTTATGCTTCACTTCCCCTAATGGGAGTAGATGGGGGCTCTGTCCATACTAATTTACAGACATTGATTTTAACCAACCCACAGATAAACCCACTTAGATACAAGCTGGAGATTTCTTTGCACACCAGTGTTTCATAGACAAGCGCTGTCCGTCTTGCTGTCTCATTCTCGCTCTCTCAAAAAAAGCCTCGTATTCAAAGATTAAAACCAATGATTGAAGCTTCCTCTGCACACAAATCAATACAAAAGCATATCAGCAGGAAAACACATTAACAGCTCTACTGAGAGGAGGAATGAAAAAGAACAAGATGTGTCTTTTAAATGGTTCAAAATGTCAAAGATGTTGGCCTAAATTTTTCTGCTTCTAAGATAAATTATCATGATGGAGAAACAAGAGAGTCAGCTAATAAACAGAGTGAACATTTTTAGTTTTTATGGAAAAGCTCCTGTGAGGAACAAAGCAGTCTCAAGTAGTGTCTCCTGATGAGGAACATCTGTGTTCTGCTTTTTTAAGGTCAAATTAATCATTTATCGTGAATATTTTATGGAAAAAAAAACATGAAAATTGCTGTTGTTTTCATTTTTTTTGTTGTTGTTTTTCAGTTTTTTAAAAAAAAACTATAAAAAATCATCAGTTTCTTCACCAATGGGATGTCATAATAAAGCTTCAGTATGAGTATCACTTTAGTTCATGAACGTCAAAAAACTCCTAACAGGTGCTTTAATTCACAGTAATCTTTAACCCTGTGTTATAAGGTCATGATATTATACACTGGAAACGATATTCAGAGTTATCATGTGTCATATCAGAGTGGGAGAGTCTTGACACAACTGAGGAGGATCTAGTGCACTGTACATCAGATAATGCGGACTGCTTCTTATCACTCAATCATGTGAAATGACAAATACAAACAGAGCAGTCGTGTGTTGAGAATTACTCTGGCTTGAAATTTCGTGCAAAGGTGCCAGTAGATAAATCCAGGCTAAGAAAAACGTTAATAAATAACGTTAGAATATCACTATTTAAGGAAAGATAATGTGTATGTACTCATTTGTGTCTCCAATGAGACCATTGTTCACTTCCAGAGAGGAAACAAGTGAGCCTGAGGCAGCTATTGACAGCAGAAGACAGATTTATCATTTCTTCATCTTCTGGAGATGGAAGCCAGGCCCACAGCTAATAACACTGACCGAGATCAATAAGTTTTATTCTGTGGTCAATGTAATAAACTGCATGATGGGCGCCCTGAAACTGTACCGACCCATTCTCATTACAAGGTCATCAAATACTAACACTGTGCTGTCTCATCAGGACATGAATGGTCGTGCCTCTTGTACACACTTTAATTGTCTTTACTACATTATAGCACCTCGTAAATTAGACACCGATAGGAAGATTGATGATTTTCATTTTTTGGTTTACCACACAGATGCATACAGCAACAAAGACATATTCCAGTAAGCTCCATTGAAAACAAGCAAATGTTCATAAACACAGCTGGTATTCAGCTTTAATGACCTTCAGCATTTGGAGACCTGTGACTTAAATAGTTCTTGATTGTTCGGTTCGACAGTACTGGGAATAATGCCGTCGGATTGTAGTTTCTCCCTCCCACCTCCTCCCATTTACCCGCAAATAATCTTTTCAATGTGTGTCTTTGGGGAAAAATGTGGTGCGCATTATGACTGGAGGTAGACAGAGATCATTCAGGGGACAAGAATAAGAAAACGTACGACAATAAAACCCAAACAGGATGTTGGTCACTTTGGCAGTGTTTCATTTTATATTGTACGGATTTCCCGCTTAAGATTCACAGCAGGGTTAAAGAAATATTTTTTTCTGTTTCCTCTTCAACAGAAAAAAAGAGCAGCTCAGGGATTTACAAGGATGTAAAAATTCTCAAGGATAAAACAAGAACCCGGGTTCAAACAATCAAAGAACACACTAAAATAATATACACCATGCACATGCTTGTAGATGAGAGGCGTCAGTCTTAGCCCTGGTCCCAGCAGACAGCACTCAACTCAGCAGCTCCTCTCTGCTCAATGGTTTACAGTCTTTCAACTCATTGTTTTGGTTTCCCAGAGAGCAGCTTTTTATCTCAACAGTGTGGCAACTTGGTCTCTAATGTTCCAGATATTTATTTATGTACTGACTCTGAGTTACACCACAGGGAGCTGCAGTCATAGTTATCACACAGCTAGTTACTGGGCTAAAGATTTCTCCTCAAGGAGCCTAAAAACAGAGCTAAAAAAAATGCCTAAACATGATACAATCTGCTAACAAGTTTCCGATATCATTGATGAAGATGATACAAATATTTACAGCTTGTTTTTTGTGGGCCCTAGACATCATCAAACACAAGTTTATATCGAACTTTTTGCTAAAAGTTAACGTGCGACTTTCCCCTTAGACAACAGAGAATGCTACCTGATCTACATAAGCAATAAAACAAACTTTGTTCAGGCCACACATACCTATTGACTCCTAAAAAAAACCCTGCTTATTTGTTTTCTATCTGTGCTCAGCTTTCCCTTTTTACCACTTTCCCAGCACCTGTTCCCTCTCATTGTCCTCAGATTCGGGCCTGAGGCTATACTCTTCCATTCACTTAAATTACACACAAAGCGGGATTCAATATCCGCTCCTATTTTTAACTGCAGGATTGTTATTGCTATGATTTGTCGTCCAATATCTCCAGTGTGGGTCAAACCTAATAACATACAAGAAAAACAGGGTTTAACACAAAATAAAGGGCAGAGCTTAACCTGACGCTTTGTTTGTTGAAGGAAGAGTAAATGTGGACAAGTGTATGATCAGCCCAGTTTGTGTATGTGTTGTGTATAAGTTAAATAAAGGATTAGGCATTTCAAAAGGATGCCTATTGTCCAACACACAAAGCTAGCTGCTGATTGCTTAGCATCATCTTTCCATATGGAAACCCAAGTGAGATTCCCTGTGACATTTATCTCCAAGCAGCACCTGCAGCACCTCAGGCAAGATAACAGTTTGAGCAACAACACCGCCTCTTATCTTGACTTTGTCTTTACATGTCCAACAGAACCACTCCCATATTGTGTGGACTCATCTGTCACCTCAGACGTACGTAAAGGTCATTGTTCTCCACACTGCCTACACAAAGACGTGTTTCAGACACTACTTCCACAAATGTGCCGATGCAGGAGCAAACCCATCCGTTCCACTTCTGGAAGGTATTAACAACAATTTCAGCCTTGAGTCATCTTGGATGCGTCTACGTTTGGGGACTTTCCCCATTAGCCCACTCTGAGTTCATTGGATCTGGATCCAGTTGGACGTGAGGAGAGTCGGAATAGTTATCAACCTGTCGCTCTGCATATTTTACCGGCATACAAGTCAAGACTAGTCACTGGACTCAAGAGCTCCAGACTGTTATGTAATAATTCCTATGTTGATGTAGTTGTGTACTCAAGGTTCAAGTCCTCTAAGAAATTAAACAGTCACCATTGTCTCAATGTGTTGGTTGATTTAAGAGCGGGACCTGATGTGTTCGTACAGCTCCAAACATGTGGTTTCTCATTCCTGAAGAACAAGACTTAAAAAGGAGTAAAAATATGCAGGGTTAAACAAAATTGGATTTTTGCTGCTACCTGAAATGCCTATTTTCAAATTCATTTTGGCTGACATACATAATTACACTGTTTTAATTTACTGTAAAAGAACACCAAGTCTCTCCTGTTCTTGGGTTTACCTGTCTCTCTTGTTGGGACAGTCTGAGACTCTCCTACACTGACAGGAGAATCTCCTGCTGGTAATGTCATGCAACCCTTGAAAAACAGTATTTTCCCTCCTCATACTGTCTCACATTGCTGTTTCAACGTCAAAGCATCTGTTTGCGTCACAAATGTTTCCCCTGTGCCTGGTCTATCACGTACCCATCTCAGATTAATGAGGTGCTGGCCCGACTCCTGAAGGCATGATGCCGTCTGACTGTAAATGTGTTCATCTTCTTCCTGACAAATATCCCTCTTTCTCAGTAATGCTTGGAGCTATGGAGGTGGATTGGTATTTCCACTTCTCTTTTTCCAAAAACATAAAATGCACTTGTGAAACTCTGAGACTTGTTTTGCCTTCGCATTTCAGAGGAAGCCACAGAGAAGAGGAAGACAATTTGAGATCACGAGGAACGACGCACTTTTTTGGCAACATTTTTAAAGCAGAGTTTCTATTTCTCTCCCCTCTTGTTCACTTGTACAATAAAGCCAAGACCAAGAGTTTGTTGTGGAGTTGCTAACATTTTCTTGTTAATCAGGAAGCTTCCTCCTGTGGCCGTAATGTTAACAATGTAAGACAATTAGTGACATAACATGTTTAATTGAGTTAATTGCACTCCCTGTAATCTAACATGAAACATACAAGTCAATAATAGAGCGCTGACGGGGATGCAGAAACGTCAGCCTCACTAATGAAAGCTTTCTTTAGAGATTCATTTGTTTGCCACAGAGCCGCTCCTCCTTAAAGTCACCACAGTCCTGAGGTTTTTCAAAATACTGCTATTATTCAAACAGCTAATCAATTAAAAAAGGAAAAATTAAGGCCCCACTTTTAATTTTTTTCCAGTCTTGACAATAGCTCATAATAGGGCTGCAGCTATCGATTATTTTAGTAATCGAGTACTCTATCGATTAATCTGTCGATTAATCGAGTAATCGGATAAGAAATGTTTTGCTCTCACTGTAATACTTTGCATTGAATCACGTTTGCCTCATTAAAAACCATCAGTAACACACAAAACTGAAATAGGCCAGGTCTTTCAAATGAATATTTTTACTGCATAAATCAGGAACCAAAAGTTTTACATTTTACCATGTAGTTCACATGAAACTACTGAAGGCAAGGTCTGCAGATGGTCTTTTAATTGCTATGGTAATGATCTTTGCAGTTTTCACTAAACCAGTCACAACTATTTCCAGGCTTTGGATCTAATTTTACTTGTTTAATTAATAGGCTGAAATAATATAATTCTTGGATACTAACATAATTTGACAAGCAAATGTACATTTATTCACTATATAAAAGTGTTACATTTTTATTTACATGTTGTTGTGTGTTGGTCATTTTGCAGCCCTCTGCTGCTCATCACACGCCTAGCAGGTGGTGTATTGCATTATCACCATGGATACACGGATGTTTGTGTGATTTTTTTCATCCACTGCCGCCCGGTTTGTGTCGTGTAGATGTTGATTATGAAAACACTTCGCAATAATTTGGAAACGTGAAGGGGGAGCTGCTGCTGCCCGGTGTTTACGGTAAATAGACGCTAACACCGACCAAGTGGACGCTTCGGTCTCCGAAAACGCCGAGACAAATTTACAAACAGCCACTATTTCAAACAACTGGGCTCATAATCGTGATGTAAACACTTACTTTCTCGCTAGAAAAAATATTATTATTGAATGAATTTATATAATTTGTCCGGTATGCAGTCGTTCTATGTAGCTTGTGGTAGGACTATTTAAATTTTCCCGGCGCTGCGTCCGGCCGGCACGAAATGCATTCTGGGGTATTTACTATGTATGTGTGTAAACGCTCGGGCAGCCGCGGCATACTCAAATCATCTTTGAGTAGTCAGTATGCAGTAGCTACTGCTTGAGTAGGTAAGTAGATAGCAGGCAGTATGCCATTTCGGACACAGCTTCTGTCTGTCCTCGTTTCCCTCCATGATTGAACCAAACGCGCGGCAGCGGAAGGAGCGGAAAGAGCACGCTTCTGCGCAACAGAAATAACCGTCCGTGTCAAACACCGTGCGCTGCACATGGTTCCGGATTTAAACGATTCCTCGAGGCATATAATTTGCCTCGAGGAATTTTATTAATCGAGTTACTCGAGTTACTCGAGTAATCGTTTCAGCCCTAGCTCATAATATGAGTGCAGCGTTTTATTGATCCTTGTATTGACAAGCAACATATGGACCCAACATAGCTTCTGTGGTTCCCATGGGAACAGCAGGGAGGGGAGGTTTGGTCACAGTCAAAATATGCTATCAGCCCATACTTGTCCCTCAAACAGAAGAATGCTTGGGTCATTTATTAAGTGAAGAGGACAGGACAAATAGAAGCTGAAAAAAGAGTAATGGACCAGTGTTGATTTTCCTTTCAGAGGGGTAACCTTTAGTCAAATACTCAGAGATTACGCTGCAGGACTGTAATGTCACATGAGGCCGTGACTGCGGTTGAACAGTCTTACTTTTAACCTACTGGTCCCATTTTAATTTATACATGATAGCTTAAACAATAGCTTTTGTTCACTGTAAAACTTCTAATAAAAGTCTGTATCCCAATAAAAAACAAGATATGGCTGTAGGCGGGGTTTGAGAAAGATTGACAGTTCCCAATTTACATCAATTGTTTGTCTGTGTAATGAGGCAACAGATTTTTTACTTTTTCTTACATACAGCACGTCATATTTACTCATGGCCATATAAGTATGGCGAAAACTGGGTCTCTTGACTGCTGTTAGGCTGAAGAAATTTGTTTTTATTCTTAGCATGATGCATTAGAGGTGTTAAAACCCACCAAACCCAAACACTATAGATAATAGATCTGGTTTAAACAAACCACTCAATGACCCAGTTTGACTTTATCTCTGGTTGAATGAGGCTTGCTGTTTCACCTGCGAGGTGTCCTTAGATGATCGTGCAAGGCTAAGATGTTAACCCGCTTCCTTTAACAGGAGTATGGTTAGCTGGTCAGGTATGTTTGTTAGCTCAGGGGGTGGAAAACAACAATGTCCAACATCTGCAAAGCAATGTAATCAAATCATGTGGACAAGTCTACTCAATCTTATGCTTTGTAGAAAAGTTAATGTGTATGTATATGTATACATATAATTATTATTATATAGATATTCCAATGTAATCCAATTAAGATTTTTTTTTTCTTTTCTTTTTAAATTCTCTTTTACATATTATATAAATTCCTTCCCCCTCCCCTCCCTCACAAAAGTATTTTTGTAAATTTTTTATTTTTTATCTTTTTGTTGTTGTTGTTGTTTCTGTTGTTGTCATCACTCTGTTTTGTTGTTGAGTTAAATAAAAAAAAAATAAATAAAAAAAAAGAAAAGTTAAGTAGCAACAGCTGCTCGACGAATTTCATCAGAGAAGAAAAACACACTTAATGTCACAGATACATTCTTTATATTAATGAATCATCTTTAGATTAAATCATTTCTATGAAGGATTGAATCAGATTGGATTGTTTTGTTTGGCAAAGATTTACACCCACATTATGTATGTTTGCTAATATAGTTATTTATTTAGTGGTCCAGCCTTACAAGTACAATAAAACCCTAAAAGTGTTTATTATACTTTAAGAGGAGGTTTTGAGCTCAATCCCACAGCTACGAGTGGTTTTTATATGTTTACTTTAAATATCTAACTGCACTTGTTATTTATTTTATGCGGCACTAACTTCCCAACAAAAAGAGTACTGCATATATCACCACACATCAAACAAACCAGACGCTCTTCACATGGCGAAAACAGCGATAGCATTCATCACACTGGGTCTAATTGATTAACGGCATCGTATCTTTCTCAGCTGTCTACTGAAACCACACATTACTGTTGGTGAGCTGATATACAACATCCGAGGCTTGCACTGCGGAGTGACAAGCCTGGGAAGCTGAATCGGTTCACGTAACAGTGAAACATTTGCAGGCAATACATTCCATGTTCAAAATTGGGTCAATTTTACCGCACACAGCCTCTGAAAAACATCTGTTGTTCTGAGAAACTCCCACATTTGATCATCATCATCTACCACACGGCATCACCACAACTTCTGAACCTTTGCCTTGATAGTGATGAATAGTCTGGCTCAACAAAAGAGCAAATCCCTCCACATATGTTTTCATTCAAAAGCCACTTTGCAAAGACTACACACCGCAACCTGATCTGTAAATACAGATGTGCAGTCCGGTTTTTTACCTTTTTTCAAATGAGGAAGCATTTCTTCTCTATCACCTGCTTCATCTCTGCTTATTCTTCAGAATTTAAAAACACTTTTCTCCAAGGTGGATTCCCTTACATAAGAGCTTTAGTCAATTAAAGCACAGAGGGAACACATGTTGGAGCTGGGACATGTTTTGTGTACATGCAGGAGTAACAACACAATCTGCCCGTGTGTTTGCAAAAGGTGTCAGAGCAGTTGTTTGAACATCCACTCAAATTTCTTTTCTTCAAGCTTACTCGTGTTATAATCATGAGGACAAATCTGTCTGGAGACATTCAAGGTCTGCTGACATGCACTCACATTGTATCACCTCTGTCTTGCTCCATTTTGTTCCGACCACAAAGATGTACATGCACGTGAGCAAACAAGCTTGCAAAAACACATGCACATGCCTGCATGGATGACACACGAATTACTAGCTGCCCTGTAATTGGGTCTTGAATTATTCACAGTGAAATCCTGCCAATGTGGTAACTGTAGACAAACTTAAAGATGATGAATATGTGAATGTTACTAAAAATGTCTGAGACTCATTCGTGAGGAAGAAAGTGGAGGTTGCCAAATAACAGTGACCATCCAAACTGCACATTTATTCATTTTAGTTTGACACTGACACGTATACCACCCACTCTTCTGTACAGCTAAGGCATTAATGCACTTTGAGAATGTTTAAAGTGGGTTTTGGTTTTCCTCAAGTCTTACTCACAGCACTGACAAGTCTACTCATCACTGCTCATGCCGCAGGGCCCTCTCAGCTACAACGTCTACATGCACCATGACTTAGTCACACCTGGAGGCCAACTTTTACCACAAAACATCCAGATGCAGACAATGAGTCGTGGGTAAAGAGCGAGAACAAGAGCAAACACTTTTTATTGCTTCCTGTAAACAATTTCATCACCACAGTTGTTAAAAGCCTGAATTAAATAAATAAATCGAGGAAAGCAGGGGTACTTTCATTATGTAACTCATGTTGGTGAATCTCCAACTAATGTTTACCGTGGCAAAGGGTTAACCTCTGAGTCCTGCAAGAGGAGCTTTGCCCTCTGGGAAAGGCAGGGCTGGACCAGTCCTCCAGGTTTGGCATACTCCTCTCAAACAGGGACATTAATGGAGCTAAGAAGACAATTGCAAGGCACAAACACACACAGGCACAGCTCGCCTTGTGTGGCGGAGGCTACACTTTCAGTCACACCTTTTACTGCCGGAGCCGGCTGAGCCAAACACAATCATTTAGCAGACACCACCAGGGCACACAAACAAACAAAAACATCAACCGTCACCATGCTAGCAGAGCTTTCGGTCTTCATGATGATTACTAAAAGGAGGAAGGAATTATTTTACAAGCTTTAAAGTTTTGGAAACTCTCTATAGCTGAGATGAACCTGCTCCTTAAGCTGTTGCATAATGACATCAGTTTAATAAATGATGGGAACACCATTTAAAATAGATGATCAGCTTTTGACAGTCCATACAAAGATCTCTTAGGCTATGTTCACACGATTTTTTAACTATATGTGACACATATCTGATTTTTTCATCTAAGTGTGAACAGTGCAGTTCAGATTTTTTCAAATCCAACCCAGGCCTCTTTTGTATGTGGCTATAAATCGGATATGTATCTGATGTGTCTGCAGTGTGGGCGCTCAGGTCGCGTTCATCCGACCTATACGTCATCAATATGCGACAAATGTCACCATTATTCGACAACACAAACAGGCGCGGAAAGCAACAGGTGCTTTGTGCGCATGCGGGTCACTTCACGGACGCATTCTGTTCACATAGGATGCCGCATTCGTTGTTGTAATGTGTAAAGATCGGATTTAACAAAAAATCTGAATTGTGCATCATAACCTGCAGTGTGAACGTAGCATTATCATATTCTATGACATACCCCTTTTATACAAACTGTTTTCAGCTAAAATCTCTTAAGAAATAGTTACACATACACAACTGGTGCACAGAACTGTTTTAAAGCAGCAAAAAAAATCAGGTTTCCATCATTTTTTTTCATAACTATGATAAATAAATAAATAACTTAATTCAGTTTCTAAGTCTAGCTTGTCTGTCAAACAAATATTCTCAACGCAGACTATATTTAATTTTCTAAGATGCACCTGTTGTGCTAACTCTGCACTCTGGATTATCTGCCAATCTAACATTGAAAACTGTCTGGAAATCTGTTTTTCTACATTAAGGTTTATTAATTTTAGACTGTTTATTAAAAAGAGGTTCTTATTGTTTGTGAAGCCAAAAGATTAAGAGCTCCCTCTGGTGGCTGGGTGCAGCAAAGATCCAATATAATGTTAACTAAGAGAATAATCATTTTTCTCAAACATGGTTTCTCTCATCGAAGTTTTTCTTTATTATGCTGATTTATGTCCAAGTTAAAATTTTCCTCATAAGTTTGCTTTTGTCGGTCACTTAAAGGTTTTATATCGGATTATCAAAGTAGGAACGCTTTTGTTATTTGGGTTGGAAACACCTGCTGGCTGCCAGTGTGCAGACACACAATATTGAAAACGAAACAAAAAACTGTGAAAAAGTCCCAATTTTATGTTTCCATTTCAGTACACACTTTCTTTTCTGAGTTTGTTTTGGAGGTTGGTTGAGTTTCAACATTTGACTCAATGACACATCATCGGTGTCGGCTTTTCCTTTTATTTTACAGTGTTGTGGGTTGCTGACATATAAAGGTCACTTGTGACAAAGTGCGAGTGGAAATTTTCTTAACGGGAAATTGATCAAGCACACACACATACACAAAAACAGCATCTACAGTGAACTCACCGTGAGTGGCAGGGAGCAGACCACAAAGATGACTGTGATGAGCGCCAGCAGCACAAGGTGGTCCATCTCCTCTTCCCCCTGTGCAAACCAGGCCAGGCTCAGCCTCCTCTTCCTCACGTTTGACCCAACTGAGCCACGCCGCATTAACTGGTTTCGGTGCATCTGACACAGACTGACAATCACTGAGCCGTTGCACACAAACACAGCCAGTATCAGCAGAGAAATGAGGGAGGAATAGGACACAGAGAAGGCCCTCACCAGGTTAGCCTTCTCATCCCCTGTTGCATCCATGTCGATGAAGCACCATGTCCCGGGACAGTACTGTCTGAATTTGCCATAACCGGTGTACGGCAGGAGGCAGAAGAGCAAAGAAAAGAGATAAATAAAGAAAAGGGTGAATTTGGCGAAGCTGCGACGGATGTGCACGGAATAAAAGTAAGGGTGGCTGATGGCCAAGCAGCGCTCTACAGCCATGGCACACAGGATGAGAGTTGGAGCCAGGCCGAAGAAGCTCACGGCAAAGCCAAAGAGTTTGCACAGGCTCTCGCCGCCCAGGCCGATCAGGGACAGGTTGCGGGCGTAGCAGATGAACACTGGCGGGCTGAGGAGACAAGTGCCCAGCAGGTCGGTGAGAGCCAAGCCTGTCACCAGGATGCAGAAGACAGAGGACCTGGAGCGATGTTCCTTCTGGTGAACACCGAGGATAAAGAGAGCCAGGAGGTTTCCAACCACAGCAGCCAAGAACATGATGATGCTTGTCGCTGGCTTGCCGTCCCAGTTGACAGTGAGAGTGTCATTGCAGGTGGTGTTGTTGCATGGGAGCATACTTCTGTTTATGTTTGTCTTACAGTGATGAAATACAGCTGCTCAGTGAGGGATGCACGAGGAGTCTTCAGACAACAATGGGGAAGTCTGACCTCTTGATTCCATTATGTGGTCACAGAAGAGGCAGGGATGCTTGGTGAGATCCATCAGGCTGCATTGACTGAGACTCTGTCTCTATGAAACAAACATCACAAGAAAAACACAGCTCAGTGCTTTACCTTAACTTTTCCAAAACTCACAAACTGAGCTGTCCATTTATCACAGAGGAAACATTTTAACTCTTTGGAGGTTCACACTGCTGCTTAAAACTGAATTTAAAACGTGTTTCTCATCGTAACCAAAAACCACTCACCTTTTCTTCGCTCTAGACAAGCAGCAACACTTCACTCAGACTCCCTCTTCTCTTCTTCTTCTTCTTCTTCTGCTTCTTTCGCCTTCAATTCCGACTCCTGATCTGGTCAGTATAAGCGTTTTTAAGAGTAGATGTTTGGATAGCGAGTTCAAATATGCCGCTGAGACCCGCTGAGCTCCGGACATGGAGCGAGACTGCATAAACTCCGCGTGTCCTCCGCTCACTTTCTCTGTGTGCCACTCTGCACCTCCCCGTGTGCGCGTGAAGTCCCACCCACTGCGTTGAACTGAATCGGTGAGCACAGAGGCGCACAACTCTAATCCAGTGTGTAATAATAAAGGAAACAGTGTTTCTTGTTGCATTCGACAGTCCCCCCCAAAGAATAAATAAATAAATAAATAAATAAATAAATAAATAAAATAAGATAAAATAAAATAAAAATAAAAAATAATGAAATGAAAGTAAATCAAATTAAATTAAATTTAAAAAATTGACAAAAGTTAAACTAAAAACAATATACTTTCTGAGTTGGTGAATAAAAATAAACACACTTTTCCCAAACACTAGCTGTTTAAATCTTAATTAAAATAGCTTCTGACATCATGTGAACACGAGCATGAAACAGGAAGTTGGTTTGTGGCGCGTGAGGTAGGGGATATGACGTCAGTTTACGCCTTTCGACCAAGACTGTACCTGAAAATAAAGACGTAGGGGAGAGTGGGGTAAGTTGAGCCAAAGGGTAAGTTGAGCCACCCCCTCTTGCTTGGAAATGGTAAAAGAAATTGATCATGTGACCAAATATTTAGGAGATGGGCATCAATTCATGAAGTCTGTGAAGGTTAGAAGCACAGTTCTAAGGCTAAAAACATTGAGCTATCTATGAGCTACAACATGAGGTCAAAAACCTAACATGAAAGTTCACCATTTTAGCTTAGAGGACTAATAAAGTCATCATAGTAGATCTGGGGTAAGTTGAGCAAGTGGGTCAACTGAGAAAGTAAAGAAGTCTGAAGAGAGGATCAGAGTTTCAGTTCAGATTGTTGAAATGTTTTACTTTTTATTATCAGAAATACAGCTGTGGATGTTCTGAATCACTTAAGACATTCTCATTTTAAAATGACTTTTTACAAAACAGCTTTTTAGCAGTTATATACAATAATAATAAAAAAATTATTGTACCAGTTGAATAGCATATAAACGATAAAAATACACATGAATGTGAAGAAGTGACTGTTATTCAGGGAGAGAGAAGGTGAGGGAGGGCTGGGGTGGAGAGTGGGGGGTAGTAGGGATACGGCTCAACTTACCCCGCTCCTATGGTCAACTTACCCCATACATGGGATAAGTTGACCATAGGAGATCACTTTTATTTGGCATGCTATATTATCAAGACAGTCATGTTTACACTCATTCTGTTGATTTGCAGGGATGCACAACATCTTGAAATGTATGCAGATACACTAGTTAGAGACAAAACTATGATTGCCTTGATGTAGTGATCCAAAATATGAAAAATGGCTCATCTTACCCCTTTCCCCTACACTAGAATGGTTTCAATGTAGTTCATTTATACAAAATCAGTGAAAACTGTGCTAAATTACATCTAGATTTCAAGATCTAGTTTGTTTTTATGTTGTCCCATTTACCCAAACATGATTTGAGTGGATGGAAATAATCAGTATTTTAATAGAATAACATTATGCCATTTCTGCTCTAGATTAGGGGTTTTTAGACCCCTTTATCTTTTCAATCAACCAAGCTGAGTTTTTATTCATGCTGCTACCTATCCACAATCCTACCTAGCACATTTTATTATTGTTGTCTTAGATTATCATACACTGCGAGTTTGTGTCCTGGAGTATGATAATCACATTACAAAGCAGTATTGAATAGGAGTAATCAATCATATTAATGAATTACAGCACAAGTGCAGGAAGTGTTTTGCTGTTTTGTAATTTCCTAATGGAATTTCAATTCCCACAGGAGCATGACCTCAATCATTTGCCTGCCAGTGTTTGAAGTGTGATGACTAAGACACCCACAACATGTGTTTAAGAACATGTTTTAATCAATCTGACCGACCCAGAGTAAAAGCTGCAGCACGGTTGGTTCCGAAGTTGATTTTGATTGACTCAAATTTTGCACAAACTGATTAAACCTTTTTTTTTTTACGGTGATGCAGATTGCTAAAAACATGTATAATTAGTGGCGCATGTTGTAATATACACATTTCCATCTATTCTCATATATATTGTCACAAAAACAGTCTGAATGTTAAATATTTATGAGAATTAAGTGATGAAAATTCCTTAATTTAAGAGTAAAAAGTAGTAAATCTTGGTGCTGGCTGTTCATCTAATGTTCCCCTTAAAAAGATATACAGTAGCTAACCACTTCCTTTTTAAGCCTGCTGTCAATCTGGCCTGACACCTCCCTCCCTCACTGTGGTTTAAGGCATAAAAAACTACAATAGAGAAATTACATAAGCCCTGTTAATGATGGCTTCTTTTGCTTTTGAAGGACATCACTAGTTTAAAAACTCATTTATAAAATAATACCTCAAATAACCTTTGATTACTGCCATGAGTGATAAATTTATGTGTAAAAATAGCAAAGTGAGACATTTTGATTTGAAATATGCAAAGGACTAAACCAATAAAGGGTTAGACAGAGTCAACACAACCTGAAATTCCTCACTAAACTTAAATAGACATTTAATAACACAAACACATTATAATCTCATCTTTTAAGCAGCTATTAATAGAGTCTTTGTAGGAGCCACTCCCATGTCCTTTTAAAGCTTTGTCTTTCTTACTGACAGTTCCACTTGCATGCTCCCTGTTACAGTTTACAATAAATGAGAAAGCATAATGATTTTAGAAGAAGTATCAAGTTTTTCTTTGTTTTACCAATTGTAGTGGGCGGTACTTTGCTGTCATCAGCTGATCAGCTATATTGATACACAAAGACATGTTATTATATATGTTTGAATTAATCTCTCTGATTCCTATTTCTGTCTGTCAAGTAAATATCTATTTCACTGCGAGCACCAACATGACACCTTGGGACATGGATGGCATGTGGGGTGTTTACAGAGACGTGGCTAATAAAACATGCAAGGTAGACATCTTTAAATAAACAACAGACAGAGACGCAGTTGTATTTGTAGACCTTCCACACTTGGTGAACACCAACTGAGGCATAGACATAGACAAAACACACATGGAAACGTTTTTTATGACGCATAAGCAGTTTACAACAGGTTCAGCAGAGCTTTGCTTGATAACGAAAAATGCTGATGTTTCGGTAGTGTGCAGGTAATTAAATATCAAAGGTACGATGACTCAAGTTTCCCAGAATCAAAACTATAATCAGGGTAAAATGGTTACGACAAGGATGACGAATAGTGGATGGATAGATGAATGGTTGGGTTGATATTGATGGAAAGTAAGCAAATGGATCAGTAATTGGATGGATATGGGTTGATTAATCGCAGAACTGATTGGATGCAGAGATAGATGAAATTTTAATGGAAGAATATCTAGAAGGTTGATAGATTTGTGAACTGATTGATGGATGTTTGGCTAAATGGATGGACAATAGGGCATGGAAAAGATGTAAATGCATAATACTTAAAGACAGTTAACTGGATTATGAATGCATTAGTAGATGGAGAATTTGGTGGACACAGTTGAATTGTGAAATGAAGTGGCAATCCAACATTCAAACCTCTCCACGCTTTATGTGCTATTGTTCCATCTGCGCTCTGGCCTCGAAGATGAAGTAAATAGAGTACAAATGTATGGAAAGTAACAGTGTGTGTGTGTTTTTACAAGTCTGTACTTCTATAAGATTAACAGTTTTGGTCTGGCCAGCATCATCTCCTTCTTTAAGTCTAATCTCAGTGAAACCAGGCTTTTATCCATATGGAGTAAGAGGTGTCACATGCCAGTGTTGATGACAGCTACTTGAAACCTACAGAGAAACAGTAACGGTTGTAGCCTGAGAGCTTTCAGGAAGATTTTCTGCTTTCATCAGAATTTATGATCCACCAGAAGTTTGGATGTTGGATTGCTTTCACCAAGATTACAACACATATGGAGCTGAGGGAGATCTGGTTTCTGCTGCTTTTGACGCTCATTCCAAATAGAAATTAGAGTCTTCCTGGCAGTGATGGAAAGGAAACTCCAATCTGTAGAGTGTCAAAAAACCACAACCATGTCAAATCTGGATCAGTCATGTAAGGGGTTCATGTGATGAGGGGGTGGATTTTGCAATAGTATAATATGCGGTCCAGCCAGCACTGTAAATACCGATACCAGTTCATTGAAGGAACTGAACCTGAGGGCAGGATAACGGCAGACAAGAAAGAGAGAGAGAAAAAGGAAGTGACTAAGAATCATTTCCATGCTCGCTCATATTTTTTCTGTTTAGTCGAGCATTTCTTCTGTGTGTTTTCTTTCTTTGATGGATATCAGGGCCTGTTTAAATTACAGCAATGATAATCACTGGATCATTTAATCAGGCAGCACATGTTTTAAGATATCCATATCAAGTTGGCTTTTCTTCCGCTGAGGTCTTCCTGCTCATTCCTTCTGCTTTGTTATCACATCCACAAATCCTTAAATGAAAAACAGGTTTTGAGCTCACACAGCACACACAGAGGAGGGCAAATACTGATGGAAATACTTCTGGGGATTTTGAAGTTCCCGATACCCAAGAATGAAGTGATGTAACACTATAGCTGTGGCAACATGCTTTCTGTTTACCTGAAGTTTTGCAATGAAAGAAGTCACAGTCTGTGAGTTACTTGAATGCTCCTTTAATCTTTCCATAAACAGACTCTCTTGTGATGTCCTGCTGTTTGATCGCTCCGATAAGGCATCAAGTGCGTGACCTTTTAAGGGCACCAGCTTTTGAAAAAGCCCTTTCTAAAAAGTATCACAGAATTCAGGAAATTCGGAATTCGGCACTGTTGATTCTGGTGACCACTTTTGAAGAGATTCGACTGGTTTTTCAAGGGTAAAGACTGCATAAGCATGAGCGTCATCACTCACTGTTAAATAGGGTTTTCACCATAGACTGTATATAGAGTGGACGCGATCTGCCTCCTTGCTGGGTGAAGCCCACCCTGAAAACAGCACCCTCTGGTGACAGGCTGCAGTATAGGTCATAAATCCTACCTCCCCACATGGAGTAGTGAACAAACTTTAGAAATTTATTACTCAGAACATAAAATTTTTGTGCCCCTGGTTGCGATGTTGACATGGAGTTATTGTAGGACTGGTTTGTGTTAAAGTCCTCTTTTTATGTGCAGCTCCATTTTTAAAAGTTATTAGGGGGTTTCATGTTTTCTGTGATTGACACTTGATTCAGCCTATGGGCGTAAGAAGATTGCGTCATTTACCCGGGGGCAGGGGTGGACTGGGACCATAATTCAGGCCTTTGACTCCATTCAGACTAGGCCAATATACATTGACGCGGATATGCCAGAAGTAATTTGACAGGTGCTTCATAGCCTACTGAAATAGATTTTACAGAAGGATATTTGTTATGGTTATAAAAACTCCATATTAGCTCTACTTACGGCCGCACCAGCTACGTGTTGCCACGGCAACAGACATAAATTAATTAAACCCTTTTACTGCTGACCTGGCCTGCTTCCAAGTTCAGTGGCCTGCCTGTAGGCACACACATACACACAATTTTTTACAAACATATGCTGTTTGAGCAGAGTGTCATCACAGCAACTCTCCCACCGAATGCGTACAATGCTACTGCACTTGGCGGGGAAGTGGAAAAAATCCCGGAAATACCGAGAGCGATTTGGCTTCAAGTTCATATAATGACAGAAGCAAAACCAAGTTGTCCATAGTATATACAGTCTATGGTTTTCACTAATGCATACATTTACTTTGAAAGCAAATGAACAGAAAACAGACCTCTAATACTTTTTTCTTTATTTAAGACAACTTTTCATAGGATGCAGAATAGGGCTGTTCGAATGAATACTCATACTTGTTTTGAATATGTTAAATTGCATACTTCAGTAGAGAATTTAAATAGCTTTTTACTGAAACCACTACTCTATTTGTTTTAAACCAACAGCCTGTGGGCAACACAAACAGCTGGAGAACTTAAGTCTGTTGACTTGATCAGGGTCAAGTGCAACTCTTTTTTCTACCAAATAATCTACTGGCATTGCACCGCCTGACTATGGTGTCCCCTCTGCAGCCTTACAGGTGAGCCGATATATTTGTAATCATGAAAGAGCAAGATAGCTGTCTTACAATATCAAGACACAGCCCTGTCTTTTTCTATTAGGTTGCAAAGTGTATAACACAAAACACTTTCACTGGATGGCTTCGATTGCAGCACATGCCCTCCATTTTCGCAGAAATCAATTTACTGAGGTCAAGAGTTCATGCAATAGTCAGGTTACGCTGTGAACATCCTCTGCTGAATCTAACTAAACTACTTCATAAGGCTTGACCTTACTGGTTGATTATGACTGAAAATGAACAACTGAGTATGAAGGAAGTGGACAGCAGGACATGGACTCAAACACCCAACCATGCAATGACAAGAAAACTGGCTCTTCCATAGCTGTCCCGAAGAATAAGATCAGCCTGAGGCTATCTCAAAACACGAATAAAAAACCCCTCAGTGTCTTAAAAGATGGGGAGGAAGTAAGAATAAGTGGCTGTGTAGCTGCTATAAAAATCTATTTATCTCAGATGGGATCTCACAGTAGATAGGTTTGCACGCCACATTAGTTTTTCTAGTCGTGAAGTGAAATGTGATAGCCTGTAATGAAGTATTAAAACCACAAATTAAACTTCTTTGAGCACCACATGTACTCTTATTAGTCGTCCTTCAATTATAACTCTTGTTATAATTTCACTGTTTCACTATAATTATGCTCTAGTAAAAACTGTTTTTAAGTTGCATATAAAAGCACCTCAAATCAGAGAAGTTTAGTGTAGAGCCAAGAGCAGGATTTCACAAGCACCATTATGGCTAAGTGGAAACTGAAACAGGGTTTTCCCAGTCAGGCGTACGTCAAACAAGCACCTTGAATCCAGACACAATGGGCTACGCCTGTTTTCATTTACCTTGTTTGGTACATTTCAAGCATAATGAAATCTGAAGATGTTTCTCTGTCTGCATTTATTTTGGCTTCGTCTGGCTGCAGTCTTTGTCTAAACAGGCTCTGACTGGTATGGTATCATCTCACGCTGTGAGCCCCTCAAACAGGATGACATTTATGATGATGGATTTCGCCACCACTTCTCTCAGTTATGTAATTTTGTAGATCCTCTATCAGGAGCACACACCTTGAAAGCATGCACTGTAGGGGTGTAAATGTTTGCTTTTATGGTTCGACTCAAACTTGAATAAGATTAGAGATCTCATACCTAATTTCTTTGTTTCAGATCAGCCATTAGTTTTAGAGGCAATGTTTTAAAGTGCAAGGCTGTAGTTTTCCTCAAAGTTCCCCTGGGATCCATTTACAGCACTTATAATCACCTCACACTAAAACTGAATTGGTTCTGTTATAATGAAACAACAATCTGAAAACGCTCTCTATCTCACTGTTTCCCTTCTAATTTATTCCCAAACATGAAGTCAACAAAGCCACACCAAAAACTTCGAATTCTCAGGAAGAGATGATTGTGACGCAGGGGAACCATTGTGAGCTGTGGGCAATAAAAAATGAACCACTAAAGAGTTTTCTGCTGAACTTTTCTAGTGCGGTACATTAAATGCCACAAAGTGAGAAGGAAACTCTGCAACAGTGAAATATCACTCCAACCTCCTATGCTGATAAAGGAAGGATGATGATGTTACAAAACAAAGTTTCCTTCGCTTGAGGTGTTTTTTTACTTTCCACTTCTCTTTTACTTTGTCTTACTGGTAACATTTACTGGGATCATTCTCTCACTTCTGAAACTTTTGGCCTCACCTCTCAATCTTTACCTTAAGTCAACACTGCTGCGCCCCAAGTTATGCAAATGACTCTTGGGCTTAATATCTTAATAATTAAATAAAGACAACAACCACTCAGCCAATGAAAAAAAAGATTAAACCAGACTGTGAATGTGTTAATTTCTGCTGTAAAGACATTTTAACATAAATGTTAAATGGTGTCTCCAAACTGACATTTGAGAAGCTGTTGTTTTTTAACACTAAAGACTGCTGCTAAGATGAACACTGATGTCAAAAGGCCTCAAGTCGATTATATAAGAAAAAATTTATTGATCCCCAAAGATGTAATTTTCCTTATAGAAGTTTTTTTTTGGTTATTTTTGGCAAAAATCAAATATAGTTAAAAAAAAAACCCAATGTGGTTTCTTCTGTATGATGAGACAGCCACAGTGAGGGAATTCCCCATTGAGTCAAAACCAACTTCACTTTGTGATGAGAGAATGTTTTAATTCTGGGAAGCAAACTTTTAGTTCTTTGAGAAAATTTGAGAAATGTTTGTTTGTATTTCTTTGACTGACTCACATTTACTTCTATCACTGATACTCTTTAAATCCTCATTAAAATATATTTATTAGTTTATTTCCAGTTGGTGTTGCAGGAGCATCTTTTTGTGAGCTAACCATCTTCATTACTGGGTTGTGATACAACAGGACCTCAATGTTGAGCAAGAGAAAGCATTTAAGTGTATCATAGTATCATGTCATCGATATCAGATCCTGACCTGTTACACAATTTTTCAGTCAAGTTGTGACTTAAACACTGTGATTAATTTTCTTTAGTAATGTGATCAGCAAGATTAACTGTATATAGAGCAGACGATGACTCTTCATTTTCACCCACTGTGAGCTTGAATGTCTGAATATTGATCTGTAAAATGAACTCTTGGATATAAATCAGCACCATAAGAGTGAGCTGTAATGACAGGAGAAACGTTGGAGAAAAACTTACAGTGACAGCAAAAAAAGGGCCGTAGGGTTACATGGAAACATGACACATTTGTGGGCAGTGGATATAGTGCACACAAAACAAACACACAAATTACCTTAAAATTCATACATACTTCTTATTTTCACATTTCAAAAATCTGTCTGACATACAACAAGCTTATTTTTCAGTAAAAACTTCTCTGTGTAAAACTTCTGTGCTCCAAACCATCAGTTATTTTTTTCTTACCTCCCTCTCGTCACACCCACTCATGGCTGCAACCGTCCTGCACAGGAGAGGTGTTTGAAATGAAAAATTGTGAAATAGCCCCACCTAGTGTTGGAGTCATGTTGTCTCCTGCACATTTACTTGTTAAATGGAAGGATTTCATCAGTCAGCATGTCAACTATTATGATATCAGTAGTATTGAATAAATGCTCAAATGGCTCTCCGTATAAAAATTATACTTGTGTAAAATTTGACGAATTTAATCTCCTTGCCTTGCCTCCTCTAATCAACCAATATAATTAATTAAAAACCCCCTGAGTTTGTGTGCTTGTGTGCTGAGGGTTAACCAGAAGGCAATGAGTTTTGAGTGCTCATTGGTTTGAAACTCTCATGCTGCTTATTGCATGAAATGGAGAATAAAGCCAGTAGGCCAGTCAGCAAGGTTTGTATAAAAAGTATAAAAAATGATGCATGCTGGAAAAATACAGAAGAACTCAATGCACTAAACAGCTTTGCAGGGCAGTTTCAGGGAATAAATGCAAATCAGTCAGACCTAATCTAAGTAGGATTTGAACTGACTGTACAAGTGGGGTCTTCACACACACCGATCAGCTACCTGCCTTTTACATCCCAGGCCCCCTTTTCAGCAGCTCAGTAACAAAAGCAATCCTGATCTGGTGAGACATGAGACTCCATTACTCTGCTGAAGGAATAATGCAGTGTCTGGCACCAAGACACGAACTACAAATCCTTGAAGTCCTGTAAACTGAGAGACAGAGCCTTCTTAGGTCAGACTTGGTTGTGCAGCACATCCTGCTGATGATCTAGGGAATTTGGAGAAGTCAACACCGTGTATTCATGTCCCTCAAGGCCACCTCCACCTAAATATATAATTATTTTTAAAATAGTGTCATTTTTGATGTTTTAAGCAAAGGCAGTGTGCCAAAGTGTAATATACAACATTATAGAAAGTAAGACAGTTGAAACTTTACAAAATCAAAGTGCAGATTGTACTTTAAACACTAAAGACAGGTTTGTGCAGACAGCCTCCTCTTTTGTTAGATTGGTGGGCCATTACTGTATAACAAAGTTCTTTTGAGTGATGCATCATTTGTGCAGTGCAATTTATCATTCATCTTAATGGCCTATACAACCTGTTATTACGCAACATATTCTTTAGATATATTTTAACAGGAGCTCTGAATCAGAGGACTAGAGACGCCAATTACAGTTAGTAAGTACAGTTAAAAATACTGAAACCTAGAGGTATAAAGTAGCACAAATAACTCTGTGATCCTCACTGCTCCCCGTGAGAATTATTGCACAACACAGTGGGAGCTACACCAGTGAACTACTTCAGCTTTCAGTTACACAACCACAGAGATAATCACACCTCCCTGTGCCTGTGATCCTGCAGTTACTGTCCTGCTGAGTGTGCTGCTTTGATTTCCTTACTTATTTACCTCATCTACTTAACCACAGGGTTAGCATGCGAATGTATGACCAATCGCATCCGTCTCATCTGACCCAGATAAGACCTCTCTCAATTGGCTCTTGAACTTGCCAGACGTTGAGAGGGCAGGTGCTTCTTGTTTGCGTTTCGAGTGTGAGGGTTAGAGGTTAGGACCCAAGCTGACCTGGATTAGCACGGCCTCTTGAAGCAGTCTAATGAGGCGCTAAAAATAGCCTGTGCTGGGGATAGTTTCTCCCATGAAGGGCTGTGGTGACCTGGCTCAACCCAATCTGAGACTGTCTGGGATTAGAGCTCCTCTCTGGCACCAGGACGCTGATGTAGATGGGATACTTAAAAGGCATAAAAAAAAAAACTCAAGTAAAAAAGGGAATTTTAGAGTCCAATGACAATGAAATGCAGGTGAGGTAAAGCTCAGTCAGTTTATTGATTTATGGAAAATATATCACATCTTTACATATTTGAGACACCTCCAGAAGTTAACAGTCCGTTTCCCATTTACTTCCATTCATCTGAGTCAATGACAACCAAGTAAAGCACCTTCAACAGAGCAGTGTTTCAACTTCACACTTCTCAAATTTACCCAGCCTTTCCAAAACACCTTAATCTGCGACCAATCTCACATCCGACTTTTTTTTCCTTCTCTTTTTGCTACACCCATTTCACCCCCACACTTAAAGTCCCATTCTGATTTGCCCAAATGTAACAGATCACTTCCATATGTATGTGTTTTAGAATATACAGTATTTTTATCTGTTCAGTAAAACAGCAAGCAGGTTTAAGTTTGAATCACCAGACTACAAATTGAAGATCAGACACCAACAAGGACAACAAATGTGTAACAAATGAGTTGTCATAGCAGCAGTAACAGTGACATTTGGTTTTCTTTTTCTTATTTTTGAACAAAACATTTTTAAATATCCACGTGGTTTATACCAAAGTGCAAATATGTTCAACTGCATGTATTTTATATTATATTTAGTAGGTTTATTTTCTAATGGACTACGAGTCTTGCAGGAAAGGTTGAGGCGTTCAAGAGTATTATGGCACAGTTCAAAACCAAAGAGAAAACATGTCACAGGTCATTTACTACAACGATAGGCAAAGCAAACTTTACGACACACTTATAGATATATTTTTGTGACCAAAGTTTGTCATCAATACAGTAATATTTGAGAACACATTTATAAAGCATTACATCAATATAGTATCATCAGGATATCTGAAGAACAAAAAGGTATCAACTGCAGTCCTCACGTGTGTTTGCATAACCATCACCCTGAAGAAAAACAACTTACTGCCGTCTCCACTCAGTGCTGTGAGCAACGTAAAGCTTACCACCAAAAACAAGACAATGGAACAACCCCGAGAGGGAGAAACCACCGACCATATTCAGTCTGTCCTTCTCGTCCGAACTCTTCAATGCTCCACTTCGACTGAGCACCAATGCACACCCAACACCGCAACTATTTGCTCTTGCAATAATCAATAGTGACACAAATTTTACAGATATATAGATATATAATAATGTATATACCTCCAGTGTGTACACGATCTGACCACTACCTCTGACTGGATCAGAGCCTCCTTGTTGTGACAAGAGACCGCCACAGAAAGGGTGCATGCAAGAAGAGTACTCAATTCAGTATTCAAAGAATCGCCACGAGTGCAAGTGAGTCAGTTTTCTATGTCGAATATAATATCCAAAGAGTTAAATGAGCTAACTTCTGTGTACAAACTGGGGCATGGGTTTCCATCCCACTGCCTTTTTCATTGTTGCTCTTTCCTCAAAATTAATCAGGAGCTGGGTGACTCAGCAGAATCTTGGTCTGAAGTACGGGGCTTCGGCCCTTTAAAAGCTTGGTCCATTAACTTCTCTAGGGATTATTCTGTCGGTGTTTGCTAAACAGATACCTTAGAAGTACTTGGCTGCACTGAAGCACAAATAGGAAATTTTTACAGAAGTGATTTTTTTCTTAAAGGGGGGGATTTGGTTTGTCATTTTGAATTGTTCCTTTTTTGGTTCTTAAAGACATTGATCTCAGGAGGACAAGCAATGTTGAGAGATATTTCATTGTTCTCTTCATTTGGCGGTCATCATCTGGACGAATTCTGTGGAAAGAAAAAAGGCAAAACGTAAACCTTTGACCATCGCTTAAATCGGGACTTTGACATGCACAGTTAAGTCTTAGATTAGGCTTTAAACTGATCTGTTGTTTTAAATAACAATATAACGAAATAACTGTCAGCAGCATGTCAACCATGCAAACATGACATTTCTTAAAGGGATATTCTTCATGGAAATGCAATCAGACCGACACGCTAAAGGTCCTCATGCACCGGGAGTGTTTTTTTCATGCGATTATTTCAGACGTCAATACTTTTTCTTGAACCCGTATCCTGTCAATACAAGCGTTCACATCAGCAACGTTTTCCCGTCCTTCAATATTGCGTCATTTTTTCGTATCACGGTCGACTTGACCAAGCAGTTTCAGGGTTGTATTAACTGTGTCATCATTTCTCAGCACATGATCAGCAAATTAAAATAATCATGTTGTTCTCTGAAACAAAACCTAAACGAACACCTCACCCTCATAGTTGACTTGGCCGTCACCGTCAATGTCGGCCTCACGGATCATCTCGTCCACCTCTTCGTCAGTGAGCTTCTCCCCCAGGTTGGTCATGACGTGCCGTAGCTCTGCTGCACTGATGTAGCCGTTTCCATCCTGCAGACACAAATTTAATTACATTCATTTAGATGGACTGGACTTCTTCTAACCTCACATGGACTGAGCGCTAATGCTTATTACATGCCTGCCAGCACGTAGTAGATTCTAATCCAGCAACAGCAAAAATGATTACTGGGTCAAAAAGTGGACTCAAGAGGACTGCTTTGGTGCTCAATATCATACCTAAACATTCAAAACATACAGGTGTTTGTTCCTACCTTGTCAAAGACTCTGAAGGCTTCTCGGATCTCCTCCTCACTGTCTGTATCCTTCATCTTTCTGGCCATCATGGTCAGAAACTCAGGAAAGTCAATGGTCCCATTACCTACACAGCCACATGAGTACACACAGGTTAGAATGAGAATTAAAGGCACAGTGCATAGAGTATTTAGAGATATGTTGCAGTCAGACTCCTAAATTGACCAAATCACTCCCTTGGCTCAGCTTTTCTGACAATGAAGTGTTGGTGGCCTTTGAGGACATGAAGCTTTGTGATTCATGGTAAGTAGGATCTTCCATGAATGTCTATCATTTAAGTTTTTGTTTATGACTTGCTCCATCTTTGTCTTCCAGTCGGCTGATTCTGCGCAGCCACTCACCAAATAAGAAAAAAACGTTTATGTTGTAGTTTTGCAGCAAATCAAAACAATTTAAATTTTAACAACACAATCATCAACACAGTTTATAATTTAGATATTTAACCCCCAATTTCCACCACATCCGGAACAGCTACGAAAAGGCCATATCTGCCGATCACAGCTGATCGTAACCATTAAAGTTAATGTGTCAATGTCCACCGGCTTCTTTCCATTCCGCTGCGGATCGCTGGACTCCACAGCCGATCGCAAGATTAACACAGATTAACCTGTGCTGAAAAGAAAGATAAAACAAAACAAACCGGCTTCTTTTTTGAACGCTCCGTGTTTCAGGCGGATCGTATTTCACACATGCAAATGGGCGGGGACGAACAAGTGAAAGGTTTATAGACAACATTTCATCCCAATGACACCATGGATGAGGAGATGCTGATTATAGAAGTCTAGCGGTGGATTTCCTCCTCTGGAAGGACACAATCTACTGCTTATGTGGTTAGACTCTGTGGCTGTCCGTAATCCGCCAAGAAATTCACCTCACCAACAGATCCGGTAGAAATTGGCGGACGGCGAATATCGCTGCTGTTCCGGGTCAGAGCCGTTCCGGATCGGTGAAAATTGGGAGTAAGTCTATATGGTTTTCATATCCCTATGATGTCTATGCACAGTCTCATTAGTCTCGCTTAATCAAGTGTTTCCAGATATCTGTGACTTATATCTGTCATCCGTCACTTTCCCTAGTGTTAAAATAAGGGTCTAAGTGATTAAGATTAGATAGATGTTTATCAGGGATTAATCACAGACAGTATGACGTCTTCAGTCCCTTATAGACCCTCACAGCAGAGAAACTTCTTTCTGGCATCATTCCCGTCAAACCAAAGTCTGCCATGATGTAAAAAGTGTGTACAGTTAATGAGCTGTAACAATCACACACACACAGACGTGGCAGCCTCCCAAAGAACATTGTTTAATCACAGGGATCCTTCAGGTCACTGCGATCGGCTGAGGTCTGGTCTGAGTGCGACTTCATCCTTACCATCAGCGTCCACCTCGTTTATCATGTCCTGAAGCTCGGCCTCAGTGGGATTCTGCCCCAGGGAGCGCATCACGGTCCCCAGCTCCTTGGTGGTGATCGTCCCATCGCCGTCCTTGTCGAACAGCGAGAATGCCTCCTTGAACTCTGTTGGGTTAAAAATAACAGAGTTCATAAACCGTGCAGGTTCTTGTTGACCCAGACACCTTACTGTGTTTGTTTTTCCATCATGCAGAAACATATTCAATTGTAACAGTGCCTGTGTGTTATTATTCCAAATCAACAAGCATGTGGGACTCCAAACCGACATCCCTGAATTCCTACAGAACCTTGAAACCGTCAAAAATAAACGTGTATATTAACGATCATATTCTCTCCCCCATAATTCAGTCAAACTTTAAAAAAAATCCCTTTTAATACACCAAACACCACAGCATCATCCCGGAGGAACCATTCAGTAATCGAATGGCCCTATTGCCCTCTTCTGACTTTTGGCCCAATAACCCCCCGCTGACTTTTGCCGGAGGGGGAGGAATCTGGCTCAAAACTGGAACAATTATCTTGTCGCGTCCTGTGGCGGTAGCAAACTAGTGAGCAGGATTAGACCATAATCCGTGGAAAGGACGGGGCCATATCTGAACAAGTCTGGTGAGTAACGCAGCTACTGAAGCTAAAAAGCAAACAGCAGTAAACAAACAAGGTGCACTCACCGGCAATCTGCTCCTCAGTCAGCTGATCAGCCTGTTGAAGGGAAAGGATAATTATAAAACGTTAGGAGCTCAAAATGAAGATATTATTTAGGTCTTCTTCGTTATCATGTGCGACAGGATTGATGTTATTTTAAACCTATCACATGCCTGTTGAGTACTTCACTCTATTAGTTCAATGGTCTCTATCAAGGGTCTGTTATTTCTCAATGATACACCAATGTCAGGGATACAGCTCTTATCACAGACACCAGCAGACTCGCTGTAATCATATCAACCTGATGACTTTGAGGTCAGTTTAGGATAAAGACACAAATACTGGAGGCTTTCACACAGAAATCTAAATAAACCCTCAAAAGGATATTGTATGTGGCATGGCTACACATTTGAGATACTCTCACAATACGACGACATGAGATTTTCTAGCCACAAAGGTTGTTATAACACTCTGATCACGTGACGTGCAAGTAAGAGATGAGCAAACAGGGAGCAACAACGTGGCACACCACACTTCAACCTGTTGGACAACGGCCTCAGGCGACACAGAAACAGCTCACAGCTGAAACTTTGGACTTCAGCTATTCTGGATTGAAAAGAGACAATGCTGCGCAGCATCAGTTACTGTGATGCTGTTCCTTCTACTGTTGCTGCCTCAGGGGAAATACTGCTAACCTGTATCAGCACTTAAACCACACCACAAACTAAGCGAAGTGCAGTTACAGCATGTGTAAAATGCTGACCACCAACTGAGCCAAATTACACCCGGCAGGAATCACTGACTGACATTTATTAAAGTATAACTCAAAAGAATTTTACACAGACCAGCAAGGCGAAGTTACCAGAGTTAACAACTGCTTTCTAATTGGGTTAAAATTTACCATTTTCATTCACATCTCTGGTTGTGAAACTGACACTTCTTTAGAGGAGACATCGCCTCTTAAAACCTTTTTTTTTTTTTTTTTTTGGTATGCTTTTATTTTGATATTTTTTCTGTCTGATGTTGAAGTTGCTTTATTGCCTTCCTTGCAAAACTATCATTTTATTTTGAAGTGCAAGCGACTGAACAAAAAAAATGTAAAACGAATTAGAAAGGAAATAAATCTTTAATTATTAGTGACCTGAAAAGGCAGAATCTTTTACATTTCTTTCATATTTACAGAATAAAAAGATGGAATTTCAGATTTTACAGAGCCGTATCATCTCTTAGAGAACCACTCTAAGAAGTCATCTTTAAAGCAGTGTGTTTTAGGGCATTTTTCTTTTATTAGAAAGGACAGCTGGTGAAAGACAGCAAACACTGGGAGCTGAGAGTGGGGCAAAGGGTCGCCGCCAGCTGGGCATCAAACCAGCGACCACTGTGACAAGGACTGTAGCCTCGAAACGTGGGGCGCGAAAACCCATAGGGTATGCCGTCAGCGGGTAGTGGTGACTGATAACTTTTTAAATAATAGAAAGCCTCTCTTTCCTCTCTGTCACGGTTTAGTTGCAGTTAAATCAGCCTTGAAGAACGAAGCTGCAATGGAGGTACTACACCCAAAACTAAGACTATAAAGAAATCAAAATAAACCTTTTTTGGGGTGAAAACAGCATATTCATCTTTATACTTCAACCTACTACTTAAATACTGCAGGCCTTGTTTATTACAATATATGCCATTATCATATTGAGCTGGAAAATGGTTAGTTTTAGAATCTACAGTTTCAAGTAGAAGAAAACGATTACAGCTTATATTTAAAAAAAAATGCCCTTAACCTTTTTTTGCACTGATAAATGATGCAGCCTGTAAGCTGAAATCACCATTAAAGCATGGGGTCAGAAATTTCCAGTGTTACAGTATTGTTGAGCTTGCTTTATGGTATATATCCGTTCATTTATGTAATCAGTTACTCGAGCTAAGTGTTGCAACATTCTCTCTTACTGCAAATTAAGATGCTTTTATAACAACTATGATAGAGGAAGTATCTCCAGGTTCAAATGAGTGCTGAAGAAAATGAATAAAGCTATACAGGAATAATTGATTCCTGATGATAGTTGTTCACAGAGTCTTAAAGAAACACGATACTGGCAGTGTTGATCACAGATGCTTTACTGCATGAGAGAGAAGAAAAACTTTCGGTAATCATAACTCATTATCACCAGTATTGTGGGTCGGTGTTATTTATGTGGATATGCATTTTAGGTGCCTTTAACTGTTTTTAAGTATCTACAGAACAGTAAACACACAGACAAACTTTTGGGAGGCTGACTAAGGAGCACCTGTAGCAGACTTCATCTGCTAAAAACCTAAACACAAAAATGATAATAATCTTATTTTATGAATAAGACTTCTGCATTTCTAGGAGTAAAATCTGAGAAAACATGGCGTCTTATGATTACTCTAAAATCAGCTCTCACCGGCTTTACTACTTTGACTAAAGTGAATTTTTTATTCATACCCTCAGTTCATTTTAAACTTCAGACGTAACGCTGCCATCCTCCTGAGATCTCGCTGAGCCTGTCTAAGTCAGTCAACATGCCTGCTTCAGACTGAGAAAGTGTGATGAGGGACGGGTATAAATACTCTACAGCCTGAAATACATACGCCTGCTATAATTAGTGAGACACGAACAGGGTCGCCAATGTAGCACACGGAGTAGCACCGCTACTAACCACCTCTTTGTGCCTTTTTTAATGAACAGATGTCAGACTTGGTTTGTCACAGACACCACTGACTGAACTCTGTGGAAACTGTTGATTGTTGCTCTGTGTTAGTGTGCACTCCCTCATAATGTCCACAAGTGACTCTAAGATGACCACAACCCAACTGGCGAACAGCTTTAAAAAGGAAATGCATACATACTAATGTAAGCTATGTGATTGAAGTGCTGATACTATACTTTGTGATTAGGCAAAGGAACTATTTTAGAGTAAAGGTCCTTTCACACCGGGAGCTTTTTTTGTTGTGCGATTATTTTGGATGTCAATATTTTTTTTCGAACCCCTATCCTGTCAATACAAGCGTTCACATCAGCGACGTTTTCCCGTCCTGCAATATTGCTGCATTTATTTTTTCGGATCACGGTCGATTTTTCTCAAGTTTCGCATACTGTGTGTCCACTTCTGACCAATCAGTACATGCTATCATGACAGACAGACATCTCAACACTAGTGTCTAATCAGAACTGAAAAACAATCAGTCTGCTGTTGTGTCAGTCTTCTCGCTTCCACCCAGGATGCGTCTTTTTCCCCCCCAGAAAGTCGCAGAATCGCATCAGGCTTGATGTGCAAAATTCACCTTAGAATATTTTGTAATTTCATGTTCTATATTTGCGTCTGACCCGGTGTGTAAAGGTCCTAAGCAGTGTTGTTTTCATTGACGATGTTGAAAATACTTCGTCAAGAACATCGTCAACGAAAATGACACTGCAGAATATATGTTTAGCGTTTGAGTGACGAAATGCTCATGAATTTTGCAACTGTGTTCGTCCTCACACACCAATGTTTTCATCTGGTCTCGTCTCGTCAACCTAAACGCACATTTGTCTCGTTTCATTTTAGTAATCTAAGACTTATATTTGTCTTGTCAACGTCACGTCTTCATCGTGGAAAAAAGGGGCATTGACGAAATATTTTCGTCAACGAAAAAAACACTGGTCCTAAGAAGTTCTTTAAAAATAAGGCAAATAATCTTTCAAAGCTGCAAAATTTTGTGTCCAAAGATAAACAGTAAATTTCAAACAGCTTCTTGCATTTTCAAAAGCAAAAATTTCTGTAGCTGGAGGTGGTGGCAATGCCATGTGCTCTTCGAGTCAGTTTCGATGAGTCACCATGTTGTTTGGTGGTGGTGGTGGTGGTGATGTTGGGGTGTGTGCGTGTGTAGGGGATGGGGGTGGGGGGTGAAAAGAAGCAGGCAAGACTGACTGCGGAGTATCCATTCTGTTCACTGCCAACCAATTCAGTGGTGCTGAAGCAAGCAGTGTGTGGATCAAAGCGCAGCGGGGATACAGCACAGATGACTGTTACCGGATTTGTAGGCTGCTGTGAAGAAAAGCACAAAGCATCCACTCTTTCCTGCCTTTCAGATTCATCAGTAAACATGCCATGCTACTGAGTAAAGACAGATTTATGTTTGGCCAGCATGTGGCAGATGATAGTATCTATCACAGACCATGTGTCAGGGGATGACACACAGAGGCAAAGGTGCCATAAAGGGCACTTTGTAAAAAAAATAAATATATCCTCGGTTCCCATTTTGGAGGGTGCACTGCGGGTCCTGCCCACTGCATCAAGTACGGTTTGGTTCAATGCGGGGGGAAGGGAGGCGCAGAAGGAGGGGTTGCAAAGAGAAGATTTCAGCAAGAGCAGAATGCGGTACAAACGCGTTATGGCGCAATACGAAAGCGGAGAGATGCTGTCACCGTTATTGTGGTGGTGCGAGCACACACAGTCCTAGCATGGAGGATCTCGATGAAGACAGCTGTGATGTAATCGCAGATCAACCTTTATTCGCTTGTTGCGCATGTTTCACTCCTGTCAAAACACCCTGCTGCTCCTGCTGGCTTCGCCTGCGAGAAGTACAACCCACGTTGCAGCAACTAGTTATGTGGGATAACCGCATCGTAGACAACCCCAGATAATGTCGACGGTAATCTCACAAGATTAATGAGGTGGGTTTCAAAAATCTGGACGCTCTACTTTGCACAGCAGCAGCCTCTTCACCACCACCACATCCACCCCGACTCAAAAACCAGTAAAACGCCATAATTGCAAAACTTGCACTGGATAAAACCATCCCATTTTCAGATTTTAAAGTCAATAAATCAAGATACAGTTACTAGGAGACACAAGCGGGATGTAATTGTGCGCATCTGACCGATATTCAGTAAGTGTTTACTCCTCAGTGGAGGAAATCACTGACCCATTTTAGGACGAACAACCAGATTAACCTTAGTGATTTATGCAACATCATAAGACCACCCCCTCAGAGCGAGTACAATCATAAGGAAGCTTACACAGAGGCTTGAAGGCGTTATATTAGATAAATGTTTGCAAAAAAAGGCCTAAATGCAACAATGATCACTTGTTACTTTAACGCCGTTCAGAAATAGTGCGCTAACGTTAGCTAGTGAAGCTAGGTAGACACGTTGACGTTAGCAGTCTGTACTCACCATCGTTGCCTCGTTAACTCTGCAAAGATAAAGAAACGCCCACCGTAAGGTTTTCTATGTACTGTCCTAAACGGATATGTACTTCGATTAAATACCGAAATGTATGTAAAGCTTTAATAGATTATTAAACTCAGAAAATCTGTGGAGACGGTATCCCGATGATGCAGAATTGCCCGGCTTCGATGTGCGATGCATATAATAAAAGTGTATCCCTCCGCCGGTTCTTCTTCGAGGTTTTTTTTTCATGGTGGGTGGCGTTCAGCTTTCTGGTGCTTTACCGCCACCTATTGTAGGAGGTGGGACATATACAGTCTATGGGACATATGCAGTCTATGGGACATATGCAGTCTATGGGACAGGCCTATTACAGTTTTCTTCAAGCGCCTACCCATTCTTCAGATACTTTTCTAAACTCTTAACACGGACTCACACCTACAAAACACAATTGGCCAAATGGACAATTTTCTTCTCATAAATACACACATATATATACACAACCAGAGACACACACACACAAATACACACATATACACTATACACACACACAAATATACACACTATATGCACATATATACACACACTACACACACACACATATATATAAATATATATATAGAGAGAGATTATTGTGTGTTAACATTCGTAAATAATATGAAAACAATCCATAATTTTGTTGGGAGGTAAACCTTTTCTGTTAAGAAAATATTTGCATTTAGCATTTTAGCATGTGTTCACTGACTGCAAATTGTGTGAAAACAACATTAAATGTGTGAATGGTATGGCCACAAAAGACCAATACTGTGCTAATTGTGTTTACATTTTTGAAAATGTGACAACTGATTGGACAAACGCTTGTTAGCGACTGAAATAAACTGTACTTACCCTCCAAGAGTTGTGGTAGGACAGTGAAGACTGTAAAAGTGGAAAAAATAAGAACATCAATTCTGTTTAAGGAGCAAAAGTAATTTACTGAAGATATAAAATATTCAGTGAGTGCAGGCAGGCTGAAACCATGTTTCTGAGATTGGCTACCTTTTCACTGCAACGGTGCACAAATTTTCAAAAAGGCACTTTTTGTCAAATAACTGTTTTAAAGTGTTATTACATTCAAAGTTCTCAGTCTAACAGTTTGAAAGTTCTGCACCTCAAAATCTCCCTTTAACACTGGTTTGATAGACTTAATTTATCTACTATTATAAAAGATAATACTTAATGACATGAAAATATAAATGTCTGTATGAAATTTTACTCACAGTTTATGAGGGCAAGTCAAAGTGGTACAATCTTCATTTGTACAAACATGAAAGTACAATACATGCTGTGAGTCTTTGACAGGAAAAATAATCAAGAGATTAGTGTATGTGATTAATAAAATACACACTCATTCAAATTATCTTTGTCAAATTAGGCTACAACCTGTTACTTAAAGCAAATTGTAACACTGCCAGCACATTACCACCAGAGTGGTAAAAACAGATGGAGAGAAGCAGCTGTGGTATTTCTAACTGGGAAACTGGCCAAGTCAGACTTGGTGCTACTGGAAGAAATCAGTTTACGATTAAATTAAACTTTATGCTGTGCATATTCAAATGTCATTAACACATTTCATGTTTAATCGATATTACAGGGACCATCTTTAAAAATTTACACTGCAAAAAATGGTGTTGGTTGGAGGGGGGACCCAGGTAACTGTGATTGTATAAAAAGACCGAATCAGACATCAGATCAAACTCAAAATATGTTCTTGTCTCATTTCATTGCTAAAATTGATAAGCATGTAACTGTTTAAATATGTGTGCTAATGTGTTTGAGTCATGATTGTCTTTATTGGGCAGAACAAATCAGCATCTCCAACTCAGAAAAAACAGGGGAAAAAGCTGAGGTCTCAAGGAAACAACCAAAAATGACTTTGCACGTATCCCAGCAAAATAATGTAGGCCTAAATAAAATGTATGTATCAGCCTACACGTCTGCTTGATTCTTCTGTACAATGCTTATAGGCCTACTTTCAATTGTACGTTAAAGGGATATTCCGGCGTAAAATTAATTTAGGGTCAACTACACCATAACACAGGGTCAGACACCCCCTCAAGAGATGAATGTTGCCGACCACTTGCTTCTCTAGCTATATCAACTTTAGTAACAACCGCACGATAGCAATACACAGCGGTCTGAGGAGCCATAAACAAACCTCAACCAAAACGCCACTCTATAGCCACAAATAATGCTCAGAACAGCACCTAACTTCATCAACAGTACATATAGGGTCCCAGCCATAGTACTAGCCACCAAACATCTTTTTAACTTTGCCTAATTTCTGTAACAAAGAGACTAAACTCAACTCACCTACTCTCTTCCAGCAGCCGCTTGTTTGAAGCGAGACTTCAGGCCAGTCCATTACGGACTGCAGCGGGGTGACACAGCTCAAGGAAGAACATTTATGATCATTACTTTATCATTTCTTTTAAATAATAATCATCATATTAATCATTTTGCACTGCAGACGCGGTAGTTCTTCTGCCTTAGCGTCTCGGTCTGATTCCATTTCCATGAAGAAATGATCACACATTTCTTATATGCTGGAATATCCCTTTAAGGTTTACATGATAGTGCGATGAATATAATGTTCAGAAGACCGCCTTGGGCCTTATTCTTATTTTTCAGACTCTATTAAAAACTACGATTTCAAAGCCCAATGTGGAAAAAATGAGACTGTTCATTCAGAATCTGTCTAGTGTACTCTAAACCTGCAGTAGAAAGCACTGTTGTTGGTGTGTACTAATGGTGCTTCTGTAGTCTTTTCCAGCATGTTCCTCAGACTCTAGCTGACCTCAAATCCTCTCAGATGGCTCCACTCCACTGAGCCCAAAGGTGAGACTGAAGCAGGGATCGGAACCTTCTTTTCATCCAGCCAATCAGAAAGTTGATTTATGTCAGAGAACTGATTTAATATACCAGTTAGAGAGTTTCTTTTCATTCAGCCGTTTGTTCCACTGATCATTACTCTTCTCTTGGGTCATCAGAAGGCTGCTTTTATCCAGCCAACCAAAAACATTTTCATCCTGCAAGTTAGAGACCGACTTTCAATCAGTCATTGGGAACAGATTCTATTAAAGACTGCTTCATATACAGATGTACAGGTCTGTCCAGACTGCATGAATAAACGGTTTGGTTAAAGGTTAAAGATTAAAATTACACTCACCGATACTGAACTCACCACTCTTTATTTCATGTTAGTCAAAGAATACTCCAGCAGAGGGAGACATTGCTCAAAAATTGCTTGCATGTCAGTGTTGCAACAGAAGTTAATATCAACCCACTCATGACATACCACAAATAACACTTGTGTTTAGACCTAAACATAAACCACAGTTACTCTGATTCAACACTTTCACAAAAAGCAGACATTAGCCAGTTCTGAAAACTTGGTTTAGTCTGGGACCAGAAGACTGAGGAGACACCAGCGCTCTTGTCTACTTTCAGAGCGGAAAAAAGGGGGGAGAACATTTCTGACAATCTGACCTCTTTAATTTTCACTGATTGTAAAGTTAGTTTTTCACCCTTAAGCAAAGCATGGGGTTTACAAGAAGTGGAAATGCACGCACAAAAAATCAGACATGAGAAAGACAGTTCATCTTTACAGGCCTACTAACAGTTTTAAGTACTTCAAACTTGTTGATTCACACAAAAAAATTGCTGTGCCCTGAATCTGGATTACAAACAGTTATATTTCTAAAATTGAATGTCTCAATTTACTTATCACTTTTTTGAGTATCTTCTCAGCATTACACTCATGACAAGTTTATGGACTCCTTGGGTTTAAAGCGTAAACTAATAGTAGTAGGATATAAAAAAAAGTGATGATCTCTTCTCGATGGTGCAAGGTTTTCTTTGGCTGAGCATCAAAGACCCTCATCAGACCCTTATCCTGCTGAAGAATCGCTGATCTCTGTGGTGCAACACTAGATTTGAGTCCAGGTGTGTGTCTTATCCAACCGAAAGTTGGCTCATGCTCTTCCTGTTTTTCTGAGACTTGTGCAACCATCAAGCTGCATTTCAACTGCATCTTGATGGCCTGCTTTTGCACATTTGAACACAGATACATCTCTAAATATTTCACTTCCATTATGATGCCAGTGGGATAGCATGGGTTTGATACTCTTCATATGAACAATTATCCTGCTCCTGTTTTACAGAGGCTTCTCTTTTTATATTTCTGTAGCACACTTTTTTCACTCTGGCGTTTTCACAAAGGCATTTACCGATAGAACTGGGATCACAGAAGTGACAGAGCATACTGTGGCCTGAGCTGCAAACTGCCTGTACCTGCTGTCTGTGCTGAGTGTCATTCTCACAATAACATGTTGGTACCTCAGGGTCGGAAAAACAGAGTTTGATCTTTGACCTGTGGTGGTGGATACCACTATACATCCAGGCCAGTGTTCCTAACGTCCAGTTCAGTCCCTGCTTTATGATCACAGAGATTGCATTAAACAGGGAGTAAGTGCAACACACTCCCAAGAGCATCATGAGACAGTTTGCAACCTGGTACCCCCGAGAGTCCTCATGGTGCTCTCTCTGGCCACTCACGAAATCGCCGAAACCAACTGTGCTGAAGGCCACAAAGCAAAAGTAGAGGGACTCCAAGTAAGTCCAGCCCTCCATGACTGAATAAAGGGAAGCAGCTCCACACGCAACGAGCAAAACAGCAACAAAAAGAATGAGCGTGACTTGGTAAACTGATGGTTTCCGCTCCATATCGCTGATCGTGTCACCGGCTCTGCTGTCTAATCTGTCGGATCCTCTTCTCTTTCTATGGCACCAGAATATCAAGAAGCTCAGCAACGTTATGACTCTCTCCAGGAAGAGATTGAAGAAGAGTATGGCAGCAGAGCAGCCCAGCAATCCGTAGAAAACAAGCAAGACCTTCCCCGTCACAGTTGATGGGGCCGTCACTCCAAATCCTGTGTAAAACATGAGAGGTTAAAAATAACACCCGACATTAAAGACACTGTCACAGATTTCCCAAATTTAATGTCCCAAAACTTGCTGCTGCTGCTGCATGGTACAACTTCGCTCAACTCCACCCCTGTTTCTTGGAACTAGAGGTCTTCAATGGCCTACTTGAAACATACCCAGGACCCATACTGAGCCCGATCCCTTATTTGATTTTGCTCAATCAAGCCTGGGTCTGATCTGGTCCTACTCTGTTAATGTTAAGGTCTCAGGTTGGTTTATTATGCGTTCAATCAGCCGGTTAGACTTTAAATTTGTTCCAGTAATGACAAAAACTCAACAGAGGGGCAGTGAAAATGAATATATTCCTCTTTTCAAATCACTGGGTTCAGGGTCAGTTTGGGCTGAGGTATTCCTGCTTGAAACGGTCTTATTTGGTTGTCTGAATGGCAAACATGATTAATGCATACTCTTTTTGGGACCACAACACCTGAGGTTCCAAGTGACCTGAAGTTGTAGCTCACTACATATATGTACTATCGCATGTTGCAATGTGGGATGCCCTTACTTTGGCAAAGTTTCATATTAATGAGATACACAGATGTTGATGTTAGCCCCAGACGTGTTTTCTGGTGTCCCAGGTCAGACAACCAGACTAGTGTTCCAGCGACAGACCCACTGGAGGTTCATAAAAATTTTACCCCACATGGAAAATCCAGCTCACCACTCAGCTTTTCTTCTGCTCTGCACTTTCCTGAGTCAGTATGTCTCAGAAAGTTTCTGTTAGTTGTGAAGAAAAGCTGTTTTCATGACAACAGCGGCCACATGAAGCTGTTTTGCAGCTTCTCTGATGACTCCTCAGTAAAGAAGAAGCCAGAAGTAGCTGTAATTGCAACTCAGTTGTTACTGAATTGCCTTATTCTTCTTTTGAAAACTGATAACCATAGACTCACCTCGTGCACTCTAAACTATAGATGGCACATGCAAGCACAGGTCAAAGTATCACCTTGCTGTCGGGAGGTGCCAAAATCAACACAAAGCCAAAGTTTCTCCCAGATGTTTTAGATTCCTTAAATGTCACCTTTGTTTGAGAACACGCCAACAAAGGAATTGAAAACTGTGTGGAAACAAAATGACTGGCGCAAACACAACAATTTGTGTGGTCAGCTAACAGAGAATTGATTTATGTCAGGAAAGTAAAGCAGACTTGGGAATGTGTGAGAATTTCCAGGCAGACGGATTTGTCCAGGTGTTGTGTATGAAGAGGATGCTGCCTCCTTCCTCCCTTCGGTATGTATGAAAAAAATTCATGATCAAGTGGTCCTGTGGTCTGAAAATACACATCCGGGCGACTGAAATCTTGCAACACGTGTATTTCCCATTGTAACAGCTGTTTTGACGGATGTCGCCTACGCTACATGAAAAACCGTGGACTGGTTGAGTCATTTTTGGATCCATCAAAAAACCAGATGATTGCATGTTTTAGATTAATGATGTTTTTCTTGTGCCTTTTTCCTTCCTGGGATAGACACACTGTGCATACCTCACATACTCTGTAAAGACAAACATAGTTCAAAGTCTGTAAAAGATTACAGGGACATTATGTGAGATCATTTTCCTGCCATTACCAGTAATCGAAGTCAATATCATTTTAAAGGGATATGTCTTATTTCCTAATTAAGAAAGTCGTAGGCAAGGAAGGAAAGGCAGCATGGGATGCATGAATATGACCATCAGTCATAAAATGTCAAATTGTTGTTTCTTTTTTACGAGTCACAAAGCCCAGAGGGGTAATTACACAAAAAAACTATTGCAGTCAATATGGAAGTAGTTTTAAAAAGGAAATTGATATAGGCGCCACAGCGTCTGTCCTTCAGTTTCCACAGTGACAGAGTAGCTGAAGATAGTAGGTACAGTTTGAAGGCTGTAAATTGATTCAGAGATGAGACTGGTTTGTTTGTTATCTCTGGGATATGGTTTGTCCTCCGTAGATACAGGCAAAGTATCGATTTTGATGGACTGTTCCTTTTTAGCCTCCTAAGATAGATGTAGATTCATGTGATAAGTGTTTGTGATGAGATACAGCGAGTATAATAGATATATGTTACACAGATAGTTATCGACAAGTCATCAGGAGGTCCTGTAGTCAAACATTATGATGAAAGTGCTGTACAGCTGGTCTCCATTTTATCTGTTTGAAGTTAGGAGTGTTGGTGGCCTTTATTGTTTTCTCTTTTTTTTAACATAAAATTGGCATAAAAACGAAGTCCAGTTGTGTTTGAAGGATCATTTCTTTGTTGTAACAATGCTTCTTGGCAATAAATATTATACTGTTGGACAGCCTGGTCACTTCCCTTTTAAATAGTAACAGGTTTGTGAGGAACAAGCATTTGTGAGATGAGCAACAGAGCTGAGTGAAAAAGTTGGAGATGTCAGAGACAGGCAGTAAGTGGGCATCCCAGGAAGACCGTTTCCACATCCTATCAGCACTTAGGTTGTCTTCTACAGATTTGCAGCATTTAAAGGTTTTCAGGACAACACGGCCAATGGTTCTCCGCTCAGACGAACCAGGACAGACTGCACACAGCCAACAGACCTATTTTCACAGTACGCGGAAGTTAGCATTCTGCTCACTTCCGGTGTTAGCGTGTGGTGGAGCCACTTAGCATCGCTCATAGACGGCCATTCATTTTTCACGATATTAACAAGCTCGCGACTCGTTTTTTTGAAAGGTAATGTAGAATTGTATGCTTTGTGCTGTTTTACTAACTCCTGTTCTACAAAGTAATGTCCGGATTTTGTACTTTACTTTTCGGGAATTATGTTTAATAGGTCATTACTCAAGAGCAATGGTTACCATCATCAGAAAATTTCCAGACCTACTAAAACTAATTCCCGAAAAGTAAAATACAAAATCCGGACAGTATTATGTAGAACAGGAGTTAGTTAAACAGCACAAAGCATAAAATTTTACGTTACCTTTCAAAAAAACGAGTCGCGAGCTTGTTAATATCGTGAAAAATAAATGGCCGTCTATAGGCGATGTTAAGTGGCTCCACCACACGCTAACACCGGAAGTGAGCAGAATGCTAACTTCCGCGTACTGTGAAAAAGGTCTATCTCTGGTCTCATAGGGCTGCCAGGAGACCTGTTATGACTGCCCTTTATCAACACGCTTATTCGCGCCGGGGACGGCAACTTGTGCACCTGAACATGTGGAGGAACAGTACGTTGAGCGATGAGTCCAAATTCTGTGTATGAAATTGCAGGGTAAGGCCAAAGTTGGTGAAGATGTGGAGAACACTGTGCTGATTGCTGCACTGATAGAAGAGCATCTTTAGGTGGAAGCAGTGTGATGGTGTGGGGCAGCAACCCCTGGCTGAAAAACAAGGCCAGTCATCTTTGGAGGCTATCAGTGCAAAGATATATTGAAATGAGATTTCGCAACCAGTGGCAGTCCCACATCTCAATAGTCTGGGATCGAACTCTATCTTCCAAGTTGACAATAGTCGCCACAGTTCAGTTAACTGGGAGTGGAGAGGATAGAGCAGCCTGTCAGCAGTCCTGACTGCAACACAACTGAACGCTTGTGAGATCAGCTGGGATGCACTGTTTATGCCAGAGTGACCAGCTGAAACACACGGGCTGACTTTGGTTCGAGAATCAGAGTGTGACCAGGCTGGTGACCAGCATGAGGAGGAAGTGTTAGGCTTTTGTAGCTTTGTATGGTTATATCATCCAATCCACCAAACAAGGTTAAATGGCAGAAAAAGCTGTTTTGCATTGACAGAGATTTGGGAACTTTTTCATGGGCACCACCCACATACTTAACTCTACTTCTCATCCAACAAATGCATGTTCCTTACAAATGAACAGGCTGTCCAACAGGAGATATTCATTTCCAAGAGGTATTGTTCCAACAAGGAAATGATCTATCAAACACAAATGAACTTACTCCATGTGCTAAGTCTAAACGATCATGGTTTATGGATCAGCTCCAAGATATCAATTCTAAGTTTTTCCAAAGAACTAGAACAATGAGAACAAAAAGGAAAAAGTTCCTCACAAGAGATGAACATGTTTTTAAGACCACATCACATTTAACTGTTAAGTTGTGAAAACTTTTGTGGTGTTACTTGCAGGTGAGGCTGGTCTGTCTCAGAGGACTCTGCAACTCTGTGATTGTGTGTAATCTGAAGAAAATATGCATAAATATAAAAAAATGATACCAGGTTTTAGACTTTAGTGCCAGGTCTTCTCTATACTCACCGATGGTGGAGACTACAGTTCCCACAAAATAAAACGCGCCTGGAATGTCCCACAGGGCTCTGCCTTGTTCTGCCCTGATGCCTGCTGTCCTCGCCTCCTCGTAGTAGCATAACAGAGACTTAAGGTCATCACAGCTGATGTTATATTCCTGACTGAAGTCCTTTAGTCTTGATTCCCAGAGCTTGTGGGCCTTAAGCTCTGCTGGCCTCTCCAAAGAAGAAAAAATAGCAGCACCAGCCAGCATGTACAGAGCAATGAGCACAAAGAGTAAGTAGAAACAAGCAGTTTCCCTGCTGGGGATCAGGGATGGACAGCAGCAGGAGAAATCTTTCTTCATTCTTGTTTGAAAAGGGCGCACGCAGATTATCTACTCTATGTTTGCTGTAAAGCAGTCATTGTGCTTAGCAACAGCAACAACATTCATTATATTTGCTCAGATGTCTGATACCATCAGTCTACAGTAGCTACATACTAACTGTTTGATTCTCCCTTGCTTTATCTTATCTCATACTTCACTGTATTTCTCCCTAACCAGTGAATTACTGAATAAGCATTACTAAAAAACAGTAGTTAGCTATCTAAGACTGTGATGGTGACTGTTGCTTCTCGGTCTGCAGGCAGCTTTAACAGAGGCTTCAATGATCTGTGTACAGCTACTGCTTATCACCAGCTCAATAACTCATCTCTACTCTCTTTTTATGACCCACAAACGTCTACACTGTTCTCTCTTTCAGTCATTCTTGGTCAACAAAAGCACACAAAAAGGAAAATGTGTGTTCACCATAACATAAACCTTGTCCGGTGCTTTATGTGAACATTTCCATTCGGGGAGAGTGGGGTAAGACAAGCCATTTTTCATATTTCGGATCAATACATCAAGGCAGTCACAGTTTTGTCTCTAACTAGTGTACCTGCATATATTTCAAGATGTTGTTTATCCCTGTAAACCAACAGAATGAGTGTAAACATCACTGTCTTGATAATGTAGTATGCCAAAAAAACAGTGGTCATCTTACCCCATGTATGGGGTAAATTGACCATAGGAGCGGGGTAAGTTGAGCCGTATCCCTGGACTTTTATGTTATATATTTGACCTCATGTTGTAGCTCATAGATATCACAATTGATGTATTAAACAAATTTAAAATGATCTTTTTTGGTCTAAACACAATTCTAATAAAACTTAAGACAGACTAAATTCACTCTCAAGAGTGAAAAATGTTTTTTTTGGGCAATAAATGTCTAACCCCTGTACCCATGTGCTTCTAACCTTCACAGACTCCATGAATTGATGACCATCTCCTAAATACGTGGTCTCATGATCAATTTCTTTTACCATTTCCCAGCAACAGGGGGTGGCTCAACTTGCCCTTTGGCTCACCTTACCCCACTCTCCCCTATTGTGATAAGTTGTTTCTTGTGTTTATCATCTCATTAATGAACTCCACAACATCTTGAAAACTTAAAACCACAGGAATACGAATAATTCATCATCAATACATCATGCTCGGGCAGGTCTAATGAACCACTGACACGCACATATCAGCATTTTTGTTCGCCTGCAACAACCACAAACAATGCATTCAATTAAATTTGTTATGGCTACTTTTAGTAGACCTTTTTAATGGTGTGCCTGGGATTTGATAAATCCCCTCTTGATTGCAAAAATGTTGGAGGTGTTGAATGTCTTGCATTTTTCCCCTTTTTACTAGCATAGCACTTGCACATTTTTTCCACTTGGAGACACAAAATATGTGACCCTATGAGGAATTTATGGTTTACTGGAATGGAACAAAGTGAGTGCATCGATAAATTGTGACGCTGTAAAATTCGTCTAATCTCTTCCCATGGCCCCTGATCTCTAAACAAATGACAGAAATCTGTAATCTCCTGGAAGAGCAGACCTAACATCTGTTATCTGTAGGTGGAGGAGGAAACATGTACCCACTAAAGCCTGATTCCAAAACAGTTGTCACACTGTTGGATGTTATTAGAAAGGCATTCAAATTTTTAGGCCCCATATCAAATTGATAAATCCCAGAGAGGCTGAGTCTCACAGAAGTAAAGATGAGAAGAAGTTCACCACGATGTGAGAGACTGTGTGAGCAAATAGTTCTGTGATTTCAGAAAAATGTTCAACGGCATAAAATTGAATATAATTTAGGGATTTCATCCTCTATCTTACAGAATCAAAGACAGATTAAACGGTTGGTGTATTGATTATGTTGATTATTGGCATTTTGGCATAATAAGCCTCATATCAGCACCCACAAAGCTGATATCGCCATCATCATTTCTAAATGAATACACATTGTTCCCAAAACCCATTAACAGCATACAAAATCTAAAACAATCATTGACTGGTGTTTTAATATAGTATGATAACAATTAGTTTGACAGAAATTTTAGCCATGTTTAGCAATGTTCAACTGAGCCCAATATTTTTTGACTGAAAATTCATCCAAGTTCCAACACTTTGTTTTTCATTGTCAGTATAATTGAATTGTTGTAGCCCACTCTTTCAAAAAAACAAACAAACATAGAAACATGGTGTGAAATCAGCGTTATATATCAGCCATTCAGCTGAACTGCTCTCCTGGCTGGTATGGGCCTTGGCCACTGGAAAACTGTACTGTAATCAGTTCAGCACGAACAAATAATATCATAAAAAGAAGGCGCAAGAACAGAAAATAAAATTTGATAGCTGTGATCTCTGGGAAATCAGGCAGCATCACTTCAAAAACAGACATGACTTTGTAGTGGAAATAAATGCATGGGCTCAAAATCCCTCCCCAAAACGATGCCTTTAAACAGTTTGTTAATGCATCCACAAATACAGGTAACCATGCGAAGAGGACACTACATATAAACAGGATCAAGAATTATCAGTGATTTATCCAAGCCCAAGCCCATTTAAGATGGACTGAGCCCGAGAGGAAACCTGTCCTGAGCTCTGACAAATTATATAGACAGAACTAGTTGGCTGCTCTGTACATGCGCATACAGTCCAGCAGGAGAAAAAAAACTCTAAGACGCTTCTCTACTGCATTACTAGATAACCAGAATTATCCCACAGCTTCACTTTGCATAGCCTGCTAGGTCTGTTTTACAATGCAATGCAAACTTTGTATTTGCTTTCATCCAATAGCATTTTACAAAGAAAAGATTTAAAAACATTCCTTTAAACCATGTTGTAACATAAGTATCAGCCCTGAACCCGGAGATTGTACTTTGACGGAGCGAGTTTGATCGCTTTCTCATGTACAAACCTCCGCCCTTATTGTTGATAATGACATTATCAGAAGTTCTGCCTCTACTTCATTCTGATTGGTTTGTGGTCATTCAAGGTTTGAAAAGATAGAGTATGTAAAAAGGTTGTACACAAACCAGAGTGCATAACTATTTTGGTGGCGTAAGACTGGACAGTGAATGAGTACAAGCTGCAATGTGAGGACAATGGTGCTAAAAAAAAATAACTCACGTGTAGCCGACAAGATGCCATCGTAAACTTTTTATTCAGTTAAGAAAACTTTAAAACAATAAGCACCAAGAGTATCCTATAGCACATAAAAATATATAGCAATAAATCGATATTTGTTTTCATCATGCAATACAAAAGAGGAGCATATTTTTGGTTTATTGAAAACAGGTTATACAGCTTAGATTCCTCTAGTTTACAGAGGAATGTACAGAACTGATGAATGCAAAACAAATGTCATTTCCAAAAAGTGTCATACACTGTAGAAAATACATTCACATGAGCCTAGTGCAATCAAGGAGAACAAAAGTGAGACATATTTAAGGCACAGGAAAACCTTTTCAGCATGTCAGCTCTCAAGTTTTAACTCAATATTGCACATTTGTGGTTCAACGAGCAGGACGAGTGCAGACATGTGCCAGACATCCTTTGGGCAGAACGACAATAAATATCAAAGTCTAAAGTTTGTATTATTAGCATTTTTAAACCAGAAATATAAACTATTAGCTGTTTAGCTTATGTGAGCATGAATATAATGTTTGTCAGGAAAATGTTGTAGTTGTTTGAGGGTTTTTTTCAAGTGGTCTTGAATGAGTTACTTGTATAGTTGTATCAGGCAAAGGGAGTCATGGTCAGCTCTGTTCCTTTGTTGAGAAGCTGACAAGAGAACTATTATGTTATGGTTTGTCTTGTAAATCATATAGACCCATCTGTACTTACTTCAGCCAGTTTCCTAACCAGCTGAAAATTCCTTTCAGAAGCTTTTAATGCTGGTTTAAGTCATGTTATTAGTTTATTCAACAGTATATAAGTAAATTCTGTCTTCTTCCCTTTTTACCAGATCACCCCTCAGGGCTCCACAGTGTGACCGTTTCACTCACATTTGCGTCTAAAATAGATGTGTGCAAATTGTGAAATGTATTTAGGGGCACATATGGGCATAAAAAAAAATTAGCAGAGGCAACAAATGTTCTTTCATGTAAATACCGCAGTGAAGTTACATTTGGGTTGGATATTCACTGCGGATCTACCTGTGTCTTCTCACTCTTCATAACCGGTAATAGCAACAACAGCGCGGTTAAATCTACTCGGCGCCCTCGCAACATAGGGTGTTGAATAAGGGACCATCAATAAATTACCAGTTGATGTTCTCAAGAAAGGCGGTTTTCCTTCAATAGCTTTCATGTCATGTGACCCAGTGACCTAAAATTGATTTTAAATAATAGTACTTATGTTGACCAATAAGACACACATTATTTGATCCATTTTCATTGTGCCCCTAAAGTTCTTCGTGCGCTCCTTACTTTTTCAACTTAGGAGCACATGTTAAAAAAGTTATTGTCAAGCCCTGCCGCTGTGATTTTAGCTTTGCTGCTGCCTAAGTCAGCAGGTAATTCAGCTGCGTACTAGACTCGTTCTCAGTAAGTAAACTTGATCTCCTCATTGTAAACTCTGAGTGCTACCAGTTTGCAAGGACATTAAGCTTTTCCTGCTTTGTCTACCTCATCAGTGCTGTACTTCGTCTTTGAAAATAAAAAAAAATAGTGCTTCAGTAACTATGACAACTAAATCCCATAACAGCTAGAGTATCAGAAAGTAATGTTTTACGTAGTTTAGCTTCTAACTTTATCTGACGAGTTATAAGTAGTGTCAGCAATTTTGTAGTGAGTAAAAGGGACTGAAAGCGTTTATCTGGTTATATGTCAAACACCGACAGTGTCTGTTGGAGCAGGTTGACCTGAGCTTGCTTGAGGACGGTAACACTTGGAAATAATAAACTGGAGGGACTGGTAAATAGAGTCGTGGTTGAAATCAGTAAAGATGTGATGTTTGTTGTTGAAGAAGTAGGTCTCTCCAGGGGTCAGTTTGGGGAAGCCACAGTAGTCGTGCATCCTCAGATAGTGAGTCGAGGTCAGATGTTCAACAGTGCTGTTCCATCCATGGATTTTCACCACACTGCTGAACACAACGCTGTGCGGAGACACACTGTCCACAATCCCGATGTACACTAAACAATAAGAAGAAATGCATTATAGCAACAAACCACGTACTGTATATTCTTAACATTATTTTGTATTAGTTCACAAATAAGTTATATCTTACTTTCTCCACAAAGATCCACTTCAGCCAGGTTGTTCAGCGACAGAAGTCCGGATTCTGGAAAATAACATGATACACGAGGAAGTGGCAAACATACCAAGTTAAAATCTTAAAGATCAAGACTGTTTCTTGAAGTGAGAACTCCGGAGAAGCACAACTGACCTTTACTCAACTTTCTCTGATGCTGTTCTGGCTTGTTGTACAGCCTTCCTGCACAGCAAGACCAGAGGGAGGCGTTGTAGTAACTTTCACCGCAGCACCTGAACCCCAACTTGGCAGAGTAGAGCAGCTCCTTGTCCTCACTTCTGCAGCAAACATCCTGGGTAAAAAGTTGAAGGGTGACATTGACAGTCAGAGCTAGAATCAGAGTATATTTTGACCTTGTCTTTTCTAAAGTTTGATAAGACACTTCTCAAAGATAGTTTACACCTAGTTATATCAATGTGTCTTTGACTTTTAGATAACATCTGGGCAGCTTTACCCCCAATTTTCACCACATCCAGAATGGGTCAGATCCGGAACGGCGGCGATTTTCGCCGTCCGCCGATTCCTACCGGATCTGTTTGTGACTTGAAGGGTTACTATCAGCTGCGATTGGCGGATACGGCCATTTTATAGCCATTTCAGATGTGGTGGAAACTGGGGGTTAATCAGTTTACACTTGACCTTATGACCATTTGTGATCGGATCTCACCTGCTTGTTCTATATACACACACAGAGTGAGTCAAATATACAGACAACACAAAGACTACAACCTCTGAACCCCAGAACAAAAGTCTGGATGCACTGATGGTTCGAAACGAGCTAAACTTTGGTGTTGGTGAGGGAACTTTTTGGAGCTTATCTGACTGCCTTATCAGACTGTACACAGCTAAAAGTGAATGCAGGAGGGAAATATAATACATTGACCTTGAATATTTGAAGGTTACATTTAAGGTCCTGGAAATATTCTGAGTGATGATTGATACTGGTATTATGACAAAGACCTACCGATGTTTTTTTCAGGATGGACCCGCAGCATTGTACATCATCTGCAGACTGGCCAGACATCAGGTTGTAGAGCGTTCCTGCGCAGCACTTCTTCAATCTGTCCTTGATGTTGTACGCTTGAACACCACAGCAGTGGAGGTTTTTGACCTTGGGATATCTGGGAGGAGACATAAGAGGCAGATTTAGAATAAAGTATTACTAATATTGTTGTTATTTAAAGACCCACTCCAATGGAAATCATGTTTTTCTTGTTTTTTATATGTTCATATGACATTTTTCTGATGCTACAGGACATACCATGAGAAGATACCATGAAAGATGCACAATGCCCTCCAAACTGTCACTACCTGATGCTCTCAACTCCATGAATGCCCCTTTTAGGCCTTTCACACCACCACTACCACCAGGTTCACATCTTTGCCTGGTGAACCCTCTCTTAACTGAGGTGAGGATGACAATACAGAAAGTAAACCCCTGCAAAGCTATAGGCCCCAAATGAGTCCCAGGTGGGTTCTAAAAGCTCTCTTCTGGCATGAAGGACATTTTTAACTTCTAAGTGTCCCATGCTTCAAGACCTCAACCATCATCCCCGTGTCAAAGACTTCAATAGTCTTCTGTCTCAGTAGCTATTATTGATCACTCTTACTCCTGGTTGGTTATGGTGCAGATAAAAAAAAGTCCATCAGCTGCTGACACTCATCAGTATGCATACAGGCCAAACCGCTCCATAGCTAATGCCATCACTGCTGTGGTCCACCACTCTCTCACACACCCAGAGAATATGTTTCTGGACTTGTGTTGTGCCCTCAACACAACAACTCCACAGACACTGGTGAAAAAACATCAGCACCCAGTCTTGCCCCATTAAACCAGAACTGGACCTTGAACTTTTTGACTTACAGACCCCTGGCAGTAAGGATCAGTAACTTTATATCGTCAACCATCATCCTCACTACTTGCTGCCCTCGGCGCTGCATCCTTGGCCCACTGCTTTGTGCACTGCTTACACATGACTGCAGAGGGCTCACCATGACTGAAGTTCTCCGATGACACAGCAGTGGTGAGGCTCACCACAAACAAGGAGGAGTCACTATACTGGAAAGAGGTGGGCCGACTATGACTGAGGTGCGAAGAGAACAATCTCATCATAAATGTCAATAACACAAAGGAGATGACTGTGTACTCTAGAAAGACTGGCACTGCACCTCTTCCCCTCTACATTGATGGCACAGCTGTGGAGACGGGGTACACATCAACAACAACCTGACCGGGCATGATGACACCCTGAGCCTGACACCCTGCACACGGACTGTTTTCCCTCCTCCTCTCAGGGAGAAGGCTGCACAGCATCCAGGCAAGGACCACCAGGCTGAAAAATAGCTTTTTCTGGAAGCCGTGAGACTGTGGAAAAGTTCCAGACTCCCATGCCTGAACGTACAGTGAGACTCGATACACAGAGCAGCTGTTGTACTTAGATCTTCTCTTTCTATGTGGGCTGCTACAGCTGCCTATGCTGCACAGGTTTTTAATACATCTTACAACTAGAAACCATTCAGGCCAAATGCACCGTCTGCACCCGCCCAGGATTCGGCTCATGACCATGGGTGACAGGGCCTTTGAGGTTACTGCTCCCCGTCTGTGGAACACTCTTCCTGACCACCTCAGAGCTCCACAGACAGTAGATGCTTTTTAAAAAACGACTCAAGACCTGTCTTTTTAGAAAAGCTTTTCCGGGCTGATTTTATTTTCTTATTTTTATTTTCTGTTGCTCTTTTTATTGTTTTTTTTTCCTATTGCCTTTTACTGTATGCACTTGGAGATCTGTTTTCTTAGATGTAAAGTGCAATATAAATAAAATGTGTCATTATTATTACGTTCAGTGACTTGAGCAGGGCAGTGAAGAGCAGCTTGTTCATAGAGCAATGCTTTGTTTGCTGTTAAGCAGGGTGATTTAACTCCGATTATTAAAAATACACAAGTATCACAATATTTTCAAAGTGGAGTTGCCATGACCATGAAAAATTTGATCATAAAATTGCTCAAAATTAAGACATTGTAGGTGCACAGATATTTTTTAAAATATGGTTCACTTGCATAGACAGAGGCAAACAGTTATACTTGTTATGTTTTATCTTTTAATGATTTTGAGCAACTGCTGGATGCCTTAATTTCTACTTGTTTTGACAGTTTGGCGTTAATCGGGCTCCACTGTCAGTCCAAACTGCCGCTGCTCGCCTCCAAACAGCCTTTCCTCCCTCCCACTGGCAGCCTGTTCATTTTAGGGTACTTTCTGTCTGTTTGTCCCTTTTTATATGGGATGACACAACAGAACAGTACAACTTTGACCTCCTGCAAAATATCCTCTAAAGATCAAGTGCATTGGATTGAAAATAACCCCCTCAGCATTGTGTCTACACATGACCTTTTCCCATTAATGTGACAGAGGGGAATAAAGTACCAAGAAGCCAACACACACAAACAATTAACTAGACAAGTCATTTTCACTCATTTGTCGCTACACATTTAACAAAGACACAGAAGGCATCTGCATGTGTGTCCCCCTAGCCGTCTCCGCCAAACTTTTTCTTTTACGGATATAATTTTTTCTGTATTAAAGCGTTGACCTTCTGCTATCAAATACAGGAAATGTAGCACTGATGCTTTTTGTCTGTTTGTGCGGGGAAAAATAAACAGTGAGCTGTACCTGAAATTGATGAATAAGAAAAAATAAAAAGGCAAATATTGAACTAAATCTACAACCTACGCTAATGTTAAAAAGCTGGAAAAAAATTAGGGGTGGGTGTGATAATTTTTCTGGATAAATCATGGTCAAATACTTCATGGTCAAAAAAATGGAAGGGTGGGAATAGTCTTGTTTGGCTCCAAAAAGCTTGGCCAAAGCTTAAACCACAGCTCCAATAACATTTCGTAAATATCTGGATGAGGAGAAAGTCACTTGTGAGCATAAGAACATGCACATACAAATATAGGGATATATATACAGATATAAAACATTCAGATAGCCAAAAATACCAGCCAAAGAGAACATAAATATTTAGGAGTCAACAGCAGCCATCCCAGCCTAAAAGACATTCCTTGGCTCAGTAGCTGGGTGCATTTTTAAAGCATGCCTGGAAACACTTGGATCACAACACCCACTGTCTGAGACATTCTATAATATCAAGGTTTTCCCAGCCACTCCTTGTCTGAAACTGTAAAATTCCTGTGTGCACTCCAGAACACACACATGAAAAAATCCCAAATCAACCCTTTTCTGTGCCGTTAGAGCACACTGTCGGAACTACAAAGAGCCCATGCAAGACCAGATGCTGCAAGATATCAGGGTGGTTCTGACAGAACAAGGTTTTAATTCCTCTGAAATTCATCAGTATTTTAAAGGGTCAGCTTAAGCTCACATGCACATGTAATCACCTGTACTCATTGCAACAGATCTCCTTCTGAGGCTCGTAGACATCTTTTCCGCAGCAGTGCTGTCCTGGAGAGGCATGAAACTGTGAACGGCATATGGTACCTGCAGCCTGGTGGTGAGTATCACTTAAGTCCAAGGATTTCTCTACCTCCGCTCCGTCTGTGTGCAAGATCTCATCACAACAGAGGGCTCCGTTCTTTGCCAATCTATGCAGTGTCCTTCTGGAGTGCTTGAGCAGAGAGAGAAGAAAGTTCAATTAGGAGTTCAGCAGAGCAGACAGTCTCACACACACATTCTCAGACGCCCATCTAGGAGCATAAACATGTATGCATAAATTCAGGAAGAAATATGAAAACAAAGAGCATGAAGCTCATGCAAATCTGAGCAGAACGTGCAAAAAATGTTCATTCTTACTAGGAAATTTATATAATATCCTTTTCCAAATCCAGTAAATATTTAAGACACCTACATTAGCTGGGCTTTTGTCCTTCAGGCACAAAACATCCTCACTCACTGTATAAAAGGAGCGGGGTGGAGCCCTGAGCTCGTCTTCAACGTAGCTGCGCCGCAGAAGCGAAGTTTTTGTTTTTTTCTTTACAGTGATAAGCTAGATGAATAACTATCACTTTAATAGGTTTAAAGATTGTTTAAACTAAAAAAGAGATAGGTAGTAATTATTTTCCCAGGATTGGGCGTTTTTTTTATTTTGTTTGATTGTTTTTACAATAAAACCCACAAAAAACTGTTAGACCCCACCCAGCTGAGTAACTCAAGAAAAAAGTCTGTAGTACATACTTGATCAATTGAAGGCCTCCACCCAGATCTACAGCCACCACAGCAGACAAGTGCAAGTGGATTACTCTTATTGGAGACATTACGTTGACCTAGACAAAGGAGTGTTGATACAAGAAAGATCAGTTTATTCAAGAGTAGACTTAAAACGTTCCTCTTTGATAAAGCCTATAGTCAGGGCTGATATGAACCAGCTCTTAGTTATGCTGCTATAGGCCTAGACTGCCGGGGCTATCTGGCACACTGAGCTAGAGTCTGTCTCTATCTCCTCTTTAGATCTTTATGTCCCATATAAGTCACTGACCAGTTTTCTGTCTCTCTGAGTGTCTCTGAGTCTTTTAGCTGCCACTGGACTAATGCTGCAAACAGGTCTGCTGCGGAACTGCCTGACCCCAGCTGCATCCACCCTGGGCCCTGAGCTCCTCCAACTCTTTGGCTCTTTGGCTCCTCTGGACCGTTGCCGCAGACCCCCCCCCCCCCCCCCCCCCCCCCCCCCCCCCCCGGCCCTGAGCTCCTTCTTCTCTCTGATTCCTCTGGACTGTTGCTGTTACTGTAGACATGGACATCAGCCTCACTGTCATTGTTGACATTAATAATACAAAATAGAACTGACTACGATTAAGCCTGCTAACTGTAATCGCACTCAATTAATTCAACATTGTCCATTATCACTCATATCCTAAACCTGTAAACTGAACTTCTTTTTGTTTCACCATTACATGAGCTGTTGTTGTTGTTGCTGTTGTTCCTGCTGCCTCCTGTCTCTCTCTCACCCTCGTTCCCTACTCTCTCTCCCTCCCCCTCCCTCTCCATACTCATTCTCTCTCGCCTTTCCCCCATCTTGTTGTCTCTCTCCCTCCCCCTGTCCTCTCCCCCTCTCCCCTCTTCTCTCTACATTCCTCCCCAACCCAGCAGCGGCATGGTGGCTGTCTGGCATGAGTCTGGTCCTGCCCAAGGTTTCTGCCTGTTAAAAGGAAGTTTTTCCTTGCCACTGTAACTCATGTTAGTTGAGATGGGCCAAAACCCATCTTAGGTTGGTTCTTGATCATCAAACAATGAGCGTGGTCCAGACCTGCTCTTGTTCCTTGAAAAGCGTCTTGAGATGACGACTGTTGTGAATTGGCGCTATATAAATAAAATTTGATTGATTGATTGATTGATTGAGTTTATGCAGAGCAGGCCAAGAAACTCTGGAGTCTGAGCACGTGGAGAGAGGGTGTGGGCATGAATGATGTCTGAAGTACATGATACAGAGAGTCTGGGTGACTCAGACATATTTGCCCTTTCCTCAAGGAATTGACCATGGAGCATCTGGAACAGGACTACCGGACTGAGAAAACAGCTTCTTTCCCACAGCTGTGAGACTGCTGAACTCTGGAAATGCTCTGTAAGCTTCTCATCCAGGGAGAAGGACGCCACATGTGCAATAATGTGAACTTACCTCGATTCATTTACACCTTACTGTATTCTGTCTTGTACAAAAGCCTGTTTTCACTTCAATTACTCTTCTGGTCTGTACCCAAGTGTGTACTGTGAATCATCATTATACTTTTAATGTAAATATTAGTGTTGATTTTATTATGATTCCTTCAGGTTTTTATTTTAAGTTTTTACTATTTGATCTTATGGCTGATACCAGGTACTCAGTTCTAGTTTCATTCTTGTAGACTGGAATAACAAATAAAACTCTTTTGAATCCTTTAAAAAGATGGCCCAATATCAGACAACAAGAACTAACAGTTTAGAAAAATTTTCTCCCAAGGGAAAAAAAACCCCATCTGATTCTTACACATAAATCTTATCTTCCCAAAGGAAAATGCTGAGAAACTACTGACGTGTTTTTTTTTCCCACAGACAACACAATACAGAGAGACACACCAATATGCTGTTGGGAGAGGCCCCAACAAGTCTAATGGGATAATAGTTATCACAAGGAAGAGTTGACATCAGTATGAACTCACACACTAAAAATGTCATTTGATCTGCTTTATCAAATGATAAAGTGTTGTCAGTTTTATGACATTTTCAAACGTAATCTGATTACAGTTTTTCCAAGGCCTCTGTCCAAACAGATAGTCCCTCACAACCTTCCTTACAGTATTTTCCCACATCTTAGCCATCTTCTCTGGGATCTGGCACATACAAAATGCAATAAATTGGCTGTGCCTGAAACAATTCTGGCAGCAGTCTACAGATAGGATTTGCGTCAACCAGTGTAATCTTTTCCATTTATTCCAATAGGTTGAAAGTTGAGAGGGTTGACTTCAAACTGACTGGATTTCCTCTTTTAACTTTTACTTTCACCTCTAATTATTATGCGGATGTCTTTTGTAACATATACTTGTAAAAATCAATCCTTTCTAATCTATCTTAAAACAGACTGAGATACAGTTCTTGAAACTGTCCTCATGAGAAAAAAGATAATATCTCACTAGTTCAACTACAACAAGTTCTCTTTGTTTTTGTTTTCCTTTTCTTCGTGGTTAGTAAATGTTAGCCTGTCTATTTAAGCCACAGGATTTCTAAAACAGTGGTTTTCATTGATACAAAGGCTGATCTGTTACTGGAAAATTAATTCACTTGGATGGCCATTTTTCATTTTATGTCAAATTTTTAACGATGCAATGAAGAGAAAAAAAGAGACAATTCACTAGACATAAAAGTACCTGTGGTTGCACACCTATGAACATAAGGCATAAAGGATTTAAAGTACATGTAGATGTCAGCACTGCCATTGTCTGTCACAGTAAAAGTTCCCCCCTGTTATCTTTAGGCCACTTTACAGTCTCTAAACTTGAAAATAAACTGACTGAAACCAGGGATATGAAGACATCTGAAACTTTTGTACATAAATCAAGGAAGACATTCAGACCTACCTTCTTCCTCTGGGCAGCAGACGGAGGTAATGGGTTGTGCCTTGAGAGCACCATCCACCTCACAACAGCACTGAGCCAAAGTGTCAAATTGGCCATGTCCACAACACTCGTGATGTTTAGAGGATCTTTTCAGGATTGTTTTATTTTGATGAGGGCCACAACAAAGCTCATTGTCTGGATCATATGCCACTGTGGAGAAGATCAAGAGGAGCTTTAACACTGTATCACTTTGACATCATCCACAACTACCAGCTGCAGAACATCACAAGGCATTATATGCAACTAAACTATAAAACTATGGAAGTGGTGGTTACAAAGCCAGGTTGATGAATGAATGTGCACGTGCCATCCAGTCAGGATCCAGAAATGAGCTTAAGATGATTGTACATGCCTTCATTTCATCTCGTCTGGATAACTGTGATTCTTTGTTCACAAATACCACTTCTTTGAACCGCCTGCAAGTGGTTCAAAATGCTGCAGCTAAGCTCCTGACAAGATTTTCCAAATGGTCTCGTCACATCTATCCTCTAGTCTTTACAATGGCTCCCCATTCAATTTAGAATCCAATTACTTGTTATTGTGTACAAAGCTTTGCATGGACAAGCCTCGGCTTATATCAGAGACCTGCTGAAGCTATATAACTCCACCAGCACTCTAAGATCCTCTGACCAGGGTTTGCTGGTTGTCCCTTGGACCAGACTCTGAACTAAAAGAGAGTGGGCATTTGAGTCATTTGCTCTGAAACTTTGGATCTCTCTCCCTTGTGAACTAAGAACTGTGGACACTGTGGATACTTTCAAAACATGGTTGAAAACCCATTTTATTAGTCTGCTAAAATGCTTTTTGTTGATGTTTATGTCTTGTCATCTTATCTTTTGAAAATTGATGACTGTAAAGCACTTTACGATAACTGTTCTTGAAAGGTACTTCATAAATAAAGTTTATAATTATTTATTTGAATTCGTGGATGGAAAATTTTTGCTCTCTCACTCAGAAGTGTACGTGTGATGTGAGGGGCTGATATCAGACGAGGAGACATCACTTGCAAAATATTTTTGAAATCTGTCCAGAGGGTTTGTGTACTTGTGGTAAAACAGCCAGGGTTCCCCCCATAAATGACTCACCAGGATTGGGAGTGCCTCTTTGACTTAAATAAACATCATACGTGTGAAACTCAGTTGGAGTAACCCCTTAACTAACAGCCCTGCCTGATGCAATAGCTGATCAACATAGCAATTCAGCACTTAGAGTAGGTTCATGTATGTCAGAATAAGAGCTTTCATCATTGGCTGAGGTGAGGGGAGGACATATATTTTTTTAAGGCTCATGTTTAAGCTGAATGAACTCTCTGGCACTTATTCAAAGTTCTCAGTGTGTCTTTTTTTTAATATGCTGCTTGCTGTACATGTCAAAAATGAGCATAGCTGAATTTCATGAAGTGAGTGACCAATAGGGGCATTTACAGATTATTACGTGTTTCACTAAATGATCATGTGTAACATATTTTCACGTGTAAGGCAGCTACTTCTGCCATCTAGATAGCATTAACAGTGTCATCTTTATCCACCAGTCTGTTGTTTTACTTTTCATGCTGCTGAAAATGAGCAAATGTCTGGCACAATGCTGAGGTTCTCTGTTAGCTGTAAATGCAGCCTCTGTTTGTTTTGTCTACATTGCACTAAAACAGAAACCAGTTGACAACAACTACTTAAATGTAAGATAACAGCTCACAACAGCACCACTGAGACACACAAAACCACACAATGTTATACCTTGGATACGGTCCAAACGTGACGAACTAGGTAGACTTGTGTGCAGTACAGTGCTGCAGACGTGCAAAGATGAGAACAAAGAAACAGCTGTTAGTTTAATCTGATTGGACATGAGGCGTCTCATATGTGCTGGTATAGAAGATAATGTGACTTGAACTTTTTAAAATGTATCACTCTGTCTACAGCGGTCTAAAAACAGTAACTAATCAAAGGCATCAGCCAAAGATCTTTATCAGAACTGATCACCATCTTAGCTGTCATTCATCAGACTTTCAGATGTTTTACTGAAAGCATGATGGATGGAAACATGGATAAATGATAAATGTAGTGGGGAAACATACTGAGCTACTGGAAATGAAGACTTGATCTTGGTATGAAACAAATCACTTTTGGTTGACTTACCAGTTGAGTTGAGGTGCAGGGTTCTAAAATATGACACAGAAAAAAAAACACTTTAAAAAGTACATGCTCTATTTTTGTCACTGTTTTTCTGTCACTCTAAAATTATTTATGACGATGATCTAGATTTGTAAAAGTAGAGTTTTGTTGAGCTCTCAGAGTGGTTTGTATGCCAGGGTTGGTACATGGTAAATGCAGTTTCAAAAAAAGAGAGGAATTCATCACTTAAGAGACATAAAAGTATGTTTCTTACCTGTGGTTGCACACCTATGAACATAAGGCATAAAGGATTTAAAGTACATGTGGATGTCAGCACTGCCATTGTCTGTCACAGTAAAAGTTCCCCCCTGTTATCTTTAGGCCACTTTACAGTCTCTAAACTTGAAAATAAACTGACTGGAACCAGGGATATGAAGACGTCTGAAACTTTGGTACATAATTCAAGGAAGACATTCAGACCTACCTTCTTCCTCTGGGCAGCAGACGGAGGTAATGGGTTGTGCCCTCAAAGCACCATCCACCTCACAACAGCACTGAGTCAAAGTGTCAAACTGGCCATGTCCACAACACTCGTGATGTTTAGAGGATCTTTTCAGGATTGTTTTATTTTGATGAGGGCCACAACAAAGCTCATTGTGTGGATCGTATGCCACTGTGGAGAAGATCAAGAGGAGCTTTTACATCGTATCACTTTGACATCCTCCACAACTACCAGCTGCAGAACATCACAAGATGTTATATGCAACTAAACCATAAAACTATGGAAGTGGTGGTTACAAAGCCAGGTTGATGAATGAATGTGCACCTGCCATCCAGTCAGGATCCAGTATGTAGGTTGAAATGGCATAAACTACTGACACAATAACTGAAAAAGAAACTAACTGGTTCTTAGGGAAAGGAGTGGATTCTTTCAAAACACTTCACAGGCCTACTCACTTCTATCACAACACTCAGCATTTGCTGTAGTCTTGACAATGACGCTTGACATGCAGCATATCTCATTTAGAGGGTTAAAAGCCTTCAGGCCACAGCAAGATGACACACTTTGGCTCAGACCCACTGATACATTTGCTGCAAAGACAGAGAGAAGATGTCAAGATACAGAGCTGTGCAGAAACAGACAAACGTTGTGAATACTACATCCAGACATGGAAATTCCAAGTTCAGAGAAAGGATTTCAGTTTTGGGGAGCTTTAGTCTGGAGCAGCATGTAAATGGACTGGTTTGCTCATCTTTTCATCATTTGAGAAATACATCCAAACTCAGCCCCATAGTGTCCAGAAATGAGCTTGAGATGATTGTACATGCCTTTAGAGACCTGCTGAAGCCATATAACACCACCAGGACTCTAAGATCCTCTGACCAGGGTTTGCTGGTTGTCCCTCGGACCAGACTCTGAACTAAAGAAGACTAGGCATTTGAGTCATTTGCTCCAAAACTTTGATACTGTCTCCATGTGAACTAAGAACTGTGGACACTGTGGATACTTTCCAAAAGCGGTTGAAAACCCATTTGTTTAGACTTGCCTTTTCATGACCAGGATTTTGGCTGCTAAAATGCTATTTGTTGATGTTTATGTTTTGTCATCTTATCTTTCGTAATTGATGACTGTTTAACACTTTATAACTGCTCTTGAAAGATGCAGTCTAAATAAAGTTTATTATTATTTGTTATTTGAATTAGTGGACAGAATTTTTTTTAACCCAGAAGCGTACGTGTGATGTGAGGGGCTGATATCAGACGAGGAGACATCACTTGCAAAAATGTTGGACATCTGTCCAGAGGAGTCTTCCCAAAAAATGACTCACCAAGACTGGGAGTGCCCACTTAGATGCAACTTTCAGCTCTGCCTGATGCAATAGCTGATCAACATAACAGTTCAGCACTTAAAGTAGGTTCATGTATGTCAGAGTAAGGGCTTTCATCATTGGCTGAGGTGAGGGGAGGACATATATTTTTTATGGCTCATGTTTAAGCTGAATGAACTCTCTGGCACTTATTCAAAGATCTTAGTGTGTCTATTTTTAACATGATGCTTGCTGCACATGTCAAAAATGAGCATAGCTGAATTTCATGAAGTGAGTGACCAATAAGGGCATTTACAGACTATTACATGTTTTACTATGTGTTCATGTGTAAAATATTTTCATACGTTTAGGTCTCCTGATTTTACGGGTTAAGTTTTTCGTTTTCAAGGTTTTAATGCTGTTTTTTTTCTTTATTTTTTTGCTAGCTCCTCAGACCCGCAAATGTATGTGGTTGAAAACAAGGTGTAGGAGCCAAAATATATTAATCGAAATTTTTATTTTTGTAGGCACGTCACTTCCGGGATTGTCACTGAGGGGTGTGGTTTTGGGATGTTTGGCGGGTTATTTAAAACTCACAGGTGCAGTCAGACAATGGGTTTGGTAAGCACTGGTAATTTTCTGTTGACCGTTTTTTGAGCGTTTTGATCATTTTTGACCGTTTCTCATTGTTTTTCACCGATTCATTCATCCATCCTGTTTTAACCTCATGTTACCTTTTCAGTTGAAGGCAAAAGTATTGGACCTGGAGCAGCGTGTTTTCTTTCCCTGTTTTTTGAACAATAAATCATTTTTTCTAACACTTGAATTGGACTGATCATTCAAGTGAGTCACAGATGCATGCGAACCTAAACCCCAGCGGCTTTTTTTGTCGAAGGAAAGCAGTTGCTACACAAGGTGTTGCAGTTACCTGATACTCTGTGCCCCTGCTTTTCTGTACAACAGGTTGCTTCTGCTGGGTTGAAGGACTTCTCCCCACAACAAGAAAGCCCTGTCCCAGAATAGAGACAGTTCTCACAGCACACAGCCACGCGACTGTCAAACTGTAACGCGGTACAGTTTATCCTGCAATCAAGGAAAACATGGACCACGTTACTGCAATTCACAGTCAGTTTTACTACAAGGACACCACAGAGAATAAGTGAATGTTTAAGTTAAATACTTAGTCTCCTATGATGTGGAAATATGTTCATCTTATTCCTTTGCAATACTGCCCTCTACTGCAGTTTTCTGGAAACACACGTCATTGCTCCCATTAAATAGAGGGAAAAGAGGATGCTACTATTCTTGCAGGTATTGTACGCTTCTCTCAGAGGCTTTAAACGTCAAAAAAAGGACTGAAAAATAGAAAAACTTTCCTTATCAGTCATTTAATCTTTTTTTATCTTTTATAAGTAAAGTGTGAAAAACGGAGATGTCCAGCGATAAGATTCTAGAGAGTAACGCTTCCTTGTCAACCTCTCCTGCTGTTGCTGCAGCAACCATTGAGAACTAAAAGCGATTTACATGGCAAAGATGGCGTCATCCACAACAGACCAAGTAGTTCAGCTGTTTCAAGGGATGTAGTGGTGATTTTTGTTATTTTATCTAAATAACTGGAGTTCATAGCTCAGATCTAAGATATTGATTCTGTGCTTCTCGTTGTTTTAGTAACATGAGCTGACATTCGTAAAGTAAAGCTAAACAAAGCTAATGTTTCTAATGTACAATGGAGTGTTAGGGCCAAAATAAGTTTTTAAGTCGTTAAGGCAAGACACTATGAGAATTACAACTTTATGTTATGAGACTAAAGACATGACAAAGTTATAGTTTTGGCTCTCGGTGAGTCTGTACCAAAATAAGGACCATGGAGCCTCTTGTTTAAGTGTACCTAATGTTTTGGCACTTCAGCATCACAGTATCATCTGGACTCTGACAAAAGGCTTAATTTTTCTGTAAACTAAAGGAACTTTGAGGGAATAAACACTCTCTTAATCGTTCAGCAGAAAACTGACAACTTCAGCATCAGTCTTCAAACATGTATTTGTATTTGTCCTCTCCATCAACAACTCCACTCTGCTCCCCTCCCCACACATCCAGAACCTTGGCGTCATCTGCGATAAGAACCTCTCCTTCGTACAACATATCAACCACATCACAAGAACTGCCTATTTCCACCTCAGAAACATTGCCCGCCTCTGCCCATCACTCTCCCCCCTGGCTGCAGAAACCCTCATCCACGCATTCATCACTTCAAGACTGGACTACTGTAACAGCATCCTTTATGGCTCATCTTTCAAACTCATCCAAAAAACTCCAGACCACTCAAAACTCTGCCGCCTGCCTGCTCACCCACACCCGCTCTAGAGACCACATCACCCCTGTTCTCCAAAATCTCCACTGGCTTCTTCTCAGTACTCTGCTCCCCTGCTCCAGCGCCACAACCCCGCCGCCCGCAACCTCTGCTCCTCTGACGTCAACCTCCTGTCCCCACCCCTCCAAACGACTCATCGAACCTGGGGGGGCAGAGCCTTTCCATTGCCACAACCTCCCTCTGGAACTCTCTCCCCGTCCATATCAGATCCTGCACTGACTTGCCCTCCTTCAAATCCCTTCTGAAAACCCACTTTTATTATTATTATTATTAAATCATACACAGAAAACAGCTGGGTATGTGTGTCAGAACATGTGATCACTGTAGAAGCCCTGTGAGGACATACATCCCTCCAATTTTTACTCTGTTTTTCCATCATAATGAGTTGATTTCAGTTAAGAAACCTAATACTAGATGATCTCATATCCTCATAGTTGTAGAAGAACTAAACTGATTTATGCCTCTTATGGGCTACCAGCTGGGATATTTACACCTCCGCTACTCCCCATCTGCAGTGTGTGACGCACAGAGGCAGAGTGTCATTTTGCTTCCGACATAGTAAGACATAAACAGTGGCGATGTGAAGTGTCAGTGCAGGCAGGGTGGAACAGCGTTGTCTATGTGAGTGTGTGTGCTGTCTTAAGTTGCAGTGTGTTGCCCTTTACCCCACAACATAGTGTGGTCAGTGGGAGAATATCATGAGATGGTTTGGACTATCAGAGTGACCAGCTTTTAAAATTATTCTGTAACTTGTTATAATAAGAAAACAAACGTTGGTATCTGGAGATAATGAGATAAATCAGTATATTTCAAAATACACAGGGGAACACCTGCCTCTTACAGTGGTTTTCTGAAGAACTGGATCCCGTGCCTGTTAACAAACACAGTTTAGAGTTAGGAGTCACTTAAATTCCTAAATTATTAACCTCACTGGCATACAAAAGCTAGGATGACAACACCCTAATATAGTGATTCACAAGGGGAAATGGGTGGGTGAGTGGTTTATAAACAAATCAGACACGCACAGGAACAAAAAAAAAAAACACCCACAGAAGCTCTTAAAATAAACAGACAGTAAGTCTGGGGTAATAAACTAAAAATAGGTCAAGAAGGATGCTTACACTGCTCTGTAGTTTACAGTATGAGACCACACAAATTGAAACGGCACGTTGAACCGTGGTCGAACCGATAAACTACTTGACTTAGTTCACACTTGATGAAATGTCATCAGTGAAACATAAAACTCTCACTGCCTCATACAGAACTGAAAAGCATCACACTGATTGTACATTACATAACATGTAAATATTACATGTTTGATCTTGGATATCATAAAATGGAATCAATATGTATTTCAGTCTGTTTAATAAATGCCAAAAAATAAATTCTTAAAGTATAAAATTGCTCGCAGAGGCAGCAGTTCAATGCAAATGCGATATAATTCATCTGATTTAAAGTAGTGTCCAATACAATCTTTTTGATCCTGGTGTATTTTTGAAAAAGTAGAGTGCCAAATGCCATAAAGTTGTTGTTAAACAGGGTGTAAGGCTCACACAAGTCTGAGTACGGCCCAGCATAGGTGACTAAAAATAAAAAACAAGTGCTTTAAATCATCAATATCACCTGTACAGAATGACACAACAAACCACTGACCCTGCCTCATGAGCTTTGACAAAGAGAGAAAAGTTCCACTTACCACACACAATGGTGATGCCACAGGTCAACCAAACTGCAAAATCAATTAGGCAAGTTAAAACCCTATCACTGTCAAAAATGAAAAATAATGTGGAGCAAAATCAGTAAAGTATCAGTATGTCATCCTACCCCAAAAATAACTCATCTCAAAGCCAGCTGTTTGGAGCATGTGTCAAGAGTGGAGTTGGGAATGAGGCATGCAGATTAAAGATGCAACGATAACTGGTAGCTATAAATACTAACAATTAGCCCCTCCTCTTTGATATCACCTATGACACTCAACCTGAAGTCAAGGTTGCGAAATGCGGATTCGCCACACTTTATAAAAGAGGAAAAACTGGGGTTGCAGAATTAATATCGCGTGTGGACGTGTTTGGCTTCGCACAGAATAAATTGAAGAGAATTAAAATTACAGGCACTTACTTGGTGAGGAGTGGGATTAGCTGGTCAAAGACAGCAGCTCATTCCAGCTGCTAGATATATAGATAACCAATTTCCCTTAATTCCCAAAATTTGAGTCATCTTTCCATCACGTGAAGTTTTTTTTTTTTTTCTGGGATGTCCAGCTAAAACTCTCCAACCGTGGCGCACCCACTGTTACGTGCAGTACGTGCAGTTGGACTATCTGATTGACTATAAATGCCATCGCAAAATTTCACACCCTAATCATTTATATAGGTGCAATGGTGGGATGTTGAGGTGAGACAAATGAATGGTTGACCAACGGAGTCACATTTTAATAAGATAAGGCCTGCTTTCTCACAAAAGTATCCCACTAAAGTATCCTAAAATGTTCACCCTTTAACCTCATCACAGGTAATTTCTGCGTCCTCGTCACGTAATTAGCCCTCCCTTTTTCAGTACTGTTTAAATAAAGATGACAATGAAACCCTCATTCAGTGCCATTACGAGATTTCTGCGTTTCGTGACTCCGTTTTTCCCCCTGCACTTTGAGCAAAAGTTAATAGATGACCAGAACACTGGGTCGTAGATTCTGTATGTTGTTAGACGGATTTTAGACGTTGCACTTTAACCCATTATTCGACAACTATTTAATTCAAAAAGCAACCGTGAGTTGCACAACTGATCTCCAAGTACTTAAAGTAATTATGACAGCTGGTTAACAATATACACTGTGGTATAGATATAGCTCAGATTTAGATGTCTAAAAAAACTATCATTTGTAGACCTGTGGTAGCCCGATTTTAGACCAGTCCTCTCTAGTGTCCATTTCGACGTCTATCTCTTTTAGACCAAAAAATGCTTAGTGGGAAGGGGAATGACATCTCAATTTTAATTAAAACCTTACAGAAAAAAAGAGAGGAAGATTTAATAAGGCCTACCTACTCTTTGTACATATGAGTATTCTTCTTTATGCCAGATAAGTAACGTTGAAGATGAGAGGATTCAACGATTAATCCGTTTCGGTGAAAAAAGAAACGTGCGCGTGCGTGTGCGTGTGCGTGTGCGTGTGCGTGTGTGTGTGTGTGTGTGTGTGTGTGTGTGTGTGTGTGTGTGTGTGTGTGTGTGTGTGTGGAGGAACTCAGCACTCGGAGTTTCTGCCCTTTGCTGCTGCTTGGGAAAGATTTGTGACAGAGCAGTTTCACACGTGCAACCACTGAGCACCAGCCGGCCGACGTCAGCAAGAAATTCAGACCGCTCCCAATGAGATTGAGAGTTGGGTCCCAACCTCCAGATGTTTTCCATACACACACACACACACACATTCCCCCCTTTCTCTTGGGACATCACAGGAAGAGAAGCCTATTTCGTTTTGAAAGCATTTTTTTACAAGTCAGAGGAAGTGTCAGGCATAAAGGGGAGACCAGGGCTTGTCGTGACACTTTTTACACTCTTATATATTACTTCGAATCATCAGAATAAGAAGAATATCAGAATATATCAGAATAGCCTTTACTGTCATTGTACATAGTACAGCAAAATTTGAGCGCCACTCCCATTGGTGGATAGCAAAAGTAATAAATACTAAAATGAAAGCCATTTACAACACAAAGATAAGGTAAGAATGAGAAGAAAGAAAAGTAAAAAGGCAGTAATACATACATATATATATATATATATATATATATATATATATATATATATATACTGGAAGATGCCTGTGTAGCGTTAGCTTCAGTTCAACTTCATATCAACTCGGGCGCTACATGGCCTAACCAAATGACACATTTAATATCACACAAAGCAAAATTAAACAACAACCTTTCCACTAACTTCTTTGCTTGTCTTCTCGCCGTCATCTTCTGTGCCTAGATCATAAAACACCGGTGCATCATCATAATGGGTCCCTGGCAGCTCACATCCGTTGTGGCTCTTTTATTTGCATCCTTTTATTTTCGCAGTAAGTAACTTTTTTTTTTCCATCGCCACTTTTCTCTTTTTGCTTTGTAACCTTCCGTTGCGACTTCTTTTTTTTCTGCATTCTTTTTTTATTTGCAGCTTTGGCAGTTCTCAGCCACCGCAGTTTACAAACAGATTGCACATTGTCAGAGTGTAATTATTAACTCATTAGATTTACATAAAAATTACATTTTAATTGGGGATGGGGATTGATAAGATTTTAAATATATTTAGTCCACTAATATTGATGTTAAAGTCCTCACATGTTTTATACGCGCTCTGATTATCTGTGCATCCAATACAGCACTGTTTTATCTGAGGCTGCCCTGAACGCATCACTCCGAAACGGTGCAGGACCATCATCGTAAGTATCATATCTCGCGTTTGTTTTCCTTTCATTGAAGTGTTCATTTTGCAACAAACGCTGCCTAAATATAGTTTACAGTTCAAACCGACCTGAATCATCACAGTTGTTAAGTAAAAGTATCAATCCAGTGTCTGTGAGGCTCAGCAGAAACACAGGACAATCTTCGGTTGCCAGGAAACTTTAACAAATATAGCAATCCAAATATAGCATGTTGTTGTTGGTGTTTCCACCTTTACATGTTATCACTGCTCAACAAACATTGCATTGTTGTCCTCCTTATAAGAAACATTAAGATACACATTAGCTCGTTTCTGCCTACTCTTTGTATCGTCCGCCATGCTATTTTCTCGGTCTCTGTTCCCGTTCGCGTAGACTGGCTCTCGCGAGACCATTGTTCAAGGCACCCGGAAGACAGGAATCATTAAAGGAATCGTTAAGGGAATCCTTTGGATAAAATGTAAATGATGTAGATGGATTAAACCATTTGGAACCGGTTCTCAACATGAACTGGTTCTCATTCCCATCCCTAATTTTAACTATTTTCACGCGAACATAACAGTTGTGAAGATATTTAGTAACATGTACTTAATTACAGCCAAGTTTGAAAGTTATATTTATTTAAACAAATTAAGTGAAGTCTACTTGAGGTTCATAGGCAGGAACAAGTGCATTTTATATCTCTGTAGTATTTGCTGTTGTGAAATAATTAAGTAGATATTATTTCTTTTCTTGTGCTTGACATTTTAATTTACTTGGTTGATCAGATTTCATGAAGTGCTTTATTGGTGACCCTCAAAGTGCTTTACATTGGCTTTACATTCATTCGCTCACACAGTCACAACCTGGTGGTGGTAAACTACCTTAGTAGTCACAGCTGCCCTGGGGCAGACTGAAGGAAATGTGGCTGCAGTTCGCATCTACAACCTCTCCGAACGCCACCACACAACACTCACAATCACACACTAGTAGAGGACACACACTGGGAGCAAGGTGGGTTAAGGGGTTGAACCGCCAACCCTCCAGTTATTGGACAACCACTCCACCTCCTAAGCTACTGCCGCCCCGACCTTGCTCTGTGAACCTGCAATATCCGGACTCGGAGCAGAGCCAGTCCTGCTGTTTCAAAATGCTACACTTTCAGAGTAAAGTTTATGTAGTATTTGTAGGTTTATGTACATACAACTATTCAACATTTAAATACTGTAAGGAAACCTAAGTAAAACCTACTCTTCCCCCATGATTGATGTATTACGTTAAAAAATGTTTGATTTTTACATAAGAAATTCTAGTTCTTACTGACTCTAAAAAAATACAGGGTAGAAATTGTAACAGTTACTCTAATAGAGTCTACTACACTAAAAAGTCACTTTTTTCCGTGTGATATCAGAGGGAGGGACTATAAAGTTTGCTGACTACAGGCCAGAATAATTTCCTTTGACTCTGAGGGTGGTGACTGCTATCCAGACAGTCCGGCTCTACTCCCACAATGTTACTGGAATCGCAGATGAGTTTTTTTTATTCTGTTGGCATCTGCTACCCTCAGCCTGCTGCCTCAGCACACAACAGCAGACAGGATCGCACAGACTGATAGAACCTTCCCAGCGTCGTCCTGCAGATGTTGAAAGACCTCAGCCTCCTGAGGACGTAGAGGCAGCTGAGGCCCTTCTATTAGAGAGCTTCATTGTTCTTAGACTAGTCCAGTTTTTTATTCAAGCACACCCCCAGATACTTGTAGTCAGGGCTGGGCGACATGGGAAAAAGTTAATCATGATATATTTTTTTATATCAGTCCATATCGATATATATCATGATATAAAAAATTATATTTAACAGTACTAATTGGTAGCATGCCTTTTTCAATACAATAAGCTACAGCATCTGTGAGGTCTTTGTGTCTCTTCCATGTTTTATTATAAGGCGTTGTGCTAGAAAAAGCAGACTGAATGTCCTCCTACAGCTATGCAATCTTCATACGCCAATAGGCTGTATTAAGTGCCAATCATAGAAAACATGAACCCCCCGATAACTTTTCAAAATTGAGCTGCACAGAAAGTGACAAGATCTGATTCCACTGCCTTTTGATTGTAGTTGCTGGATGAATTATTTTGGTAGACCAGTGAATAGACTATTTCTGTTATCTAGTCTGTTTTGATATAAAGGCAATAACTGATTCTTCTGTGCCTGATTGTAAAAGAAAGCCCCTGAGTTTTTGGGATATTTTTGGACTGTAAAATGATGGAGGTGTGATTGGATTGATATAACCTTTGAAGGTTAGATTGCTGTCTGTGACAACACCTACATGTTGTGCTTGATTTGAACAGGCTAAGTAAAGAGAACTGAGATAAGTGTAATTTTGCGTCCATGAATCTTTGGACCAAAATGGAAATTTCTGTTTTGTCTCTGTTCAGTAGTAAAAGTTACCTCTCATCTGCACATTAATATCACTGATGCACTGAATGGGGGAATGAACTGGGCTTTAATCATCAGGTGATAGTTGTATGTATTTGTAAATCTTCATAATTATGGTAACTTATTGTTACATGTGAAATTGGGAGCATGTACAGATCAAACAGTAGTGTTTCAATGATCGAGCCTTGAGGAAAATCACACATGGCATTCACTTTACTTGAGACATGGTCTCTGATGGACACAAAGTTCTGTCTGGGTATGACCTGAACTAGCTTAAAACCGGCCCAGACAAGCTCATCTATTTTCTAGTCTCTGCAGTAGTATGTTATGATCCACAGTGTCTCAGGCAGCATTTAGAAGCCGGAGAACCAAAATTTTTTTTTTTTCAGCGATCATTTTACGCTTTAATAGACGTTTCTGCACTATGATGAGAGTGAAAACCTGACTCATACATGTGTAATTGGTTGTTTGTCACGGCAAGTGGGTGTTTTTTCAAGTATTTGAGGGATTTGATATGATCATGTTCACGTTACCCCAATTTTGTCCATATTATTTGATGTCTTGTGTTTCCTGTTAGTTTTACTTTGTTATCACTAACCCTCGTCTCTGTCTTTTAGATATGTTCCTTCTTGTCTGGTCTGCTCTCCCCTGTCTTGTCACACCTGCCTCCTGATTGGTCATCCCCACCTGTTTCCCATCACCCTTATTACCTCTTGTATTATGTCTCTCACTGTCTCGTTGCCAGTTTGTTGATCCTCATTGTCAGGTACCAGCATTCTTGTTTTTTCATAACCTGCCTGTTATTGACTTTGATTTAGATACCTCTGCCCGTTTGTAGCTTTTTCATGTACCGTACTTAGACTGTGAATAAACCCTGTCTTTTTTGCCACACAGAATCAGTCCCCTGGTCCGGCATTTAAGTCATTTTTGTTTAGCCTGTTCTTGACAGAATTGTTTTGTGGAAATAGGGTTATAGTTGATGATAATTGTTGGATTAAAGTTGCCCTTCTTGATAAGTGATTTAATAAGAGCAGTTCTGAGCGAACCGTTCAGACAGAGAAACAGATAGCAATCAACAGAGGGTGCGGTGCTGTGAAATTATTTGCATGCAGTTACTTAACACACAGAAGTGGAGCTTGGCTGTTGATTGTTTTTATGTGAAATTTCTGATTCATCTGATAAAGGCCAAACATCTGGAGCAATGACTGTGCTGAACAAGTAGGGAGGCTTAAGTGAAAGCACCACACTTATAGTCCAGATGGATGTACTCTGTGTCACAAACCTAAAAATACAGCCTGGAAAAACCCGCCCTTTAAGTTCTGGTCATCACTTGTTACTTTGCTTATTCTGTCATAGATGGTAAAATTTGTTGAAGTGGGTAGAAACAAATTTCTGGAATACCACTGGAATATTTACTGAAAAGTAATAGTTATCTTATTTCTTTGAGTTGTTGCCGGCTTGTTTGGCTCCTGCCATTTGGTTAAGAGCCTGGAAGTAAAGTGTTATTGTGTTGTGAAGTACCCTGTTGTTCTCAATAAATGGGTGGGAATGGGATATTCATCGAATGGCGTTGACTAAGCTGACTCAACACATAAAATTGTACCATTTTGTTGCTAAGTAGTAATATGGAAGTGTGAAAAGTTAGATTGTCTCTTGAACACCCTGATTTGTTCCTTTTCATGTGCAGTTGTTTAAATTTCTGTCACAGTTACACTTAGAGTCTGGACACAGATCTCTTTGGTTAAAACCATTTTAAAGCATTGCACACTTCACTCTTCCTGTTTGCTTTTTGTCATTACAATAGTATCGTAACATGCAAGTGTAATCTGGCTGACCCAGAACCCCAGCATTCAGTCTACTTTTATCATGTGTGGTGGTTTGTTAAATGAATGTGTAGAACCTGTAAAATTATTTTATCATTCACGTTCAGTCATCTGTCTTTACTGTTGTAGTAAATGATGTACTGCGTTTTACATACAGTAGTGTGTTACCACACTCACCAGTGGGTGGCGTAGGAGTCTCTTTTGCTGAATTCATGAAAGTAGCTGGTGACCTCATGAAAGTAGCTGTTGTTGGAGCAGTTTGTCGGAAAAGCTCTTGATGATTTGGCTCATCTGTATATGAGAGACATGCTAACCAGTTACATGCCAGCAAGAACTCTTCATCAATTAGAAAATAAAAGTGCAAAGCAGCGAGCGCTACCAGGCCTACCCATGTATAATGGTGAAGACTGCTGCTTCTCATAGAAGATTTCAGCTGTGCTGGTCACTTGTGTGTCTATTTGCATTGAAGACAGCAACTCACAGATGTTTTTGCAAGTCTGCAACTTAAAAATTGCAAAATTCATACTTCTAAAATGAACAATAGTTAACCTTTGTGTGGACTCAGATTCCAGAAGTACCTGAAGATAGAAAACCTATTGTCCTGAAATCTCTCTAGCACAAGCCCCTGTCTGCCTCACTGCTTTCTACTGTCCTGTTTTCACAGACCATTGTCTTATCGCAGGTATGACTCAGAGCAGTGTTCCCCAGGTGTCTTGATAACATCTGAACAAGCGTCTTCTTTGCTGAAACCTCAGCTATGAATTAAATTATCTAAGGTTCTGATAGCACAGTTCTGCAACAGTTCTTTCATTTCTAGAGCGGTTCATCCAGAGTGCACTGCGTTCAGTTATGGGCCACCTGTCTGTTATGCAATTTAGTGTTTGTTTGGTAAATTCCTGTGGGATTATATAAATGTAATCTTGTAACTAAAACTTGTAAAAGTTCTGTTTCATACTAGCCGGTTACAATTTGTGTCTCTGTGAATGGCTCATCCATGTGGTCCTGATGTGAGATGTGATTTTACATTAAATGCTTGTGGGGGTCACACTTGGCACAAACAGAACAAAAATGCATGACTCAGACAGGAGCAAATAATTCAAAAAGTTTAACTTCAGGTTGAGTCAAAAAAAAAAAAAAAAAAATCAAACAAAGGTACAAGGTCAGTGGGCAGAAGCTGGTCCAAAACTGAAGAATCATCAGAATCAGAATACTTGACTTATCCTGGGGGAGAAAATTGGTCATTACAGCGTTGCACTTTCTCTTGAAAAAACAAAATGGAGAAAAGAAATAGGAATAAATAACAATAAATAAGAAATTGCAGCAGTTAGTAAAAAGTGCTGAATTAGGATAGCAATTCACAAAGTGTGGAGTGTTTAAGAAATAAGCTATGTGCAAGCATAGAGAGTAAAAAGTGCAAAAAAACAGTTTGCAACATTGCACTGTAGGATATTGCACGGACTGTATTGTTGTTTAACAGATTGTTACACAGTTAACTGAGTATTGAACAGTGTAGTTTCAGAAACAATAGTATTGCAGATAAAGGTCATACATGAAGAATACTAACAGTAGAAAAGGGTGAAACTCACACCGATAAAAGACAAACTGGCACAAATTAAAGTAGAACATAGAGGCTGTATTGAAACTGGCTGCTATTCTCGTGTGTATTTGCCCAAAATATAGTTTGCAGTATGCGAACAAATGCAGGAGTTGCAATATGCCAAAAATTCCTGTATGACATACTAATTCAGAAAAATTTTACAACATGCATCAGACAAGTCTCCTTCATGTACTGTTACCCACAATGCAAAGTGCCTGATCAGAGTTTGCATTAGCAGAACCCTTTTTATGGGCGATATCGGGCTATAAAAATCCCCAAAATTCAAATCAAACACCAGTCAATTTTTTTCTGTATATGGATGGACAACACTGTAGCATTGTTTTCAGTTGACCAGGGTATGACATACTTTAGTAAACTGGACGCCAGTGAAACCAGGCCAAGCATACTACACAATAATGGCCGACTGGCAGTCATACTGTATACTACTGTCCAACGCAGTATGTACTGTGCACTGCATTCAACAGGAATATGGAGTAGGTGGTTTTAAATACAGCCAGAGACTAAATAAGGTAAATGAAGACAGTGAGACATATGTGAAACACATTAGGGAGGGGCAGGTAATCACAGATTAGGAACACAGGAGGGCAGGAAATGAAGGATCTGAAACAAGACACAGGCTGGGTAACAATAGGTGAAACAAACTGGTCCGATGCATACTGTGAAATTTTCCCGAATTAGTACGTCATTCGGGTATTTGCATACTGTAAATTTGGCATTTTTTTTTTACCATACTGCATACTAAATTTTGGGTAAATCAGTACGTACTGCTAGAAAAGTAGGCGAATTCAAAAACGGCCACAGATGAATATCAACACAAAACAGTAAACTCAAGACATGCTACATCAAGATAACAAAAGGTAACTTAATTGTGGGGATGTGACCCTGCAGAGATGGATTGATGGATTTTTTTGAGAAAAAGGGGAAAAAAAATCAGTTTTAAAAATGTCGTGGATACAGCCTAAAGGCAGCCATAATCTCAGGCTGGTGTAATAGTCAGGTCTGCCATCACAGCCAAGGTCAAATCCACATTGGATAGCTGAGATTGTCCATCTTTGGTTTTCTGATAAAAACAAATCATCACCAAGTTGATACAGGATGTGAATAACTCAAAAAAATGCCCCCCCCCCGAGGAGCAACAATGTTTGAACTTCCCACAGGGCATCATCAAATCCAAGCTATTTTGACTTTCTTTAGAACAGAACCATTTGGTCCAGTTATCATCAGATAAGGTCACAAGGAGTCCAAAAGACATTGGCGCCTATTTGCATGCCTCTTCTTGAGCAGTTCCTATTAAATGCTTGACGACAGATAAACAAATTTCAAAGCCTTACAAGCACAGTTTACAGAATACTTAGGAGCAAAAACTTCACAGGAGATGACGAGTTCAAACAACCTGATGACAAAACACTTTTAAACCTCTTTGGTCTATCGTGCAGGTCTAATGTGGGGGTGATAAAGTCACACCATCCATACATGTTGATTTATGAGGACTTGACGCCCAACCCTTTCATCTCTGAACTTTGAGGTTGCTTTACCAGCTCCAGAAAAGTTTGTGGAGGAAGACGTCTTTATGTTAAACAATAATGTGCAGAACTCTAAAGGTTAAATCAAACAAAAGACAAAGCATGAAAGTCCAACAATTTTTTTTTCTGAAATAGAAAATGTCCAGCTGAAAAAATACAAATCCAAAAAACTCCAAAATCAAAAAGAAACACTAGAAACAAGGAAGAACAGGGGAGCACTGGAAATACACAAGATGTCCAATCATTGACAATGAACAATGAAACAACAAAGAGGGAAGGCAACACAGGGACTAAATACGCTGGGTAACAAGCAACAAGAGACAGGTGAGACACGAACACACAGGTGCAGACACTCACTGAGGAGGGAAAACACAGGAAGTAAAACTTAACAACAGGGAACAGGAACACCAGGAAAAGTATAACTAAATTAAGAAACCAGGAAAAACTAAATGAAGGAGAAGATTTTATGACAAAGACATGTATGCAGCTACGTTTCCAGTGTTGTAAATGAACAAACTGAACAGTTCTGGAGTCAGAGCAAAATACCCCGAATATGTATGCTTTGTACAGACAACCTGAAACAGTGTTAGAGAAAAACTTTTTAATGGAAATGCTTAGCGGACACTCTACACTTTTGTTACACCATTGTGTGAACTGAAAAGAACTGAAAGAATTTGGAAGTACAACATGTGTTTTGTCTTAAGATCTGTGTGACTGAAAGAACCTTTTTGTTTCAGAATCTGTCACATCGCTTGCCACTATCATCTCATCACCAGAAAGGTTTGCAGAAGGAGACTGGAGATTTGAGCAAAATAAAGAATAACATGTGAATCAGCCCATGCCTTTCTCTCTTGCAGTCTGAAGATGTGGTTTTGTTTAGATTGGTCTCTGTGATGGTGCTAAGTTTGCCAGATATAGTTATTGGTTATTTAAAGGGATATTCCGGCGTAAAAATGAATTTATGGTCAAACGCACCGTAACTCTGAGTTAGACACCCCCTCGAGAGATGAATGTTGCCGACCGCTTACTTCTCTAGTTATACCAACTTTAGTAACGACTGCAGGATAGCAACACAGAGAGCCACATGCTCAACCAAAACGCCACTCTAGAGCCACAAATAATGCTCAGAACAGCACCTAACTTCATCAACAGTATATATAGGATCCTAGCCACCAAACATCTTTTTAACTTTTCCTGATTTCTTTAGCAAAGAGACTAAACACAACTCACCCACTGTCTTCCAGCAGACGCTTGTTTGAAGTGAGACCTCAAACATCGCAGTCCATGCGTTTCATTTTTTTCATTTCTGCTGCTGAATCATGATGTTTATCCTCAGTTGTGGGGTACTTTGAAATTATTTCCTTCAAAAGCATCTTCTCACTTTCACTAAGGTTTTTGGAACGCTTTCTTTTCCTTTTCTTCATGCTTGATCATTGGTCAAACTCCTGTTCCACACGCACACAGCTAAAATTTATTCTACATTTGGAAACTGGGCCCCAGTTTCCAAATGTAAGCCGAGGGAGGCTTTGAAAGATCAGACTGAGGAAGCCAACAAAGAGGATTCTGGTTTTGATTCAAAGGGAAAGACAAAGTGAGACCTTTTGTGAGACACTTTCACTTTTAGTTTACAAGCATAGGTCTTGGAGATGTTGAACCAGTTCTGGTTGGGATCAATAGGAATGTTACCAACACAAGTAGAGAAATGATTGCTCAATGCTAAGTAAACAGTTGAGTTCTGGGTAATCACGAGCAAAACCATCCAGGCTGGGGCTGCTGTTGTTGTGCGGATCGAAAAGAACGGTTAGTGCGGATGAAAATCAGGTTGGGGCTTGCTGTTTACCGGACTGGAAAGAGGTGTGGATTTTTTAATACATGATTCACTGACAAGGTGCTAACATATATGATTGTCAGTCTGTAACTTAGATTTGTACTTTTCCACTGAAAACAAACTGTGAGTAATACAATTTAACACGTGTTTTCATTTAACCACAGGTTCACTTTGACGTCTACCTCGATGAGGAGCAACCTGATGTGCCTCAAGGCTCTCTTTGTTCTGTTGGACAGGTTTAAGCAGCGAACTGAGCACCTGCTTACAGCCCCATGGCCAGAAGGGTGCCACCAGGAGCAATCAAAAAACAATAATAATAATAATTTCTTGCATGTATTATTGATGCTCTCTGTATGATCAAATATATTATTGTAAAAATAAAATAAAGTAAAAGAATTTTAGTGCTGATGTAGGCCTATAATTCTTACTGCCGATGTGTCAAAGCTCCGCTACCATTATGTGCCTCCTGCTGTGCAATGTGCACTGAGCATCCAAAGCGCAGGTAGTTGTGAGGCAAAACAATGTCGCAGAAAAGGACATATCCTTCAGGAGCAGAGAACAGAAAGAGGGAGAAGAGAAAAAACGCCAAGATAAAGTTTACATGTCATGGAATGTTAAAGAGATTTGTAAAGGTGTATAAATGATCAACAATCAATATTATTGGCAGAAATAGAGGGCCCCAAAATCACATTTTGCTTAGGGCCCCCATTGAGGCTTGGGCCGGCCCTGGAAATGGGCACTGGTTGTGATGGAGATCCTAGGAGCTCTGTCATTGTGTTTCCAGCGCTGTATTAGTCTACCTGTGACCATAATAGAAGATTTTATCTGAGAGCTGAAGACTTCTCTGTTTGTCTTTGAGCATTCAACTAAAGAACCGATTCTTACATTGTTTTAATTTCAACACCTGCCAGTTAGTTCTTTATCTCTGCTGCACTTAAATTTATCTGAGTTCCTTGAAAATAAACAGAGCATGGAGTGCTGCTGAGTGTGGCAAAAAGGAGTGTCCCTCAGGTGCTCATCAGTCCAGGGAAAGCAAACGAAAAGAGAGCTGAAAAAACGTGCCAACGCATTTTAGCCAAGCAGGCCTTTGTCAGGGTGATCAGAGATAATAAGTGATGGTTTAATATGTCAATTACTGCAGCTGCTCAGTGTGGGAGAGTGGGACGACTCATCAACAGTGTTGCCATGATATGTTCTGTTTATTGAGTTTTCCCCTGTGATTTGAGTGTATTTTCTCTCGTGTTTCTGTCCTATTGTTCCTGTTCCACTGTAGTCTTCTCTTGTGAGTTTCCAGTTTGTGTCTGACCCCGTTTCCCTCATGTTCTCTGTGTTTTATTCTCTATTGTCAGTTTTTAGTGTTTCAAGTTTAATGTTGAAGTAGTTTATTCCCTGTTTTTAGTCTTGCTTTACAGCCTCAGTTTTCTCTCCTTGGTAATTGTCTGCACCCGTGGCTCTGTGTCTCACCTGCCTCTTGTTGTTTGTCTCCCTGTGTGTGCATATATAGTTCTTGTCCATTTTCGAATTCGCCAACTATACAAGCAGTACGTACTGATACCAAAATTTAGTATGCAGTATGCATAAAACAAATAGGTTTACAGGAACACTGCTGATCTAAGTTTTTAGAACAAAGCAATTCAATAGAAATGTTTAATTCTACAAAAACCATGACCAGAAAGGAAAAATTAGTTTAACTCCAGTTGCATTGGTAGGGTGTAAAGATCCTGAACACTTAAATGATATCCAAAAACTTACAAAGAAATGGGGACATTGAGTCAAGGGGTTAGAATTTTTATGACCTAGAGGAGGCACATCTGATGTGACTGTGTGTGAGGATTTGAGCAGCGAATTTAAGACCATTAACACAAAGATAAAAGTAAAACACGCAAAAACAAGAGATTTGGAACTAAAAGTACTGGACATGTTCAAAAGTGAAGGCCAACACTATTTTATGAATAAATTAAAGATTGGGTTTGCAGAGCTAGAAAGCAGTAAGGAGAAGGTAGAGAAAAGAAAGTCACAAACATGGAAAATAGGTAAAACAGAAAAGAGATTCTGCAGCCAAATCTAGTATCAGAAAATGAAGGAAATTATCCTTCTCTGTTAGGGAAAATTAATATAATATGTGATTTTGAGTTTGCTGAGGGAGACAAAGCCCACAACAAACCTTTGCCTGATTCCCTGAAGTAACAAATGATAACATAGACTTGCCATGTGAACTCTGTCACCCAATAGTACAAGTAGTAGTAGCACAAATACTTCCCAGCTTAGGTAAGAAGCAGGGCCCGCAAATATTATGTGATTTCTTCCAGTATAATAATGTAAACTTCAGCACCTTTATTTAAAATGTCCTTAATAAACCAGGAAAATCTGGGAAATTAAAGAGTAAGGAAGATTTGATAAGTGGTCAAGAATGTTGAAAAATATATATTTGGTGTTTAATTTCATGTTTTCAATTTTGCATCTCAAGATTACAAGTCAAACATGATTGGATTTTTATTTCGTGCTTTGATTTTGTTCAACTCAGTATTTAGATTTGTGTCATTTTTATACTTTAGATTCCAATTTTAATTTTAAGTCATATTTTGACCTTTTGAACCTGATTTCAACGTTCTTCTTGTGTATTTGCTCTTTCAATGCATTATTTTTCTGTTTTTAATATCATGCTTTGATCTTTTGAACTGATAAGAATAGAATAAAAAACTAAACATTTTTTATCTTAGGTTGCCTTGAAATTTATTATTATCATTTTTATTTATTTATGTCTTTTAAATTTCCAAATGATCCATAATCATTGCTATTTTTGTCCCATACGCTTTGAAAAGGAAATTGACAGTTTTGGTGAAATGTTGACCCTCTTTGGCCCTGAAGTTAGACCTAAATCAGGATTATGGCCCTTGCTGTGGTTGAGTTTGACACCCCTGGAATAGATTATGTTCACCTGAAGATGCACTGATAGTATGTTTTCAATTTTAATAAATGGCACACAGGCTAGCTATGTGCCGTGGAAAACCACACACCTTGTTGGGGTGATTGCTAGACCACCACAAACTGAACAGGGGCAGGGAGATGGATATCGGTTTTTGAGGATGAACTGTAGGGAAAATGTTGACTACACCAGACATGAAAGCACTCTTGGCTCAACTGCTGGGAACTAAGATGATGGAGAAGTTTCTGCACAAGGGAAAACAAGGTTGAATGACGAATCCCATGATAGATGGGAGTGAGTTGAATGCATATTGTGATGTGATGTGAAGGGTGCCGCCAAATGAAGAGTGGAGACTGAAAGAACAGGAAAAGAACATTCAGCGGAAGTTGATACAGCTACAGCTGGGAGACCTGCCTAAATCTGATCCCAGTCAAGAGGTGGAGGCCAGTCGAGCCAGACGACCAGGTGTACATCAACGTCCTTTGAGGTGACACCTACGTCAGTGCAGGAAAAGCGCAATATGATGTGGCGTCATCTACCGCTGACTGTCCAGGAAAACAAGGAAGTATGACTTGATAAGAGACACTCCAAAAATGACGTCCTGAAAGTAACTGTTATCCTGGTGTGGCTGCTGAGGGACAACGTGTGGAGAGAGACCGAGACAGAGACTGGAGACAACAATGAAGGTGAAGGTCAAACTGGGGCCTGTACAGCTGTGAGAAGAAGTCGGAGACATTGTCATCACGGGTGAGTACGATGCAACCCAAACACAATCCACACCACTCCAGACAGTGCTAGAACCCATGCCAACATTCACAGACTATTACAGATTTACAATTAGGTTAAGGAAAACAGATAAATAAAATTAAAAAGATTTTTTTTACAGATAATCGGAAACAAGTACATAAGAAAATGAAGAAAGAGAGCGCTACACATTAAGTAGATCTGATATATTGAAGGAAAGGTTACAGATAAATTTATCACATAGGAAGTAAAGAGAATGTTTAAAAGTCGTGTGTGAAAACAAAATTACAACTGGAGGTGGTAAATGGGGAAGAGATTTTTGCCAGATTGTGACAAATAAGAGAAGAACAGTTTTTTTTGTTTTTTTTTTAACCTAAAGTTAAGCAATGATGTGAAAGAAATTATTGTTTGATTTGATTTGTTAATTATTCAGCGAAGATGTTTAGATTACAGGATATTTACATGTAACAAGTCCACTAACATGACAATACAGACAAGCATTAAATTGGATATTTGCAGAGAAAAGAGTGTGTTCAAGGTTTGGAAAGTACTGTTGCAGATACATTTCTAACAAAACAAGCCCCTGGGGGAGGTTTTTCTAAAGCTATGGAGGGTCTAGACAAGCTAAAAGTGGAAATGCGGGAGAATGCTGGTAAGGGGGGCCTGTTGATGGACTAGTTGGTCCAAATTTTAGACGAATGAGAGCCGTTTTGGCCCAGCCATGAGTGCTGCGATAGCTCGAATTCTGATTTCCTTTCTCACATGTTGCATCGTACACATACTTTGGGGACAATGTTGGAAGCTGACGGAGGAGATGGGACTTATGGTGGACCTAACACTGGCCCATGAACTACAGGAAATGCCACCAAAACAGCTGGCACGGTGTGTGATTAGTCTAGGAGGGACAAATTTGACCCGTTTTGACTTTTAACAGCAGTAAAAAAAAAACCCTAAACGTCATTCTTTAAGCCTGAAACTTAAAGGGCTATACAGGTTCGGATAACCCCCCATCCGAACCTGTATCGCCCTCCCAACGACACACCCCTTTTGGCAGAGCAAGAAGCCGGCCGGCAGAAGATCCTACGCTAGCTTCAAATAGGATTCACCAAGTCGGATTGCTAGGGACTAGCGACAGTAAACGCCAGCTCTGCTAGCGAGCACCATCTGCAGCTGCCTGGACAGCTACCGCGTTGACATTACAGAGACTAATAAGAGTTATTTATGTAACATGTGCCACGATGAAAGGCAAAAATTACCTGTTCAACAAAAACTCTCCTGTCCCTGCGTCTGTTTTCAGGCCCAAATCCTGGTGGAGGTTTCTCCACCGCTCGAAGGATGACCCAATGTTTATTCGGGTTAGATTCCTCACTTCATCACATTTCCTCTTCGACTCTGCCCTTTCCTCTGTCGGCTTGCGTTTTCTTCTGATTTTTGGCGGTGGGGCAAGCAGAAGTGTTTTTTTCCATCCTTCTCCATCACAGCTCCTATCGCTAAGCTGCTACGCTACTTTTAGCCGCTCAGAGCTCAGAGGAGAGCCGGGAGAGTGGGAGGGGACTTGTCAAAAACATGGAAGAAGGGTGTGCTGAATACAGCGAGGTGATTGGATGGAGAGGCGAAGCAGGCGATCGACCAATGGGAGCTGTCTGGAACGGATGGCTCCCATTGGTCAATGTTTTTGCAGCCCTGCACCTGCTAGGGTGAACAGATTTTTCCCATTCTTTTTTTCTCTTCACTTTGTGGAGATCGCACTATAGGACCATGATCGCAATATAAACAAGGTTCATAATAATTACCTATCTCTACAATCTTCAACCATGCCTTCAATACATATGTGTTGTCTTGGATGAATGCAGGGAGTTCCGGAACAAATGTCTCAATAAAGAAATCAATGAATCAGGAAACTGGTTCTGTGATTGATTCATCAAGCTGGAGTCCGTTTTGCTTTTTCATTTTTTTGTAATTAGTTAAAGATTCAGGTTGTTTAGAGAAAACAACAGATGTTGCAATACTCAACATTTCTTTAAGACAGTTTCAACTCTGAGAGAGCCTTATGTGGGTAAAATATTCTCAGTGATATCTCTCCCACAATCACACAGTGATCGGTATGCATGAAAGAGATTCCTGTAAATGCAGGAAGGAGGAGTGGGAGGTAAATGCGTGGGAGGTTGGACGATGTAGACAGTCAGTGTTTCCACTGTTCCCATAATCTGTACCACCTGTCCACCAACACTTTGAAGTAAACATGAAACAAGTGCAAATTATTCAGACATGCATAAGACACACCCATGACTCTAATCATGATTGTGTACATGTAACAGGAACTAAAATTGCCACAACTCATGTATCTCAGATTTCACACTTTAACAGTACTTCTGCTGTCAACCTTCTCAAACTGTCTTCCCAATGTGCATACTTATCAATGGCAGATTTGCCGCAGTTTTTATGTTTTTTAATGTTGATTTGTTAAAAAAAAATGAATTTGCTGTCCTTTTAATTACAAACATTGCTTATTTTTACTGCAACCATAGGAGAATATCACTGTTAAACAGACAAGAACTCAAAAGCTAAATCAATTAAGTTCAATTAAAACCAGTCGAAAGACAGAGGCATTTACACTTGGGTCCACTGGGCGGCGGTAGAGCACAAAAGCAAACTTCAAAATCCAACGAAGAAGACATCAAACCAGTTACGTTTTACCATCTTCTGCAGAGTGAGGGAAGTGGAGTGGAGTCAGTAAGTGTTCAAAATAACTTTGTGACTCTTCAACGGTGATTCTTAAGAACGGGGATAAAATGTGTTTTACTGTCTTTGTTCAGACTAGAACAGTTTGTAATGAGAACATAGGGAGCATTAGGCACGTGTGCTTTACATGACGCTGTGTCGCTGGTAAACGTGCTTATATGTTTATTTACCAACGCGCTACTCGGTCTGTTTATAGGGGAGAGTGGGGTAAGATGAGCCAGTTTTCATATTTCAGATCACTACATCAAGGCAATCATAGTTTTGTCTCTAACTAGTGTATCTGCATATATTTCAGGATGTTGGTCATCCCTGCAAACCAGCAGAATGAGTGTAAACATCACTGTCTTGATAATAAAGCATGCCAAAAAAGTGGTCTCCAATGGTCAACTTACCCCATACACGGGGTAAGTTGACCTTAGGAGCGGGGTAAGTTGAGCCGTATCCCTACAAACTCCCCACTCTCCACCCCAGCCCTCCCTCACCTTCTCTATTATACACTATTCAACGGGTACAATAATTCTTTTTATTATTATTGCATATAATTGCTAAAAAGCTGTTTTGTAAAAAGTCATTTTAACACGAGAATGTCTTTAAGTGATTCAGAACATTCACAGCTATATTTTTGAAAAGAAAAAGTAAAACATTTCAACAATCTGAACTGAAACTCTGATCCTCTCATCAGACTTCTTTACTTTCTCAGTTACCCCTGAACGACGATTATGACTTTATTAGTCCTCAAAGCTAAAATGGTGGACTTTTATGCTAGGTTTTTGACCTCATGTTGTAGCTCATAGATACCACAATTGATGTATAAAACAAAATTAAAATGAACTTTATTGGTCTGAACACAATTCTAATCAAACTTATGACAGACTAAATTCCCTCTCAAGATTGAAAAATGTTTTTTTTTTTTTTTTTTAAATAGACATCTAACCCCTTCACTCATGTGCTTCTAACCTTCACAGACTCCATCTCATAAATATTTGGTCACATGATCAATTTCTTTTACCATTTCCAAGCAACATGGGGGGTCGACTTACCCTTTGGCTCAACTTACCCCACTCTCCCCTTCAGGCTGTAGTATATGTGTCAGGTTCTGTGTGGTATTTCCTGACACATTAAGTGGCAGACAATCTGAAGTAACAGAAGAAAGTGATTATTTTGAACATGCCATGTAGTACAGTGGATAGACGCAACTGATCAAAAATAACATGTATTTTGCAGCATGATATCAATTTCTTACACATTGGATAATGTTAAATGGGATATAGAAAATTTGATTAAGGATACTCAGATGTGAATCCCGTGTTAAGAATTGGTATTCATTGTCAGTGTTTACACGGATATAAAATGTTCTAACAAGATGAAACTGAAAAACATTAATTTCATGCCTGTCTATGAAGTAAAAGCCAAATGCTTTTAACCCCTTGTGCTGACATGATATATTTTCTGCTGAGAGATTTAATATTCTAAAAGCCAACATCCTCTTTTTATCTTTCATACCTGTAAAATTCAATATTACTTTTAAACACATATTTGCTTTTTGTCAGGGTCTCTAAGTTATTTGTTTTTGTTCAAGAGGTGCCGACAAGGAGACTGAACATGGCAACACCTGTGTCTGTGCTGCGCCTGCCAAAAGGACCAGACCCCAACAGCCGTGGGTTTGACCCCAAATCGCCTCGCTACATAGCCCTGTGTCGTACCTCCATCCCAGCTTCTGCTGCGTCTGAGGGCAACATAGAGCAGCTGACAGAAGAGCAGCACGCGCGATCTGTACTGAGGGAGAGTTTCCTCCGATGTCTCCTGTGGATGGCCAACAAGAAGGTTCAGTTCAACATGTATGAGAAGGTGAAGGTGAAGGCCACGTTTGGAGCGTCGGATATTGATGTACTGAACTTCCAGGTGTCAGAACTCCACACTCCGATTGGGGTGCAAAAAGAGGCGCTGATCAGGTGTCAAGATGTGATCTCATTCATAGTTGAATGATGTTCATTATGTCTTTTTTTTGTTTGTTTGTTTGTTTTTCTTTTATCTCAGACCTGTAATCTTTTTCACGTACCTTGACATGTTTTGGCTGAAAATTCAGTAACTGTGACCCTCCTAACAAGGACAAGACGGTTACGCCTCCAGTGGTCGACATGAACATCCTGTCACGTCCTGTCTTCTCAGGAAGGCATAACGCAACATGTCAAGGTACGTGAAAAAGATTACATGTCTGAGATAAAAGAGAAAGAAGAAACTATGTGATCTCATTCATTTTTGATGTATGAACATGAATGTATGATCTGTGTTTGTGCACATCCTTGCAGTTAATTTATTTGGTAAAAGTGTGGGTGAACAGTGAGAACATGCTTCCTTTAATTCTTGTATTATTGCTCAGTCTGCCACATTTCTCAGTTCAAGGAGCTTTCAAGCTCAAACGTGCAGGTCCAATACTCTGCCACAAGAGGGCGCTCCATGTCCGTTTCAAGAGAGAAACCAAAGCCTTTTGAGGAATCTTTCTGAAAAGGATGTTGTAGACGAGTTTTCACCACTTTATTACTACTGCAGAGATGTCTTGCTGATGTTAATTGCTGACATGAGTGTCAACATTTATTTGGGGATGAAGAGGTATTTTCTCTCTTAAAGGTAGAACACTGAATGATCTTTAAGATGGTGTCAGTCATGAAATTTGACTGCACTAAATATGTCGCGATAAAATGCTTTTCACATCACCATTTAACATCCAACCCCTCACATATATCTCCCATTTCTGCTCTTCAACATGAGACTTCAGTGAATCACAGGCCCTGTGTTCTTCCTCTGTAAACTTTAAAGAAAATATCACTGTGCTGGTGTGCCACTTGTATGTTTAAAGCCTTTATATGGTGTCAAAGTGCAACTTTTCTCATTTTTCTACTCTTGTACTACAGTATCTTTTTGAATACCAGGACCTTGTTACAAATAAATTTGTGTTTTGCAGAATATAAAAACCCCATGGGATTTACTTAAACTGCAAATGTTTAATCTTTTACAAACAATGTAAACAGAGAAATATCAGAGTTTACACTTTCCCCACATTCGCTGTGCTGTCGTCTACTTTATCTCTTTGCAAACACAGCAGTGCATGTGCATCCATCAAACTCAGTCAAATTCACGTCGCTCACTCCTCGTGGCCCTTCTCAGCGTCAGTCTTTGAGAACTGAACAGCTGTAATTTGATCTGTAAACATGCTCACATAAAAAAAGGGACAAGTTTAATTTTTGAGTTTTGTCATGATCTAATACATTATGGTCTGGTCTTACAGAGAGGTGGTGTGCAAACAAGTCGAACATTTCTGTAGTCCAACATCCGATTGCGGCACAGGTAGTTAGCCTGTTATTTGAATCCTTGGTCGTAAATATAATCCAGGAGGGAGGAGGAGGCAGGGGCATCAATGCTATTTAATCTTCTTAAAAGGTGTATTTTGCAAGTTCTCAGTAAGTCATTTTATTTGAGTGCCATTAGGGAGTCGTGCTGTGCCTTTCTCTTTCTGTACCTGAATTATCTGACCACTCAGTGGAGACAGTCATCAATGAGGCAGTGACTCATCCTCCCTCACTTTCCCTTTTCTCTCTCTCCCTCTCTCGCCCTCCCTAATCCAAAATATGACTTAAACCCGGGATGACGTCATCCAGCCTGTGTGATTCAATCAGGAAGGCCTCAAGGACAACCAATGTTAATTTCATAAACACAGGCATGCTGCTCTCTGACCAGCAGCTCTCAACTCCCTCAGTTCTCACTCTCACCTCTGTGACGATCCATTACATCAGCAGAGTCACAGACAGAACATAAACACGTGCATTTTGACTTTTATTCTTCCATACAAACATATGGCTCCTTAAAAAACATAACGACTCCGTATTTTAAGAGTTTAAAGTAAGTCCCCTTGCAGTACTAACGCTGCACCAATGATAAAAAGGGTTCAACGAAGCAGAAAGCCTGGGAAGAATCCACCAATCAGAAATATTTCATTTTTTAGGGTTTTTTGATGTGATAAAACACCAAATCTACCAGACCTGTAGAGATGCTGCTGTATCAGACACTGAGATGTTAGTGGTTCCTTAAACTCCTGTGGGATGTGGCCTGTGTGAATCAGACTTAGTAGTCCAGCACACCCCACAGATAGCTAAATGGACTGAAGTCTGGATAATTAGGGGGCCATGTTAACACCTTGAGCTCATTGTTGTCTTCTTCAGCATGGGTATGAGACCGCACCCTTTTACTATTAAGCTGTGGCTCTTTGTAACTTGATTGACAGGTCGTTGGTTTTCCATCTTTGGACCATTTTTGGTAAGCACCGATTTCTGAAAATAAGAAATATCTCACAAGAGCTTCGGTTTCTTCACAATTTGACTCCAGTGCATGTCCCTGTGCACATAAGATAAGATAAGATATTCCTTTAAAAGTCCCACGGGGGGAAATTCCAAAATTAAAGCAGCATAAATACAGATACAAAAAGAGAAATTAAAGGATAAAGAAACTTAGAGTTGTACATGACATACATCTTATTTACATGTGTACAGAATGTACACATAATTTCCTACTTCATTCCTATACTTTCTATTTCTTGCACATTTCCTACTTCCTCACATCAGCTTTGAGGTTTCATCACTCCACCCCCTGACAGTGCCATCGTAAAGAGACAATGTTGTCCACTCTACCAGTTAGTGGTCCTAATGTTACAGCTGATCAGTTTAAACCCAAAGAAAGGGTACGGACAGTGCAGCATATGAAGTGACCACTAGAGGCTGGCTCCATAGAGCAAAAATTCCCATTAGGCTCAATATTATAATGATACATTTAAAAGCACAAGAAAACGCGGGCGCAGTCTAGAGTAAACTGAATTGACTTTATATAGATTTGTATATTTATAACAACCATACAGAGAGAGAGCTTTTATTATGATCTCATTGTAATTGTACGAAGCCTAAAGCCTTGAGAGTTGGTTTGTTTGAGCAGCAGTTGGGTGCTTCTGTCTGTTAACTGGACTGATCAGCCATTTCAGCAACAGCCCCCCACCTAAAAGCCAACTTTGTGTAAAAATTGCAAAAATTAGACTAATAACTGAGCCTATTTTTGCACTAACTGTCCATCCAGGAAATCTGTTTTCCATATCTGGCCTGTTAGCTCATTCAACATTCATCATATACACATTTATTTAACAGACAGTGCATAGGAGTCAGAAATGTTGTTTCATGTGATCGCTTCAATAAGATTATGAGTTTTTAGGCCATGTGTCATAAACTTGAGTGAGATTCATGCCCTCTGATTTGTAACTCTGCAAGCGTACACCCTGCTGCTGTTATCTACTCTTACTGTTTGTCTTTCCTGACAGTCTGCTTCTCTCTGATTCCAGTGGAAAAACATTCCCATCCTTTAGTATGAAAATAAGTGTGCGTGCGCATGTGTATCGGTGTGCGTCAGTTATGATGGCACGTGGAATCGGCCCCTGTATAATAACGCCGGTCAACAGGAAGCACATTCCACTCCTTCCTGTTTGTGGCCCGTTCTCACTTCCTGTGAAGTGTCTGATAACTGACACAACCACTTAATCACCATTTCACTCAAAAGGTCCCGTCAGAAGACTGAAATAACTCCACAGTGACCTCACGATTGAATATTTTTAGTTTGTTTTGCTATAGGCATTTCAGAGGATAGAGTGGCGATGATGACGGTTACAGGCATCACACTGAAAGACAGCTCTGGTCTTGGTATTAGCTTTTTATTTAAAAACCCCTGCTACCTACTACCACCAAATGCAATCTTGCCGTTTACTATATAATTTTTCGACAATTAGACAGTTTAACTTGATTGCTATCCTTGTAACTTTAACTAAGAGATGACAGTTTTGCATATTAAAACAGTCAGCAAACTACTGTACGTTAGCAAGAGACCAACTGGATGTATGTCAAACAATGAAAACATCGCTTTTATAGCTCTGTACTGTTTGTTTGTATGATCAGGAAATTTCATTGTTTTTACGTCATTTCTGCATCTTTGGAGGTTTTATTTTCTGCCTGGCTAACCCAGCAACTCTTCCATATAATTTAGCTTCCATGCACAGAACACTTAATCCAGTTTGAGTTTGACTGAGCCGTAAACATGAGAGTAAAAATCGATCCTAACGCTGACACAGACTATCCAGAAGTCCATCAGTGTGTATTTTTTAAAATATTCAAAATCAATTAATATCAATAATCCAGCATGTCTTTACTAAGATTCATTCAAACCTGACAGAAGCAGCCTTTATTACTACTTTGATTGATTGGTAAATAGACCATTTATAAATGGTGAGCAGATAGTTTATTAATGTTTAATCATCATTTATAAATACCATATAGACCATTAATAATTTTACAATCTTAAAAACCTAACCCTAACCCTAACTTTATAATAACCATCTAAGTAATGTTAACAGGTGGTTTAAAAACCAAATATTAACCATTTACAAAGTGCTACTGACACACATTTTAATCTAGATGTTTTACAACCAATATTTAAACCCTATATAAACCTTTAATAAATAGTCTATTAATAATTAATGAGAATTATTAATCATAATTTCATTGCTTGTTAATGGTAAAGTAACTATTAACTTACATAAATAAACTATCTATTTGGCATTTATAATTGGTCTATATGCTGTTTTTAAATGATGATTAAACATTAATAAACTATCTATTTACCATTTATTAATTATGGTTACCCTTAAAGCGTTACTGATTGATTTAATAATCTTGCTGCTAAAATTACATTTCTAAAGGACTAGAGTAATGTGGACATTAAACCTATGGCTGATGTGAGCTAACTGGGTGCTTTTCAATGCTGCTATATGACCCACTGAGGATCCTGCTCACACTGACATTGAGAGACCATGAGAGGGTAAAAATGGTATCTAAAAAATCTCTCTGTAGAAAGTGAATTGCTAACTATGCACTAAAAAGAGATTTCAACTCGTGTCAAAAATCACACCTCATTTACTCTTTTGAGCATTTAAGAGCTAACTCCAACGAAAAACAAAAACTCATGCTGTACTAATCATTGATGACAACATTTCTTCAAGCACAACCACAAGGTGAAATTGCTGTCAAGTTCCCAGTGGAAGTGTTGTTGGAGCAGCCAGACAGGCAGACACTAAAGGGGAACGGCTGAGTCATGGTCAGTCCCCACGTTTGTTTGAGTTGCCGTTGAGGGGGAATGTTGGAGCAGCTCCAGCGATTGTGAGGGCCAGGCGCTGTGTGGCAGCCTCACTTCCCCGACTCAAGTGGCCAGGGAGATAAAGAGGCTTCCAGGGGGGCATGCCAGCAGCGGCCTCAGTCCCAAACATAAACAAACACTCAGTCTATGAATTTAATGTGGGCATAATGTGAATATAAGCTGCAAAAGCAAATCCAGCTGATTGGCTTGTAGCTGAAGCAGCAAGCTGAGACTGTTTCTCTTTTTTTATTTACTCAACAATATGACCGTGGATAACGTAACTGATTGCTGGTGTAGATGTTCAACAGACATAAGGAAACTCCAGAGCTGTGTGTGTGATCCAACGAAAAACACGAGTCTAGACAGGAAGACATATGAGGAGGAAAGGGAAGCGCTCAGAATTAGCATGAGATTAAAGTTATCTGTATTTATCTATAAGAGTCCGTAGACTCCATCGAAGTCCACTCCCTTCCCCACTGGAGTAAACACAGGAAGATGCTGCTTATGAGTGTCTGTGATGCTGAAGACCCTCAGATACCAGCACTGATCGGACAGATTCACCTTCTGCAACCATTACCCCCAGTGAGTTACAAGTAGCTCTGCTGTGCTGTAGTACGTACAGACCAGTTTTGTGACAACGCTTGATTCAACACTTAATCCGACTGAGATATTTTGACAAGTCACTCATCGAAAAAAGTGACTTTTACACGAGCATTCATAGAGACAGCCTGTGAGGGTTCTCAGTCATCAGGTCAAGACAGTTTTATGTTTAATCCAACAAGTAGATAGACTTCTGCCTTGCAAATGACAAGGTGAGAAGTGTTACAGAAGTCCACCTACATATTTGGATTGAACTGAAATCCTATTAGATATAATATGCTGATATGACCTCACCTTTTTACACAAGCATAAGACTTAAATTGGTGTTTAAGTGAGTAAAATTTTAATGCGTTAACTCTCTTGGCATGTAAGCATTGCTGACTGTATATGAAATTACATTGTGAGCTGTGAAGCCACACGTGCGCCAGTCACACTACTGACGCCACATCCATAAGGCTAACCAAAACACTCATAAAACTTTCCTGTAAAATGTCCAGGATATGTCCAATGAACGATATATTGGTGTTTTTTTATGTTTTGTCCTGCTGTTCCTCCTCTATTCATCACATAAAATTCACCTGTTCATAAATCAGCACGAAAAGAGCAAACTTTTAATTGTCTGTTTATCCGGTCTGTTATAATGAGGAGGCAGGCTTTAGGAGCTGTACTGCTACCAACCACCAGGGGGAGCTCTAAGGGATGAGTTTTACCTTCAGGCAGCTGTTGTCCATATTTTCATACAACCTGCTGTGTTAACCCTAAGTATATTTTGCAGCGTAATGAATCTACACTGATGTTTTTTACCTTTCTCGCATTATGTTTACATGCATTGCTAAATTTTTCATGACCGGAATCTTGGCTATCTTTAATTTGAGTCTTTACCAATGATGTTTATTAGTTTCTCAGAGAGAATCTATACAGTTTTATCTTATTTTGAAGCAGTAAATCATGCTCATATAAATCCACTACATACTTTGAACCACCATGTAGCAGTTACAACGCTGAATTACTTTCTTCCCCTTCTCCTAAACATGATTTCGCCCACATTCAACATAAATCATATTGTTACTATCAGCATGTGATGTTAAAAAACCACATGGTAACACTCCTGTGAGTGCACATTCCTGCAGAGATATTTATGTTGACCTTAAATGACTACATTGCTGTTAAAGATATATAGTTATGGTGCTTGTGAGGGAGGCTGGATGATGGTGTTTGTAGAGGCCCTGAGGAGGAGGGGGGTCTGCTACAGAGCAATTTAATCTGGAGGAAGATCACATACTTTGGAAAGTTTATCTTCCTGTGGCCATTAGCTGACTCGATGAGACAGAGCAACTGCAAAAAAAAAAAAAAAAAGAAATGTGGGTACAGGCTTTCAACAACTGTGAATTTTTGTTACAGATCACCAGTATAAAGCATATGGATCTTGTCATGTTACATATAATTTTCTCTGAACATCAGCACAAGTTCACATCTGGCAGCTGAATCAAATGATGTTGAGTCTGATGCTGAGATATTTGCGTTTTGTCTCTTGCTCCTTTTTTCCCACTAAATTTTAACCTAAGCCATACACACAGCTACATAGATGAAATAAAGATTTAATAATTTAGTTATTACAGTTTTACAATAGCCAAACCTACTGTGTGGTGGAGCAGATGGACTCAATCCATCCCTGGTCTATGCTAATATCCCTGATCATGATCAGTGAATGTGGGTGGACACCCAAAACGTGTTTTAAGTGGGTGTTTTTTTGTTTTTGTTTTTTCAAAATAAGTAATAAACTCAATACTGATCTAAGATATTATATTAGATCATATATATTGCACATCATGGTCAGCACCCATTTAGGGCATCTCTTGAATCTCATAATATGAAGAGACGAAGGCGTTCTGACATGTTTATATACAGAATGGGTTAGATGCAGGAAAACTGTCGGTCTGGAGAGCAAAAGTTTGGAACATATCAGCTGTATACACTCCAGGATCACATTGGCTGAAGTCTGAGTATTGTTTAGCCTTTATTTATCTCTGTAAACAGACATCTGCACCGTAGTGTGCCCACTAATCCACTCTTGGACACTGTCTCTCAACTCCAACTGTAGTTGTACTGTAAACAAAAGTGAGGCACACAGATGGAAGTTTTGGCTGTATGTCATTCACCCCCAGCCTCTTTTATAGCTGAGGCCCTGAAGAGTTGAACATCACCCCTAGTTGGTCGGTTTTTATGATTACCATTTCCAAAGCTAAAAAAAGAAAAGAACAGTCTCACCAAACCCCATGAACTTTTGGCCTCCCTGCCTCAAAAGACACCACTGTCACTTACCAATAGGAGTCACTTCTTACTCCTAATGTTTGTGTTACTTTTGTTGGTTATTTGTAAGGCATTAGTCAACTGAGTCTGTTTCATAATTAAAACTTCTTTAGCATTTCTTTTCTGTTGATAATCTGGTACTTCTTTTACATCTCAAATTACTTAAAACTCTTAAAAATACTCCATACCAGTTTGGGTTTTTATTGAAGACTACTCTCATTTTCTCTCCTCTTTCCTCTCTCCTTCATCTCTTCAGATCACCTGTGCCCCCCTTGTGGTTTCATCACAGTCTTGCCCACTCACCCAAAACAGCTTAAAACACTCAAACTGAGTCATTTCACCTTCCTAGTCTTGGTTTCTGTCTTCATCAAAACAACATTTCAACAGTTAACTCAGAGGCTGAAGTAATTGCTTATAATTTCATTTAGACACGCACTCATGTACAGACACCGGTCTCTATCTCTGCCTCACTTGTTTCCTCCCTTCCCCTCCTTCTCCCTTTCTTTCATGCTTTTCCCCCCAGGAGACATGATTTACTTGTGTCAGGGACAAGGACATCTGCCTATTAGCAAGTGCCACTGACGTAGGCATCGCCATCCCCTCCTCCTTATTATCCCCCTTCCTCATCTGCCTTCTTCTCCCGCTCCTCCTCCTGCCTTACTCAAATTGGGGTCGTCAACCTTCATCGTGCTGGCTGGTGAATCATCGGTGGGACTTGTGCCGCACCAGGAGGAGGGGACGCCGTCCGCCCAGGATACTTCCGTCCTCCTTCCCAAATTACCAGGGTAACCCGACATTGTCTGCTCTCTACTGTCACATCACTCTGTCGCACAAAGAGAGGAATAAAGAGACAGCAGGAGAGGTGGAATATGAATGAGGGACTCGTGAAAAACACAGTTAAATGCTGACATTGGTTTATCATAGCTCAGCATCTTATGTTTCTTTATCAGACTGCCATTAGTGGTGATAATGAAGTCATCCTAGCACTCCTTTACTCCATGAACAAGACAGACAGACAGACAGACAGACCATAAACAGAAGATGAAGCTTTTGTGTAGCACCAGGCAAAGTGGGGATAATAGATGTTGTGTTATCTGAATTGAAAGTAATATACTTGCAAGAAATAAGCTACAAGACTACCAAGTGGAAACCATAGACTGTATATACTATGGACAACTTGGTTCCACCCTCTGCCAGTAGATGGATTTGAAGCTGAAAAGCTCTCTGTATTTCCATGATTTTTCTTCATTTCCTGAAACCAGCGCTGCGCAGTAGAGTTGTGTGCGTTTGGCAGGAGAGTCACCGAGAGTCGCTGTGATGACGCTCGGCTCAAACAGCGTATCCCCGGGGTGAGCTACGCAATCTTAGTACGCCCATAGGCTGTATCAAGTGTCAATCACAGAAAACATGAACACCCTAATAACTTTTAAAAACGGAGCTGTACAGAAAAAAGAGGACTTGAGCACAAACCAGACTTACAGTAACTACATGTCAACATCGCAAGCAGAGGGGAGAAAAATTTATATTCTGTGTAATAAATTTCAAAATTTTGTCCACAGCTCCATAAACTGGATATGTAGCCCGCCGCCAGAGGGTGCTGTTCTCAGAGTGGCTTCACCCAGCAAGGAGGCAGACTCTGTCTGTCTGTATACAGTCTATAGTGGAAACCCCCAGTGTTGCAAACAAGGCCAGAGTGGAAGTGCAAAAAGATGCAGGTCCTGGAGTGTCCACTTGAGGCAAATTCAGACATGCCAAGTTAAATAAAAATATATAAGTGGTATGTTGGCGATTCCACTATTCTGTGCGTGTGTTTTTGGCAAATCATTTACACAGAATATAAATTTTTCTCCCCCCAGGTTATGATGTTGACATGTAATTATTGTAAGTTCATGTTTTCTATGATTGACACTTGATACAGCCTTCAGGCGTTCAAAGATTGTATACCTTACCTGGGGGATACGCTGTTTGAGCAGAGCGTCATCACAGCGACTCTCCCATCGAACACTGCTGTGCAAATGCAGGTTTCAGGAAATGGAGAAAATCCCCAAAATACAGGGAGCAATTTGGCTTTAAATTCGTGCAATGACGGGAGGCGGAGTCATGTAGTCCATACTAGATACAGTCTGTGGGGTTAATGCATCCTAAAGGGTGCAGAGATAAGGAGGAGTGGCATCAAGTGACAGAAGTGTCAGAGAAAACTTGTTGAAAACTTGTTGAAAACAGAGAAAACTTGTGCACCAGCCTCTCTGTTGAGAAAGTGGCCAAGAAACCATAACAAAAACTAGGCTATCAACCACCACAGGCTGCACCTCTAGATTTAGGTAATTCTAACAAACTCTAACCAATGCACTATTCTCAATTCTCATTTGTCTCTGCGACCTAAACGTGGTCAGTGTTTGTAACCAGCAGAATGTAGAGAACAGCAGGGTTGTGTGTGTAAATGTGATTTTTCTATGTGTGTGTGTGTGAGGCAAAAGGTCAGCTTCAGCTCAGACCAACAGCACATCAGCTCGGCTGCAGCTTATTTGCTGATGCTATCTGCGAGCAGGAATCTGAGTAAACACTGAGGTTAGATAACAAGGAGATCTTTGCTCGATCTTTCTGCGCTGCACCACAAACTTCAGATGCCCCCAAAACCTAAATCCTTACTGAAAACAAACCCTCCAATCTGCATCTTTATTTATACTTCCGTTAACACAGGGACCCCTCGCTGTACGTCCAGGCCTCTCTGTTTCTATCTCTCCTTTCTCTGAGTTAGAGAATGTAAAACTTGAGTGCCCTTTTCCTCTTGTTAAATTGCCAGATTTCTGTCCTTAAGCTCACTCCTGTTCTCCTTGCACAGATATCAACGGACACAGATGTCCTGCTTGGACAGACAGCCACATCCTGCCAAAGATAGTAACAGAGAGATGAATCACTCCATCAGTTTATTCAAGCAAGAGATTTTCAATCACTCCAGCACGAAACAGTGAATCAACAGGACATATCAATTTACTGAATGATAGAGAGGTTTCTGCTTTGTTTTGTTTGGGGTTTGTGCTTTCACATTTTGTTCTCAAACATTTGGAGAATCTGGAAACGTGTGACCTTGTGGCCTGTTTCAGGTTGTGTGGAGTATGAGCTGCATGCATGCACAACACTACAGGCCACACCTGGACACATCTGGAGCCGGGGAGGGCAGCCCTGCTCTGACCCCGACACATCTGGAGCTGACACTCTCAGAGACAGCGAGGAGATGCATAAAGAACACTCACACATATGTACAGTATATGTTCTCCATGGGAAATACACAAACGCTGAAAGGCATGCACTCCTACACTCCTGAACACACACATGTCCATGTATGTGTGTCATCTATGTATCTGCATGCACATACACACACGCAAAAAAGACAAATGCTAAATCACACACACGCCCACCAGATGCAGCTGGTTCATCCTGCCATCTCATGAATTGTGAGCCTGCCTTTTTATTTTATGTATAGAGGCAGACTCGTGTTTTATCACACTGTCTCAGGGAGAAATATGAGCAGGTGCTGCAGCTGTTTGAGCTGCATTTTGACCTCCCAGAAGAGCCAACGAACAGTGCACGACAAAACATCCTGAATGAAAGCTCTGAGCCTCGCTCTGCATTTAACTAAGGAAACCAAATTATTTGTGTTGAAATAAACGACTGATCATCCACTGTACAATAAAGTTTAAACTGTTTTTTGTTTACTTGTTTATGACTTTTCTGGTCAGTATTTGGGTTACATTATTTGTTGATCACTTCCTCTATAATACTCACACACAAAGCGTAAAATTAATTTAGGGTCAAACACACCGTAACACTGAGTTAGACACCCCCTCGAGAGATGAATGTTGCCGACCGCTTGCTTCTCTAGTTATACCAACTTTATTAATGACCGCACAATAGCAATACACAGTGGTCTGAGGAGCCATTAACAAACCTCAACCAAAAAGCCACTCTATAGCCACAAATAATGCTCAGAACAGCACCTAACTTCATCAACAGTACATAAGGGTCCCAGCCACAGGACTAGCCACCAAACAGCTTTTAAACTTTGCCTAATTTCTGTAAGAGACTAAATGCAACTCACCTTCTCTCTTCCAGCAGCCGCTTGTTTGTAGGGAGACCTCAGGCCAGTCCATTACGGAGTGCAACATGGTGACGCAGCTCAAGGAAGAACATTTATGATCATTTCTTTATCATTTCCGTGAAGTAAAAATCATCATATTAATCATTTTGCACTGCAGACACAGTAGTTCTTCCGCATTAGCGTCTCGGTCTGATTGCATTTCAAGGAAGAAGGCAGCTCAAGGAAGAACATTCATGATCATTTCTTCATGGAAATCCAATCAGAAGAAGAACTACTGCGTCTGCAGTGCAACATTATTAATATGCTGATTATTACTTCAAGGAAATGATAAAGAAATGATCATAAATGTTCTTCCTTGAGCTGCGTCACCCCGCAGCAGTCCGTAATGGACTGGCCTGAGGTCTCGCTACAAACAAGCGGCTGCTGGAAGAGAGTAGGTGAGTTTTGTTTAGTCTCTTTGCTAAAGAAATTAGGCAAAAAAGATGCTAAAAAGCTAAGCTAAGCTAAGCTAAAAAGATGTTTGGTGGCTAGTACTATGGCTGGGACCCTATATGTCCTGTTGATGAAGTTAGGTGCTGTTCTGAGCATTATTTGTGGCTATAGAGTGGTGTTTGGGTTAGGCGCGTGGGACCGCTGTGTATTGGTATCGATCGTTACTAAAGTTGGTATAACGAGAGACGCAAGCAGTTGGCAACATTCATCTCCCAAGGGGGTGTCCAACTTGGTGTTACGGTGTGTTTGACCCTAACTTAATTTTACGCCGGAATATCCCTTTAACCCCTTATAAAACTGTTTACATGCTGTCAATTGGTTTGTTATGACTTATAATCCAACTAAGCGAAGCTGCAGGTGTTCCTGTTTGGGTTTGAAGGCATGTAGCACTGAACTCGTCTTATTTTTATCCTCAGGAAGAGCTCTACTGCTGGTGGGCCGAGTGGGACACTCGTTTGTTAGTTTATTTATTTCCCATGGCCAATTACCAGGGCAGGTTTGTGTCAACACAGAGGCCAGCTTCCTGTTATTACTGACCACACACACACACATGCTTGCATATACAGACCTGTAATATATGTTCTGTAATTGTATGCAGGCACGCAGACAGACAGACTAATGTGGCATACGCACAGGACACATCCACAAACAACCTCACATCCTCGTCTGTAAAGGTCTGTAAACTCACCTCATTTCTTAAACACAAACTCAGAAAAAGGTACAAAGCAAATAATGAGTTAAAGTAAATGCTTTTTCTAAAAACTGGCATTGGTTTGTTTTTCTGTAGCCCCTTTCATATGGGTGAGTGCTTTTTCACTGTTTAAAGGTGATTTAAAGTCGATAATTTTTAGCCTGTTATCCAAAATAACATAAAAAACATGTATTTGACCTTTTCCTTTATATGTCTTCTGCAGTACTCGCCTCTTGCAATATGAGCCCAGAATTACCATTTAAGAAGCTATACTATAGAGCTGTAGAGGTGTTCTGCTGAAAGTAATGGCATGACTTGCCTGGTTATAACTGTGGCAGAGCATCCAGTGTTTGGCCAATGATCTACAGTGCATTATTGATGAGAGCACAGTTTAAATTGATATACGATAAAACTCATTGTGTGTTTTTTTTATGAATGGAGAAGCTGCTCAAACTACAACATCACCGCTTCACATCGGTTTATACTTCACATGAACCTGTAGGACTTGCGTTTGCATGTAAATGCAGCTGATTCGTGTCTGTCTCGGAGCGCCGTTTTAGTGAATGAATCAGTGCAGCAGCAGTAGTAGTTTCTGGAGTGTGTGGGCGGCTGTTTGAATGAAAGACGAGTCCATCCTTGTTCAAACGTCCTTGAGCGAGATAATGAATGCGTATCAGCTTGAAGGATGCTCTCTCTCTCTCCCCCTCTTTCTCTCTCTCTCTCTCTCTCTACCACAAACATACACACAATGAACCACACACACTCAAACAAAGGATCCATCTCTGCCTCCTCACTGACCTTGTCTTTTGCGTCTGCAATCGTGATACAACTGAGATGGACTGTTGATGAGGAGTGCAACTGTGGAACTTCTGTTTGTCTGCTCTTGGCTCATTTTATTAGCATTTGCTTATACGATTATCAATAGTAGAATTGACTATCTGTATATTTTTCAACCTTTTTCTCTTCAATCGCTTGTCCATAAACAGGTGTATCCAATTTATTTTAATGTAATCATGATACATGAGCCGTGAGTCTTTACATCTGACTCTTACCCAGTGGCAGTACCACAAGACATTGAAATTACAAATGTCAAAAGCCTCCGACTGTTATCCACAAAATATTCTCAGATTTATTAAAAAGCATTTATCGGGGTGTCAGTGGGCTGGCAGCCTCAGTGGGGCTCAGGTACAGAGACTGCAGTCCTCATCCCAGAGGTGGCTCGTTTGACTCTTCGCACTGACCTTTTGCTGTGTGTCCTCCCATTTCCTGTCTCTCTTCAGCTGTCCTATTTGATAAAGGCAAAATAGCCCAAAAAACATTATTTCAAAACAAAATTTAAAGCATTCATTCCAAAGGTTCAAGCAAGATGTGTTCATACTTTCCCTATTAGGAGTTCAGTCAGGTCCCTTAAGTCCTTTGAGTGTTAAGTACGTGACTCAGAAGGAAGAGGGGTATGAAGTGTTGGCATGAAAATTTTTAAGCACAATAACATTAACTCCCCAGGTCGCTTTCTCTCTGGAGAAACACTGACCTCAGGACAAAAGAATGAAACCTTATCGCTGCAAAAACTCTCGCTGGAATTCCTCGCCGGTGAATGAACAACATCAGACCCTGTTTGTGTGGCTGTGTCTGTGTATAGTCTGTCACTGTGTGTGTGGGTGTGTATGTGTGTGTATGTGTGTGTACTTCCATATAGGCCCAACTCAGATGAGTGGACATACTTGCGCAAATATCTAATGCTTGTCTTTGTCTCTCTTTCCTCTTTGCTTCTTCCCTTGTTTTCTGCAGTGTCATTCTCTTTTCAGGCCCTCCTGGAGTCTACAGTCAGCTAAGCATCTAGGTGTTTACTGGAAGCATCTAGCCTGTGATCTAAACATTTTCCCCTTATGGTATTGTCTGTTTTTCTGCTTTTTTACTGAGAAGTAAGGGTCGGATCCCAATGTCTGAAAAAGGGAGCAAAGGAAGCAAGATACAGCAATAAAGTTCAGTTTAATTTCAGCGTGCCCTTAGCCAAGCTCTTCAGTAAACCAGCTCCTTTAAAACAGCCAAATATAGTTTCTCCTGTTTGTCGTTGGAATGCTGTATAATTCTGATGTTGGGCTTATTTGACCCAAGCTCTTTAACTCTTAGTTTTTCCTGCAAAGACATCTTTTAAAATAGTATTATTTTCAGCTAAATAACTGGGTTTTTTAGCGACGTATTTTTTGCGCCTTCTTCATGCGTCTAGCTTTTACCGCAGAGCTCAACAACTCACGCCTGAGTGATAAAACAGGTTTTTCGCAACACTTTTCTTGTCACCATTAACGACATAGCTCTTTTGCTGCCACCTACTGGTTGCTGGTGCGCACTTATCTCTCGCGCAGGTGCAGGGTCATGAAGGCCTGAGGGCACAAATGGCTTTTGAACAGTTTTAATCTAAAGTTTTAAAGCAGCTCACCAGCTACAAAATATTTACCTTCACATATGACCACAACATTTGATCCCTAAAAAAAAAAAGGGTTTTATTATTTAACATTTTCACCTAGTTTTTAAGAACCTATGCTGTTATGGGGTCTACCTCTCTCCTTGTTAAGAGTGGTGTGGTAATTCCCTTGCGCCAACTACTGACCAGATGCGACTGTTTGCCATAGTTTCCAGTCTACCCATGACTTAGTTCTTCAAAGCTTCATCACACCAAGTTTGGTATATCTTTAAACTGACAAATATAAATCCCTCCTAAAATCCAAACTAATTAACTTTTTCTGATAGGTCTATAAATCTTAATAGTTGCATATCCAAGACATAGATATAAACAACGTGGTTTATCTTCATTACAACCACACAATGAAGGAAAATGTTAGGTAGTCACAGAAAAAAAACTCTCCAGTTCCTCATGTTTGTCTTTCAGGCTTTCAGACATCCATCAGGTTAAGTGTCTGAACATAAATCTTTGCCTATTTCGGGGCATAAAGCTTTTCTTGCATGACTCACTCTGTTCCATGACGTGCTGTGCTAAGGAAAATTTGATTTTGGAAAAAGTCTATGGATGACCGAGTCAGACAAATCATTAGGCCCCTTTGTTTCCATAAGTTCCACGACAACACTTCACATAAAGTGCATGAAGTTATCCGTTTTACTTTTTTGCAAAATATTTACAACATTCACTGGTACAGACTACAATCATATTCATTTGTTTAAGCGGTCTTTAATTTCCCTTACTCCAGTGTACAGAAGAATGCAAGCTTTCCCATGTTATACTTACTTATTATCTGCTGAGTTTATGTCTGAAAAATTAAATTCATCAACATGTGGTATCATAACAATGCTAACTAAAAAAGAGCCAGAGAATCAGCCTTGTACGCATCTATAATTGGATCAATAATCAATACATTATGTTTGCACTAAAAAAAAAAAAAGCGTCTTATATCTTATTTGTGGTCATTCAATCCAACAGGTGTCATAGTAGGGCCTGTAATTCAACCATATCAGAGGGATTCATATCCAGATTAGTTATCCTGTTGACATCTTGGTGACCGAATGATAACATTCAGGACAACAACAGGACACAACTTGCAGAAATAGGGCAAAAGAGAAAATGATGGTTGAAAGGGAATATGTCCAGACACCCTCCACCTCTTCCTCCCCCTCCCCCTCCACCTCCTTTTGAGGCCTGAGTCTATGGAGGGAAGGAGCCGTACGGAGGTGGGAACTCTGGGATATAGGACGGATGGATGGCTTGTTAAGAGGGCGGTGAGGTATTACTTTTAAAGTTTCTCTCCACCCCCGTCGGAAGTAAGCAGGACAGACAGCCGACGGCTTTTCCAGAGGATGGGAAACCTGGAGGCTGGAATTACTGCTCATTTGGAGAAGGTACTCACTGGAGACACAGCTGCTGCTCAGCTATGAAGCCTGAACCTTAAATCTTTACCGTCCAATGTGTCTATCTTATTCTCCACAGGCCCATGCTTTTAAATTACACTTGTTTAGTAGGATTTATGTACACCTTTAATCTTAAAAAATCATCTTCTGGGACGCTGTCAGTGTCAACAACATACATACCGCTGATATCTCATGTTTTATTTTGACTTTATAATATAACGGGTGCACTGAGAAAAGTTTTAAATCATGATAAGACAAATAGGACATCTATTTCTGTCATACATTGCTGTCTCTTCTGGTCCTTTGACATGTGCTTTCCTTTAATCTGACCTCTCATACTTCACATTTTTTTTAAACTTCAGTTTTGAAATGATACAGTTTGATTATTCTACTTCAGTTGACTTGGAAACTCGAGGGTCTGCAAGATTTGCGAGGTCTGCTGTAGGTGGTGGACAATTCTAAAACCTTCTCAGCAGATCTTGATATGAGCACTTGCACTGTAAAACACCTTTAGATGATCAAACCTGCTTGAGCTATGCTATCTTGTCACCATACGCATCAAGTTTTTCAAGTTAATGGTCCATTTAAGGATTAAGAAGGGGATAGGTTACAGTTTGTTCTATATTTTTTTTATCTTTTGGACAAAAGTCTGTAAATAATCCATGAACTTCACCCTGAAGTTTCCTCAAATACACTAATCAGAAGATCTCAGCCAGTATTGCAAAGTGATAAAGGTAAGGTGATAATCTCCACCCTTCATACTGACACAAAAGCATGATAGCACTGCCTGACCTTATGCAAGAATTAGATCCCACATGAGAGGGGATTAGCCATGCTAAACTCCCCAAATAGTAGCAGTGTACCTTAAAGGGATATTCCGGCGTAAAATTAAGTTAGGGTCAAACACACCGTGACACCGAGCTAGACACCCAGTTGAGAGATGAATGTTGCCAACCTCTTGCTACACTTAGTTATACCAACTTTAGTAATGACCAAACGATAGCAATACACAGCGGTCCCAGGCACGCGCTCAACCAAAACACCACTCTATAGCCACAAATAATGCTCAGAACAGCACCTAACTTCATCAACAGTACATATAGGGTCCCAGCCACAGTACTAGCCACCAAACATCTTTTTAACTTTGCCTGATTTCTTTAGCAAAGAGACTAAACACAACTCACCTACTCTCTTGCAGCAGCCGCTTGTTTGTAGCGAGACCTCAGGCCAGTCCATTATGGACTACAGCGGGGTGACGCAGCCCAAGGAAGAACATTTATGTTCCTTACTTCATGGAAACGCAATCAGACCGAGACGCTAAGGCAGAAGAACTATCGCGTCTGCAGTGCAAAATGATTAATATGATGACAAAGAAACGATCATAATCAAACTAACCTGTGTGTACAAAGGTACAGATTTATATTTTCACTTAAATTTTATGTCAGATAAGGTCAAAGGTCAGGGTCAGCATGAGCTGCTGGAGGTCAAGTATAAAAAAATTATATGGTACAAAACCAAAGGATAAAATACAAAATAAAACTTGACAAAACGATATGAAATGATATGAAACAGAGGGTCAAAGGTCAGGGGTCTGCAAAGCCCCCCTAAAAGAGATGGTAAAAATACACTATATGACACAAATAGACAGTTACAGAATATTTTTCCACTCTAGCAATTGATAGGCAAAAAACCCTGTTCCTGATGATGTCTAGACTCTCATTGATAAAAAAAAAAAAAAACACGATTTCAGAAATGAAATGTGTGTTACTTGGGAAGAGTGAGTGTGTGTTTGTGCATGACGATGTTCTGAGTTGGGACAATTGCTCAGCCTGGGGATGAATGAGGTCTGTGGATGGCTTTTTTTTGTATGAATGTGTGTTTGTGTGCGCCAAAGTGGACGGGAAGAGCAGGTGGAGGGGACAGAGAGGGAGGAGCGGTGAGGACGTGGGCAAGTGATTCTCCAGATGAGATCTAATATGTGAGACGATGCATCCTTAAGAGACGTTTTCTCATGGGCCCACCCCATGAATACAAATTCACCTCCGCCACCCGATCGGCGCTGGAAGGACGGATGCACCTTGCTTCAACCCATAGTGGAGAAGTACAGCTTTTCTCTTTTTTTTTTTTTTTACACCTAGACGTTTATTCCCATCCAATCACAAAACTCAACTGAGGTGACTTCACAGCAGCTGTTATGAGTCATCCATTCATACCTTTGTCTTGAAACTGTATCTGTTTGCTCTCATTCTGTGTCATGGGGCCTCGTATTTATAATGACGGAGCGAGTGACTGCGAGCATGCAGGCCCAAACGTGAAATGTTGCCAACAAGGAGCAGCAGGTGAGTTTGTCAGAAGAGGAGGAAAATGTGGAAAATAATCAGTCTGCTGCTTCTGTGTGCTGACCTCTGGGGTTATCTGAAACAGGTTGCATACTTGTGTAGGTGTGTGTGCAAGTTAGTGGGTCTTCTTCTCCGTTTGAGTGTGTTTGATTCATTTTAGCGTAACTGCAAGCTTGTGAAAATGTCTATGAGTGTATATTTATATGTTTGCATATGTTCATAGATGTTTACTTGCTTTTGCGAATCTGTTTGTGAGAGGAAAAGAGAGCGAGATAGAGATAAGAGTCTGTAAATCTACCAGAGCTGGTCTTCATGACATCACAATTTGGGAGGATCTTAGTGGCCAGGAAAGTCAATTAGAGTTAAACTGAGTTTACCAGCTGAGCACTTAGTATAAGACAGAAAAAAAAGAGGAAAAAGGAGTGTGTGTGAAGGAGGGAGAGCAAGAAAGAGAGAGAGAGAGAAAGGGGGAGGAGATACAAAAGGGAGGAACAGAGTGAAGAGGAAGGGAGAGAGAGACATAGTAAGGAAGGTTTAGGGAACAAGAGGGAGTTGTTGCTGAGGATACAGTTCAGACAGAGAGATAGACACAACTCCTGTAGCTTCCTAACGCGTACAGTGTGTTTTAAACAACCAGGAGTGGAAGTGCAGGCAGCAGAGAAAGGGTGTTGCCTACTAGCAGAGGTCAAGCAGGCGAGCAGGCAGAGGGGAAGCCGGTGGATGTTTTTAAGAGTTTGCTTATCTGACACTGACAACAGGATGAGAAGCTGAGCAAGGGCACAAAGAGGGGGGAGAGAAACATGGAGGGAACAGTCTGTTTATATAGGAAGCATAGAAGAGACAGGCGCTGGTTACCTTGAGAGAGGTGGAAGAAAAGAAGACAAGAGAAGGGGGGAAAAAAAGAGGTAAAAGAAAAAAAGTCCACTTTGTCCGTTTTGTCCAAAGGAGTGGAAGCAAGAGCCGAGGGATCGTAACACTGGAGCTCAAGGATAAACCATGGACTCTGCATACATCCCACTACACCTGGACGTGAGTACTACATCCCCGCCACACACACACACGCACGCACACATACACACACTCACATCTGTCCGTCTGTCAAAACCACAAGCCTCAGGAACTGTGCTGCTGAAACCATTAGTTACTCAGGGGATCAGCTCACACACACACACGCACACACATGCATACACTGCTGGCACACACTGTTGCTCAATCAAAATCTTGTCCAGTGAGCAACTCGTCCAAGAATAATGTGCCCATTATGAGTTCAAAGAGCATAACGTAATCCCACGCCACTGCAACATGCTCGGTATGAATCGGCCCTCAGTGTGAACGCTCGGGAGCTTTTAATGTGAAAAGCAGAGGTGTGTTTTTGTTCCGTATTTCACGTCGGTTAAGCTGTCAGACATACGATGAGAGCAGCCTCAGAGCTTTCAGCAGTCATGGCTCAGATATGCCAGTATTTCCATTGATGCCTTCGCGGTGTTGTGCCTCAGCGGGGCCTCCCGTTAACCACAATGCACTTGTGAGACTCAGACCTCCGGGTATCACTGGCTTGACACACAAGAGGAGGTGCTGCAGGGGAGGAAAGAAGCATGAGGATGAATGAAAGATCTTTAAAGACACGGCAACCTGTAGGAGCTTGGCTAAAACTCAAAGACTAAAACTCAGGGTGTAAACCAGAAATACACGTTCAAGCAAACTTCCATCTAACAACCCAGTTTGTCCACAGTTACACATGTCCGCTCGTGTATCTGTTTATTAGCCTTCACTCCACCCAGCAATCAGCATGTTTGAACCTTGTACTGTTCCCAGCATGTGCGTGTGCATGTGTCTACGTATACGTGTGTATGCATGCGTGTGCATGTCCAAACTGATACCTAACGTCTTGCACGTATCTATCAACCCATTTCCTTTTAGCATTCAGCATGTGTTGAAACCTAATGCTGTTTAAGCGTGTGTGAGGACTGTGCATGTGTGTGTGTGTTTCCAAACCATACCCAACTCATTTCACATATTTACACCCCTACTTTTGTGAATGTGTTCCTGCGTGTGTTTGTGCTCACTCCCTCTGGCAATTAGCATGTGTTTGAATGTTTGAACCCTCTGCTTCCAAGTGCGAATGTGTGTGTGTGTTGCATGGTGTGTGTGTGTGACATTATATACAGTTTGACGTCCAGGTCATTAGCCTGCTAATCGGCCCAGCTGGAATGAATTAGCGAGCTGTTTTAATGGAGGGCAATAAAACCCCACAGCAGCTTACCTGGAATATTGTTTTAATGATTTCATCTGCTATGAGCCAAACCACAACTCCAACAGCAACTGTTTTGGACACCACTCACTCTGCCGTGTTACATATTAACACCAAAGCTCAAAGATGTCTATCAATGTCCAGTTAAGTGTGGGGATTATTGAAGTCGTAATCTTTTAGTTTTGCATCCGAACTTTGTTGTGCATGGGCAGAAAAGGAGCAGCAGTGACAGCAGATGTATCCTGAGAGGTGTATATTTAAGCTCAACATCACATTTGTGATCACAAGGCTCTCTGCCACGACATTTTTTGAAGTATCTGAATAAGCTCAGAGCGAGTAAACGAACCCTGTGGCACATATCATATTCTGCGAGGATAAAACAGCAGCATAGAAAAATGAGAGCTTGAAGGGGGTGAGGGTGGGGGGTCAGGGCAAATGAGAGGAGGAATTTGGGAAAAGAAACACGGGAAGAACAACAGGAAGGGAAAGTTGAGGGACCAGGGGTAACATGAAGACAGCGGCGGTGGATAAATCAGCCGGCTGCGGTGACACTCCGGCCCTCTGGCCCGGCAACAGTCGGCCGCACTCTTCCGCAAAAACACCATTCATTAAAGGCCTATAGGAAAAAAAAAGAGCAGCGAAGAGGGATAGGGAGAGAGGGAGGAAGAGACTGGGAAGGTGATGCACAGATTTATCAAATGAGAATTAATAAAGCACTTTAGTAGAAAGGAAGCAGAAAAGCGAAAAGTAACTACTATCCAACAATGAAGACGCAGCAAAAGGACAAAGTTCAGAGAATGCTAAAAGGAACGAGGAAGGGGAAAGGGCACGAGGTTGCAAATAAACAGATAAAAAGAAAGGAAGAGAGAGCAGAGCGGACACCAGAGGTCAGAGGTTTTAATCAGCGAGTTCAAAAAGACACGAGGCAGGCGGGTGACGACACTTGTCTGCCTCGCGCCGGGGTCACGCTACGTCTCAGGAGATCAGGTCACATCTAATATGTCTAATAACACATACAGTGCAAAGCAAAGCAAAACACCAGTGGATTCCCAACCCTTTGTTTCACCTTATCTCTCACCCATTCATCACACAGCTCCTCCAAACATTTGATTAGTTTGTGCCAGAGAGAGCGAAAGAATCCAAAGATTACAGTAAGGAAGGGGCAGTCAGATATAAAAAGCAGGAACTGTGTGATCATAAAAATGTCTGCGTTTCCAGATAACTGGAATGAGTGGACATTAGGGTGGGTGGCACCCTGATGCACATGGCGCATAAAGATACTAAATTAGGCCAGGAAGCTCTTTGCCTGAGTCAGACCTAGTCACAACAGAGAGATCAGTATGTCAAAGTGATGAAGTGGTAAAGCTGGCCTCTTTTTTTTTTTGCAAACCTGCTTTTTTCTCATTTTCGTCAGTGTTTATCCGCCTTGCACAGGCTGTGACAGACCCTAAAAACCTTTGAACCTCCTCCTTTGAGTCACCTGGGTGGTTTTTGTAGGTGAGGAAAGTACAGGAGAGAGGTGTTTTTGTCCTTAATCTGCTGTACAAGTCTCCTCAGTGTATGGGAGAGGCTGTCCGGCAGAGTGTCTAATCTGTAATTGTCCTCTGCTGCATGCCTCAGGTGAAACAACTCTGGGTGGAGCTGAGAGAGTTTAATGGATAGCTAGGACAATCCCACGCTTGGAGGTGGCTTATTTTCCCAGGCCTGCCCTTTGAACCTCGAACCACACCAACAACACACACATACACAAGGCAAAAAGCATAAAACACACACACCTTCACACCTGTGACCTCCTTTTAACCCTTTTTCTGACAGCATGGTGAGATTAGCAGTCATTACAGCGTCATTATGTGTTTACTCGGCTGTATACGCTCCTGTTATCTTGTTGTAAAGGGTAAAATCAATTCTCTGTCCCGAGAGAGATTAGATAAAACAGATAGAGGAGACAGATATGACGGAGAGCTTGGACAAGGAAAGAGATAACAGCATATGAGTTCATCTTTGTGTGAGAGTCAGACTGCTCAGGTGCTGCTTCCTTTGAAATACTCCACCGGGAAGAGTAAAAGCACTCTGTTCCTGTCTGTGTCGCACTTTGATTCATGAAAAGATCTGATTTTCTTGTTTCAACAGGATTATTTCTGTTTACCTGACCTGTTTAGATCTCATTCTGACCCCTTTAGGTCAAGAGGGCTGTTAACTTGCTGGTTTCTAATTACCAGCCCAGTTATTAACACATGCACTTAAGAGGGCCAGGGTGTTAGCCAGGTCATGGTAGTAATTGTGTGACCCCTGTTAGTGGTAATGTTCCCGCACTGAGAACAGCCATGGAGAAAGACAAGCTGAGTCGGCTGAAAGAGTTTCAGGCTGTGACAGAGCATGAAAACCATCAGACTTCTTTCATAACATCTTAATATATCATGTAGCTGCTCTAAAAAGCAAAAAAGTTTAGCATTTTGAATTCAAAATACAACATTAGATCTGGGAAATGCTAAAAGAAAAAACACTTCTGCTGAATTTTAAGTGATATTGACGTTTGGAGCAGCCATCATGCATACTATAAAAGATTAAATATTTGGAAACAGCATAATCAAAAATCTTGCTCAGCTCAGCAGCTGAGCAAGGATGGATCCTCAAGGATTTAGAGCCAGTCAAAGCATACTCTGCCCAAGTCACCAAGAAATCACAGGGCTGACATAAACATAGAAAATAAGGTCACCAAATCATTGCACGTCTGTACAAAGGAATAACATACTGACTCATGCAGAAAGGTTCCTGCTTGGTTTGAACCATGAACTGTCTTGCTGTGAGGCACTTTGAGGAGTTATATCTGGTTTTAGAATAGTTTTATGGTCACACCGATGCCTCACGACACAACATGTTTGGTTTTCCCTATATATCAAATTTAAGTTCCTGTGCCGGAGTCAGAGTGTAAGAAGTCGAGTTGATGTTTGGCACTTTCCTGTAAGCATCAGTTTTTAAACTTTGTTTTTTAACTTTCTTTTCAATAAAGTTTTGCCATCATGGCTGATACTGTAGCAAGATAAACAAAATGACTTAGAGTATTTTTTTTCTATTTGAAGTACTGTAAAAGAGAAAAGGGGTTGTGAAGGGAGTTTAATTTGATGGATGCATCCGAAAACAACACAAAAGAGTCAGATTGTTGGTATATTTTTGATACCATTCAGACATTTATTGGGACCTGTGAGCACACATTATGACACCAGGGATGTTACAGGTACAGTTAAACATAAACTTTTGTAAACTAACAGCAACGAATCAGGGTTTGAAGGCTTTGTTTTTGGTATATCACAGCTAATTATTAATGTCTCTTTCAAAAGGTTTCCTTGAACAAAGAAAATAAGGGGTCACACGTAGATTCTTTCTTCTTTCATTTCTGGAACAAAAACACACTGAGTGATTGAAAGTGCTCATGGGAAATGTAGTTTTCATCCCCAAAACACTACAAATGTCACCAGAATGAACAAAACATAAAAATTATTCATAGTTGCCACCTATCCCTTGAGTATCCTGGATGTCATTTGATTTTTTGTGTGTGTAAAATACAGCAGGTTAAAGCTTCTGTGAGGAACTTTCAGTTTGTTTCCATCTGTACCCTCTACTAAACAGTCATTGTCTCTGTAGTGTCCTCTGAAAGAAATATCTTTGACAGTCAAACTATCATGTTTTGGGAAAATTTCACTTAGAAAACAAAACAAAAACCAGCTACTTGGCTGAAACTTACCCCCCTGCACCAGTTTCAGGCACTTAAAAGTACAAGATAAAAGTCGTCAGTCTTTTCATGAGGGGTTTTACTTGCTTTTGTACATCATAAAAAAGTATATTTATTGATATAAAAGAATCCTCATAGGAGCTTTGAACAGGTAAATAAAACTGTCAGTATATGTGAAGAAAAAAATCAGTGTAATAGGTACTCTGTGTTGTTAGGGTCTGTTTAAGGTTTCTTTTTTGTAATTTTATGTATAATAACCACTAAAAGCTGAAAGCTGAAAAGGCTTCTTTAGCTCCAAAGGATTCCTGTCATCCTCATTGACTTACAAAAGTTGAACCAAAAATGATAAAAAACAAATATTCTCCAGTGGTTTGAAAAGGAACATAGATAAAAAACAGATATCCATCATTGTGAAAGGTCCTTTAACTTCATTACCTGTCAGTGAAGTCCACCACATATGATGAATGCTATTTATTTTTCACAAACAACAATTTGATTTCTTTTACTCATAAATAAGCGGCATTAAATCCAGTCCAATTACACATCGAGACCTCTTTACTCCTGTTTGGTGTCATAGGAGATATATGGTCCTTGGGGGTCTACAGTTTGCCATAAATTAGCCAAGAAAAAACAAAGCAGCACAGTTTCTACAGCAAGAAGTAATGAGCATACAACTTCGTATGGATATGTGGATAGTAAATTTCTTGAACATATGTCACATGAAGGCTGAAGACTAATGAGAAACTGGCGTGTCCAGGAAGGAGAGGACATAAGCATGATATACAGAGTACAGGAGCATCTCAGGGCAGCTATCTGTTTTGCAGATTTCTCGACCAATACTTTATATGGCTTTGTTATGTCATATGAGTTATGTTGTCTCTGAGTAAAACACATCATTTCTAAGCACCTAAATGCAAAAAGACTCCTGCACAGCCTGCCTATACATTGTTTCTTCTCATCCCTCCAGGTCCACCATGCTCCCTGCTAACCTCCTGCTCCTCATGGTCCTGCTGCTACCTCAAGCCTCGTCTGGTCGCCAGGGTGGAGACACCAGCGAGATCAACCATGACAGGGTGTCCTCCATGCCTTCCTCCTTGTCGTCCCCACCGGCTGGTTCCTTCTTAAAGCCCAGCCTGGCTCAGACCATCCAGAGTCTCCTCTTGAGCCGTCTGGGCCTACAGTCACAGCCCGACCCTCGGCCTGGGGTGCCAGTGCCCCAGTACCTCCTAGATCTCTACCGCTTCCACCAGCAGCAGTACCACTTAGTGGAGGATCCATCATTTAGCTTTCCAAGCCAACACATTCAGCAAGCTAACACCGTACGCAGCTTTCACCACAATGGTAAGCCCAAACTGGGTTGTACTAGTTATTGAATCACAATCAAAATAGCTGCTCTGTCATTAATGCGCACATAGTCTGTGTTCCTTTTATCAGCCACAAATGAAGTATAAAGAGTTTGTATTGGAACAGTTGCAGATTTCCTGACTGCTCCTCTCTCAAAACATATGTTTGGGCAAAACTAGAAATCTCACACATTGTTTTGGAATCTATTCAACAGTTCCTAGCATGGCCAGATTAATTCATTAATGGAAACTGGGGCAAATATCTCCTTTTGAGTCAACCCACCCTACTTGTGCATTGTTTGGTAGATTTCTTTTATCTGATATCTCTCTTTCACGACTTGATAAATACAGTATAGTAAGTCGCTTCACATTATCACTGGTTTACACCACACTTAATGCTAATGCTCTTTGTCTTTCTCCTTTCCTTGCTCCTAGAACCCCTCGCTGATGGTTCCAAAGCAGAGGATCACAAGAAGGTGCACATCTCCTTCAATATTTCCTCCATCCCTCAAGATGAGAGACTCCTCTCTGCTGAGCTTCGGATCCTACGCAATGACAGGGCCTCGCTGGGCCCTGGAGCCCACAGACTAAATGTATACCTCTCTGAGCACCATGAGGACCCTCAGTCTACCCTGCTGGAAACAAGGTTGCTCAGCACTGGTCTCCAAAGTGGTTTATGGGAGGCTTTTAGCTTGAACACAGAATTCCTCGATAAGGCTCTTACTGGGACTGGCAGCCTGGGCTTTCTCTTGGAGGTCAGACCTGAGAACAGCACCACTTTACTCCCAAATCAGAATGTCTCCTCTGCTGCTGGTGAGGAGCATGTAGAGAAGCACAAAGAGGGACACCTAAGGGTACAAAGGTCTGTGGGTCAGGACGAGCACAGCTGGGCCCAGGAGAGACCACTCTTGGTGACTTACAGCCATGATGGGCGTGGGGAGCCCTTGGTCAAACATGGCAGGAGAACCCCCAGTGGTGGCCACAGGTTGAGAGGGAGAAAAGGTAAAAAAGAGAGGGGCAGGAGCGGCGTTAAGGAACATAACAGAGAACAAACTTTGAGGAAGGACAAAAAAAAGGGGTATAATAGTCCAGGCTGGGGGGTTGACAAAGGCGGAATCAGTTGGAGTGATCGTGGAAGGGTTAAGAGAAATGGTGGCCGTGCCGCAAAACTGAAGCGCCTTTCCCGTAACAGATGCCGTCGTCATCCTCTATATGTAGATTTCAACGATGTGGGCTGGCACAAGTGGATCATTGCACCAAGTGGCTATGACGCCTTCTTCTGCCTGGGAGAGTGTCGCTTCCCTCTGGCCGACCATATGAACTCATCAAGCCACGCCATGGTTCAGACTCTGGTAAACTCTGTGAATGGAGCAGTGCCCCGGGCCTGCTGCGTCCCCACCTCCCTCAGCCCCATTGCCCTGCTCTACCTGGATCCCCAAGACAGAGTAGTTCTGAAGAATTACCAAGACATGGTGGTGGAAGGCTGTGGATGCCGGTAGTGGGCTGAAGCATTCACCCAGAGAAAGTCAGACTAGGACGGAGGAGCATCGAGAGAAGAGAAAAAGAGAAAGCACGGGAAGGCAAATGACGGGAAGAAGAGACTGTAGCCGACAGAGACTGATCGAGAAAAATGTAGCAGCTTCAGAGAAATGAGCAAGGGAGAGGCGGCGAAGGGGAGGCATATAGCAGCAATATCATTATCAGGAGCAAGATAAAAGGGTCAGACATAGGAAGAAAAAGAGTGAGAGATAGTCCTAATGTGCCACACAGCAGCATAAATGATGAGACAAAAGGCAACATATGTAAACTGCCTGGAATTACTGTTCAGTGTTTGCCCGTATGCTGACGATGCAGCTGTCTTCACATCAACAGACAGGCTATGTGTTCTATCATGAAAAGCCAGTGCTTTAACATACAAGGTGTCCTATCTATACTGCAGTGTTTTCCACCCATTATGCTCTCATATGATTGCCTGATAGGCAAGCGCACGCATGTTAAGCTGTTGTGGAGTGAAGCTTAAAGGGTGAACTGCCACAGTAGGCAGTTGAGGGAGTTGGAGCAGGATTTTGCAGCTTTTTTCGATGGAAGTCCTGATGATTATTTGCAATATGACAATGACACTGGCACAGTATCCAAACTGTGCATTAGTGTTGTTTCTGCAGGGTGCATTTGTTTTCATGAACAGTGGTTCGGTGATCTACTGTCACCTACAAGCACCCCTTCATCACTAGCTATTTAAAACCACAACAATAATGCTGAGGATCTATTATGTTATAGTCTGAATGTACTGCATCACTATTATTTAAAAAAGAGACTTTTTGTACATTTATTTTGCAGACATGAAGAAAAATCCAAGTGATAATTGTCATGTGATTATGCATAATTCCACTGAATGCAACTCTAACTTAAAAGATACATTATGTATTTAAACAGCAGCAATATGTTGTATTTAATCTTGAAAATATTTAAGATAGTTGCACTCAACAGAGCGTACAGCAAACCGAGAGCCTGCCATCCGCATGAAGTAAGTTATAGTAGCTTTACATTTGTACAACCGTTCAGTGTATTGAATTAACAGTCTGTGTTACTTAAACATCCCACCTTATCATTGCACACATTTTGGTGTACAACAGCTCAACTAACAAGCCAACTGAAGGCTCTGTGTATTGTAGCTACTGAAGTGTTGTGTCTGCATGTGTTAAGAAAAAAAAAAAAAAGGAAAACTGATAATAAATCTGGGACTTTTGTGCCTTTCAAACAGGGGCTCTGAAAGTGTTCTCTGCTGAGCTTAGTAACTGTTTTTCAGTGTTGCATTTTTCTCTCTCAATGGAAACATTTAAGCAACAGCTTGTAAAATGTTTGACAATATACCTCTAATAAACAAAGCAAACAGCACGGGTGTCACGAGACTTTTCTTTGGCATTAAGTGTTACATCCCTTTTGGAAATGTTGAAATATCAATGCAGGGGAAAAGCAATACATGTTTTCTTTTTTCTTCTTTTTTCTTCAGCCTACACTGGAACTATGGCCTCATTCAGGAAGAAAAAGGAGGCCAGATGTTCCCAGAGAGAGCATAATCTAAATAGATTTGTGTATATGATACTTAAGCAGAGGAAATACCTTCATATTCTCACATTAAAACAGCTGCATACCTGAAGTTTAAATGCAAGGGATACGGCCTTATCTGCCCTTCACACCTTACAGCAAAAACCACAAACCTGATGTGCCATTTAGCACAACCAATTATGACTACTGTGCACCTTTCTGACAGAGACAGGGGATGGAGATCAAGATGAAGATCCAGATTCCTTCGACTGATGGCTCTGTATCAACCCCATCAGTCATTAAAGGGATATTCTGGCATAAAATTAAGTTAGGGTCAAACGCACTGTAACACTGAGTTAGAGACCTCAGGTGAGTTCATTACTGCAGCAGGGTGACGCAGCTCAAGGAAGAACATTTATGATCATTACTTTATCATTTCCTTGAAGTAATAATCACCATATAAATCATTTTGCACTGTAGACGCGGATGTTCTTCTGCCTTAACTTCTCAGTCTGATTGGATTTCCGTGAAGAAATGATCATAAATGTTCTTCCTTGAGCTGCGTCACCCCGCAGCAGTTCGTAATGGACTGACCTGAGGTCTCGCTACAAACAAGCGGCTGCTGGAAGAGTGTAGGTGAGTTGTATTTAGTCTCCTTGCTTAAGAAATTAGGCAAAGTTAAAAGATGTTTGGTGGCTAGTGCTGTGGCTGGGACCCTATATGTACTGTTGATGAAGTTAGGTGCTGTTCTGAGCATTATTTGCAGCTATAGAGTGGCGTTTTGGTTGAGGTTTGTGTGTGGCTCCTCAGACCGCTGTGTATTGCTATCGTGCGGTCGTTACCAAAGTTGGTATAACTAGAGAAGCAACGGTCGGCAACATTCATCTCTCGACAGGGGTGTCTAACTTGGTGTTACTGTGTGTTTGACCCTATTTTAATTTTACACCAGAATATCCCTTTAATGTTTGGTACGTAGACATGCATGTAGCAGAGAAACCTTTCAGTGATGTAGTGGGTAGTCAGGTTTAGCTGACACTTAACCAAAAGCAATTCTGTTTAGCTTTTTATAGAGCTGTGCCTGAGGAGAGGAGAACAGCAACACAGAGATAAACCTCCTAATACAGGATATTGTCAGGGCACTCAGAGTTCATTTAGTGTCTCATGAATAGGATTAATTCAAGTGTGATGTTAGATTAATGGATGTCCACATTTATTTAATCTCCTGTTTGGTTATTTCATATTAGTCTGAAGAGAGGGGGATTTATGAAGATTGCACTTTAAAGTTACATTTCTTTAAAATAGGAATAATCTATTCTCCTATTATTGTCCAGTTCAAAAACAACATATTCATTGTACCCTAAGAACAGCTCCTATTGTCATTTGATTATAAATTAATTGAATCTATGCTGTGAGTTAATGGCAGTGCTCTTTGTCTCACTGGCTTTGGCACATCATGTTTTACTTACTTGCAAAGTGATAACCTCTGATCTTCTACCTTCATGACCCCAACCCACTTGTTCACCTACAATCCATTACTTATTCTACTATCTCTGTCATCCTTCAGCATCCCCCTCAAATTCTCATCTTCTTCAATCTTGTGTTCATCTCAAACATTAATAGTTTCAGCTGCTGAGCTTTCACCTCCTTTAATCTGACTTAGGGGCCTTCTTTTTCCCTCAATACTGGATTAGGAACAGGTGTTATATGGTCCAACTCGTCCCCTGGTGAGTAAGTGAGTGAGTGAGTGAGTGAGTGACTAACATTAAACAGCTTCAACCTGTTTGTGTATTCAGACATGTGAAAGAGGAGGCAGAAATTGGTGAAATAAAATCATTCTTAAGAAATGTGACTTAGAGGAGTGATAACTGTGATAGTAAATATACGTGTTGAAAGGATGAGAAATCGCTTTGGCACTGAGGCGGCTCCGGCAGGAGAACTTTTTAAGTGTTCTTTAAATTTGCAGCTTGTCTCTCATGCAGCATGCTCCACTTTCCCCTCTTGACCTCCCTGCTCATAAAGGCTGTTATCCTCCTCTATCACATGTGTCTTTAAACCACTTATTCTCCCCCGCTCCTTCCCTTACAGGTGCCCTGGTAAGGAATTTTTAGGACGAGATTGCTGAACACAAAGTCAGGATATGATCAGGCTTATCTTGTCAGGTGTGGAGTCTGTTTGAGGCTGGGTATCAGCGGCCTTGACCCAGTCAGGCCTCAGGAACACCTTCCCTCCGCCATAAATCATGCAGAGGGCTACAGAGGATCAGTGGAGTGTTATTATCTAAGACAGGGCCGCATGGACACATGGACACACTTCTGACCAGGTGTCTGGCTTTATCTGTGCCAGATAAGACCTGGGGGAGCAAGAGGGAGGACAAATGCCTCACATTACAGAGGATACCTTATACAAGGAGTGGAAATGGTGCATCAGGAATTTTTAGACTCTATCAGGGAAAGCATGGCTCAAAAAATGATACAAACAAGGAGAGAGACACATTTTTAAAGACACTCAGATACTTTTTCTCTCTCGAACAAGTTTCCCTGTTCTGACATACACCCCTTTACAATCTCAGTTCTCTCAATGTGAGTCAATGTAGAAATGCAAGTCTCAAAGAAAACTACTATGTTCTTATTATTATTGTTATTTATTTATTTGGTGCTTTTAACTAAATTTTTATATCATTCATCACTGTTGTTTTTATTTCATTTTATTTATTATTTTTTAGATTTTATTCTGTGTTACTTTGTTCTTAGATTTTAACCAAAATCTTCAGTGTTTCCTTATCTTGAGTTTTAAAATGGCGTTTCCTCAGCACGCACATTATGTTTCCATGAAATCAAGCCTTTTTTTCAGCATTTGAGCATGAATTTTAATACTGTTTCTGTTGCGTTTTCATGGGGTGGGAATGAGGGGTTAGGCTGGGGTAGATTATTTGTTTCTTTTATTCCTTTTTCTGTGTAAAGCACTTGCTACATGGTCGTGTATGAAAAGTGCTATATAAATAAAGACTGATTGATTGATTGATTATTTACACCCACTCAAGAGAGGTACTGACTTTTTCTATCAAACTACTTAAAAACTACAATACCCTTGAGATTTGGTTGGCACTGCAATGAAGAACAAGCTCACGTTATTATTAAGTTGATCAAGTAGGAACTGTTGCGTTGAGCTGCAAGAGTCCTAACAGATGGCAGACAAGTGGACTGCTTTTTCATTCACTGGGTGTAGATCGAGCAAACACGGTCAAACCCTCAAATAACCTCTGATAGAGCTACACAAAAAAACACACAAGCCAGCAGACAGAAAGACCCTCTCGTCCCGCTCCTTTTCAGCTTGATCAATGGAAACTACAGCACCCACACAGCCTCGTTCAGACTGTTGGACTCTGTGCTTACACAATGCAGCCAACATATAAGCCTATATGATTTGATGAATGATGTCTCTCTATAGTGAGTCTCAGATTGTAACTGCACATGTTTACGTATTTCAAAGTTATATAAAATAAGCTTGGGCCTTTTGTGTTCTGGAAAAAACACACATACATCTTTTAAACAGGCCTCCACAGATACAAACAACATTTGCCTGAGATTATTTTTGAACAACATTAACACATAAAAGACAAGATGACAGTGAAACACCAGCAGCGAAAGTGCCAGGGCATCACTTGTGTTGCCTGGGTCACGGACCTGTAATGGTTTAGTTTTTTGGACGTCAGAAACAGTTTTCAATCATCCTAACCCCTTAAGTACACTAAATTGCTGTTTGATACATATAGTGTGTCGCGTAATAAAATGATAGTGTCCCAAATCACTGCAGCAGATGTGGATGTATCTACCAGTTGTGTTCTGCTGTTGCTGCTGAGTTGGTGTTTTCAGTCTGGAACACATAAAACAGATAGCGAGGGTCTTGGGTTTCGCCTCAGAGCTTCAAAGACAAAGTCATGCAGAAACCGAACGAGCAAAACTGGACCTCTGGGTCGTAGAGAGAGGCAGGTGCAGAACTTCCAAACGACAGGCGAGCCGACCGGAAGCAGGCATGTCATGAGCCAGAACCCCGGCCTGCTGGGAGGGCTGCAGTGACTCTCTGACTCTGAGAGAGTCTCTCTTCTCCAACTCTGTGTGTGTATTTGATGTAGCTGTGCAGAGGTTGCGTAAGGACCAGGTGCTGTCCTAAATTCATCCATGTCAGAGGTCTTTGCATGAAGATGTACCTGATAACACGATACTAGTTTAAATAATGAACCCGACTACTTTTTCACTACACTTATTTTTCCTCCTCTGTCATCTGTCCATCTCTTTATTTCATTTCATCTCCCTCCTCCCGTCCCCTTACAGTTCTGCGATGAAAAATGATGTTTTTTCAGGTGTCTCACAATGCGGATGCTGTCCCCGCTTGAATGGAAATTGCGTTCATTCCTTCCCCTCTTTCTGCTATTCCAAGCTTTCCTCACCGCCTCTGATTTGCTTTCGACACTTGAGGCATGCATTTAGGGAAATAAACTCCTGGCGAGGGGAAGAGGTGGGTGGCGATCTTCAGTTTAGTTTTAATTAGACCCAAGATGGGGCTGGAGGAGAGATTAAGTCCGTGTGGGGTCCTCCTTTCAGGACATCTACCTCTTAATTTTCGGCCACAATTGAAGAACCGTTCTGTGTGTGTGTGTGTGGACTTAATGGGGATCTGTAGACAGAGTTTGAATATTATATCAACAATTATGGTGGACAGTTTATGAGTCTATGAAAACCTGAATATAAAGAGTTTTCCTTCTCTTAGAATAAGCCACTTTCATCAACCTTTGGTAATAAAATCACTGGCTCTGCTGCAAGCTTTTTGCATATTCCACCAGCTTTTCCCTGA